TCCATGCTACAATCACCGGAAAATTTAACTCTTGCGTGTAATGGCTTTTATACACATCTATCAGGGTCGCAGAATGAATATTGCGTATTAGGTACACATAATTTGAATACCGAAGGTTACACACCAACAATCCTTGTTATCGGAAAACTTCAAATAATAATTAAAAACAGTTAGAAAAGTAAGTTTAGCTCTTAATTTTCCTTTTTCTAATCATTTTCTACATTTTTCTGTTTTTTCCACTCAAGTTTTATCCATTTTCTGAAAAGAGTATGTATTTGAAAAATCCTTTCTAAATTCGAATTGCGAAGTGAAAATGAAGGCGAATAGAAAGTAGAAAATTCTTTTATTTTTAAAATCAGAAAAAATTTGATGGGTAAAAATTATTATTCTATAGGGTGAAAAGAATTTTAATTGAAAGCGTTAATATTAATTAGAATATATAAAGAGTGTATTTCTCCGTGTAACGATCAATGTATATGATAGTGGAAAGCGATGAAACAGAGCAGAGGGATCGTGTCAAATACACACGCATATTTAGGGGTTTGTTATTACCTAATTTTGTAGCGTAAAAGTTTCTTTTTCTTCACCCCTCTTTTTAATGTGCGTGCTTTTTTGTTGAAGGCGGAAAAGTTTTTCGTATGAAGTTCTAATAATAATGTACATGTTTTACATGCAGGGGATGATTTTCACTCTTGAAATCTAAAAAGGAAAATAAAAAATGCTGATCTTTTATTTAGAAAGATTATATGGGAACCGAAAGCCGAGGGCTAAAACTATATAAGATTTCCTATGAATAAATTTAAAGTTATGAGTTATGCGACACGTGCTTATACTGTGGATAACTGGCAAAAATTGAAGATTTCTGTGTCTTTATAAGGATTTTTGAAATGAGAGAAAGAGAGAATCTTTTCAAAATTAACTAAATTTTGATTTTGTTTCGTCGGTTCGCACTGGAAATAAGGAAAATTAGATGGAAAATAATTCATTTTACTATAGCAACAATTCGCGCGCGGTTAACTTCTTACTCACTTTTATAAATAAAATTAACAATTTTAAAAATAATAGAACGTTTAAATTTGTAATTCAAATTTATTTCCATAAAAATAAAATATGAATTGTTATAGTTTTAATATTATTATAACTATAATATCATATATTCTGACACAGGGAATTCAGTGAAAAGTAAAGGCTTTTTATTAAAAGTATTGAAACAAAATTAAATTTTTAGAATTTATAAGAAAGTTCTGAATTTTTGTGTCTTTTTTGTTTGCCTCACAAACTATGAAATTACTACAAATTATACACTGTAAAAAATTTAGGGAGTTAACGGACTCGGGAGTTGGGAGTTAAATTTTTCGAGTTAAAAATCAACTCCAAAAGAGAGTTAATTTCTAACTCCCTTCATTCAACACCCGCGCGAGTTATTTTTGTTCAAATTACTGTTCTTTATTTGTTCACCCGTGAGCACATTTCGTACACTTACAAAATGCCCTTCGGGCTTCATCGACTATCTTCGATACTAGTCGTGTTTCATTGGATACTCCCCTGGGGAGTTAAAATTTAACTCCCTTTTTTACAGTGTAATACAAAACATTCAATTTTTTCAATTTTTGAAAATAATTTCTTTTTAAATAACTTAAATCTTGATCAACTATGAGCCTGTTTACACCGCGTCGCATAAATGTATTCCTCCGCGCGCATAAACGTATATTCCTCCAGGAGAATAAACTCGCGTCTGCGCGAAGTGCTTCCCAGCTGTGTTGTGAAGAGTTAGAAACCGCTGGGAAGCACTTTGCGCAGGCGCGAGTTTATTCTCCTGGAGGAATATACGTTTATGCACGCGGAGGAATACATTTATGCGACGCGGTGTAAACAGGCTCTATATCATAAAATAAATAAATTATTTAATGAATATATATACTTAATAAATATATTATACTTAAATATTTCAAAATTAATTAAATTTTAAAAGAGTTGCGTTTATAATTTTCATAAATAACTGAACTTCAAATGGTTTCAATTTGAAATTTTATAAAAATTTAATGTTGAATGAATTTAATTAGAAATTACACTGTAAAAAAAGGGAGTTAAATTTTAACTCCCCCGGGGGGTCTATAAAAGTCGCACCCATTGAAGAGTTAATGCCAGGGGAGTTAAATAAAGAGAGTTAAAATTTAACACCCAAATGCTAACTCCCCATGGAAAAAATAACTCGCGCGGGTGTTGAATGAAGGGAGTTAGAAATTAACTCTCTTTTGGAGTTGATATTTTTAACTCGAAAAATTATTTCACTCCCAACTCCCGCGTCCGTTAACTCCCTAAATTTTTTACAGTGTACAATGAACTTAGATTTTTGAAAAATTTTAATAATTCAAAATCTTCTAAAATTAGTTAAATTTGTCAATATATATTTAATTAATTATTAAAAATAATGGATTTATAGAAGAATTTTTGTTAAAAACACTAAAAAAAATTGAATTTTGAAGAAGTTACAAATTATTGCTGAAATCGAATTACTTTCAAAAGTAATAAAATTCTTATCGCAAAATTCAATTATGATCAAAATTAAAAAAAAAATCTCGTCAAAATCCCAATTATCTTTATAAATAATAAAATTCCTCTCCAAAATTCAATTATTTTCATAAATGTCAAAAAAAATTCTTGTCCTAATTTCAATTATTTTCAAAAATTTTTCTAATTTCAATAATTTTCAATATCTCTACCATTTTAATAAAACTACTCAAAATAAATCAATTATTTAAAAAAAGAATTAATAAAATTGTACGCAAACATTTAATTATTTTTATAAATACATAATAAAAATTTCACAGGAATTCAATTATTTACAATTTTTTTATAAGTTTTCCTTAATAATTCAATTATTTTCATAAATAATAAACAAAATGGGTATATTTTTCATTTGTTCATCATAATTTTTTTAAAATTTTCTAATTTCTAATATTATTTTATTATTAATCATGAAAACATACCTTTAGCTAATGAAAAAGAATTTTTTCTTCTAATTTTGAAATGTTGAAAGATTTTTTTAATTTAATCTCTTGTAATTGACTGTTTAGATAAGCAGATATAAAAATTATTAGATTATTTCAATTTTATAAAAAATTTTAAAAAAGAGCGTTTTTTAATATTTGAATATAGCTAAATCGAATTTTTTCTTTTTGATTCAAGCTATACACATTATATCCTTGTCAGGAAATTTAATATCTTCTCGTTGAATAATTTTCATCGACAAAGTTTTCAATCAAAAAATGTCAATTTTATTAAGTCATTCACATGTTTTCGGGTAATAAACCTTTCCCCTTTGATCATTGATTCATCAATTTTTATTCATGAACCAACCTATGTATATATAACAGAGTAATTACTCTAAAATGATTAAAAAAGAATTAATTCTCTTTTAAATTAAATTATAAAATTTCATTTCATTTTTATTATTGCATTTTTATTAATTTATATGCATTATAAATATTTCTCGACAAATTTAAACTATTATTTTTTGTCGTATTTCCCTTAGTATTTTTTTTTTGAATTTAAATTAATTTTTTTTTGTATAATCAAATTGATAACTTATAATTAAATTTAAAAAAATAAATTAAAAATTTAATATAAATCTTAAGATAAAAAATACTTTTTCATTTTCTGTTTGTTTCATCGAATTTACATTCTTTATTTATAATTTCAATTTGTATTTAATTATTGTTAAAAAATGAATATTAATTTGAACGTAATTAAAAAACTCGTGGAGAAATAAATTGAAAGAAGAGACAATGTTGAAAATTAAAAAATACAGAAAATTAATTGAAATTAAAAAGAATTTTAGATAAAAATAAAGATAAAAAATAAAAATTAATTAAAAGTTAGAAAATTAATAAGTGTAAATTATAAATTAGTTAATTTGGTGAAAACTTGATACGCTCCTGAAAATGGTATCATTCCCCTCTCGTAAATGCTCGTAAAAGGGCAAAGCTGACCCACCACATTGAAACAAGCTTTGCTTGAGGGAGAAAATTTACTACCCTCTCTCCTCAATTTCTCCACATACAGTATTCACAGAAACGAATCGCCCCTCTTTTCCTGTGCACTATTACTTTCCTCATTCGCAGTCATCCCCCCCACTCTCTTCCAAAAGGACTCTCCTATTGACGTGCAAGCTTCAGTGCACCCCTTCCCTATTTTCACTATATACATGTATACACCCACGCGTGAAATTCCTCTCCTTTTTTTTGCGTGTAGCGTATCCAAATTACGTCAGAAAAGCAACGTACGCCGGCGCTATTTCCACTATATGTGGACCGTCTAGACTGTGCTTTATTCGAGAATTATTTATGTTGACGAAAATTTGTCGCCAATTGATCACACGAAATCTTATCAAATCACTTTTGTAATTTTCCTTTGAGTCGAATTTTATACTTGTTGAAAGGAAAACGAAGGAGAAAAATTGAAAGTTAGAAATATACAGTCGAACCTTCATTATTGAGACACTTAACTTAATTGTATCCTTTTTTTCCTCTATATTGTAATTGAAACGAGAAATAAGAAATTCGAGAGTTTATTTAAAAATAAAAAAAATTATTCCCGAGACATTTAAAAATTAATTTGAATTTCTCAATAACAGAGAGTAGAGTGTATTTCGGTATATACACTAGAACTTGACTTATAGAGACATCTGGTGGATAAATTTTTTTTGTATTTATATATGTCTTCTTTGTACACCAATTTTATTTATCTCCGTTTTCTAATTTTATCTAATTTCTAAACTAATTTCTAATTCTCATCTAATTTCTAATTAGAAAGAAAATGAAAATTAATCAAAATATTATTCAAGACTTTTCCAATAGCGTTGAACTTTTTTTCAACATAATGAAAAGCATTTAAATTTCCCGCCGGCGACAAAATATCATCTGTCGGTAAAATAAATTGTGATTAAATCACAAATATTTTTTATTATTTTTCACTTTTTGATATAACGTTTATATCATTTATATTCTATAATTATTACAAACTGTTTATTTAATTAAGGTGTTAATTATTGTGAAGTATAATTAGAGCCATCTTTTGTATATATTATTAATATTATTCTATATTATGTAAAAAAAATGTGTGCTCGATAAGGTGGATATGAAACCTAACCTAAAACTAGTGTCAAGTGAATACCGTGAATACTTTTGATCCTTTTGATTTATTATGAAAAGAATTTATTAAACTTATATTTATTTAAAAATGACATTCATATTGACAAGAAGTTCTCTATATGCATTGGCTGCTTTGCCATTTTATAATTCCGGCAATGCACTTGATATTCCAAGTGACGACACTTATGTAGAAAAACCTAAACCTACGACTAAAATGGAGAGATTTCAAAATATATTTTACAAAGAGTAAGTTTTTTAATTTTATTATTTCTTTTTGGAAACAAAGCCAAGTTTTACTGTTCATTTTCATTACTAATTGGCTGTTTTCGGCAATTACTCGGAGTTACTCCTAGGAGTGATCAGTCGTGCTCAATATTGTAATACTAAAAGCTACTATTTCTGTTTTTTTTAGAATTTCCACTAAATCAAAAAACTATTCTCAAAAATTATAATCAAATTCTTTAAAACGATTCAATTATTTTCAAAAAATATTCGAAATTCAATTCTTTTCATTATCTAGTATTTTAATCACATTTCGCAAAACAATTCAATTATATCAAAAAGTAATTGATAAAATTTATCCAAAATTCATTTATTTTCATAAATAATAAAATTTCCACAGGAATTCAATTAATTTAGAATATTTTTTCAAAAAAATTTCACGATAATTCAATTACTTTCACTAATACTTAATAACATTCTTTATGGCAGTTCAATTATTTAAAAAATGTTTAATAAAATTATAAGCAAGAATTCAATTATTTTCATAAATAATAAAATTCATCGAAGAATTTAAATTATTATTTATACTATTTTTATTCAATTATTTTCAAAAATAACAAAATTTTTCACAGAAATTCAATTCTTTTTAAAGATTTTAATAACATTTTTCTGAATAATTCAATTATTTTCATAAATAATAAAATTCTTCTCAGGAATTCAATTATTTTTGAAAATTTTAATAAAATTCTTAACAACTATTCAATTATTTTTAGAAATAATAGAATTCATCGCAGGATTTTAATTATTTTTAAAAGTATAAAATTTCTTCTTGAAAATTCAATTATTTTAAAAAATTCTAATAAAATCGTTCGCAAGAATTCAATTATTGTCAAAAATTTTAATTGAATTCTTTGCAAAATTTAATTATTTTTAAAAACTTTTCGCAATTCAATGATTTTCAATATTTATTTATTTATTTAATTATTTATTTAGGAAGCTTACGGGCATAAAGCCCTTTCGTACATATAAACGAGATTCACAATATTTAGCACGAAATTAGTTATTTTTTCAATATTTACTATTTTTATAAAATTTCCAAACAGAATTCAATTATTTAAAAAAAGTTTTGTAAAAATCTTTTTAAGAATTCAATTCTATTCATGAATAATAAAAATTTCTCAGGAATTCAATTATTTAAATTAGAATTTGCATAAAATTAGTCGAAAGAAATTGTTTAAAATTTTTTATAAAATTCTTCGCAAGAATTAAATTATTTTTATAAATATTAAAATTCTTTGATGAATAATAAAATTCGTTGAAGGAATTCAATTTATTAGCAGGATAAGAAAAAAATTAATATTTTTGATGAAAATTAGGAAAAAGGCAGGAAAATAAAAAATATGAAATGGGATTTTTGTCAGTCTTGTGAAGTGAATAAAACGAGTTTTTTTATTTAATTTTTTTTAATTTTAATTTTTTTTTTAATTTTTTTTTTTTATTTTATTTACAGTGAGTATGGAAATCTTTCTCCGGAACTTCAGTATTGTGTACATTTAACTTCAATGGGACTGGTAATTGGAGGATTTTATGGTGGTTTAATTAATGGACGAACTGCTTTTTTCAAATTTATCGATAACAATCAAGCGACAATGTTTCAAAATCATTTGGATGCAAAACGAAGACTGCAGGATATTTTGTCATATAATCTCTTAAAAGGAGGTGCTCAATGGGCCTGGAGAACTGCTTTATTTACTTCACTTTATGGGTAAATTTAAAGGGGAAAAATTATTTTCATCCAGTAAATTACTGAATAATTTTCTCTTGAGAGACATATATTTTTGTAATTATAATTTCAGGATTACTTCAACATCCGTAGCAGTTGTTCGAGGAAAATCCGGCATTATTGAACATACAGATGGTGGCTTGGTCGCAGGAGCATTGTATAATATGAAAAATGGCTTTCGAGGAGTCATCGTTGGCGGAGGATTAGGTGCAGTTTTAGGAACAATTTTTGGAACCTTAGCTTTCGTAATTTTAACTCTGTCAGGAAAAACAATGGAGGACGTTAAATTCTACACTGTTCAATGGAGAGATCATAGAGAAGGGTAACTTTATTTTTATTTCTGAATTCTAATTGACTATATAAAGTCAATTCATTCATTCATTCAGGTTTAATTGATATTTTACGTTTGTAAAAAAATTTCAGCCTCTTTTTCAAAGCTGATAGGAAAAAACGATTGGAGAAGGAGGAGCAAGAGATAATGAAAACACTGAAGGATCTGACTGGAAAAGAGGCAACGTCGTAATGTATATTGTAAATGAATATTTAATATCTAATTGTACAAAGAAAAAGTAAAACTACAGTAAATTATAATTAATCACAATTTATTGATTGTAATCACAATTTGTTTTTTCTATCCAAACCCGGGTAACAAATAAAACAGATATGAATTAATTCTATCTTTAAATACAATCTTGAAATATAATCATATAATCATTAAATACAATAGATTTAAAAAAGAATGTTTCTCTTAAAATAAACAATCCGTGTGCAGAAAATTTATTATGCGTATTTGATGTATTAGATCAATCTGCGATAAACATATAATATATAGAGTGATTAAAAAAAGTTTATATCGTAAATAATTTTAAAATACAATCTCAATATTAGGTAACTTCTGGCCTTAATTGAATTGTCCTTTTTGTAATATGAAAAATGATTCACGTGTTTTTTTCTTTTTTATAAACTTTTTCTAAACTTCTTACAAAAAAAAAGTTCTATTTGGTAAAAATTTAATTATGGCTCCGAATTTTGAAAAAAAAATCAACATTCTAGGCCATTAAACGAGAAATAATATTGTTTCGGTATTTAAAAAAACACTGTAAGCTTATAAGTGAAAAATATTTCACCTGTAAATTTTACAATAATCGATTGGAATACTACATTCATGAATTAATTATAAACAAATACATATTGACAAGAATGACAGTCACGAAGAAAATAAATTTTTTTTTTCCTTTTCCTTTTTCAAATACTAAAAATAGAAAGATTTCAAATAATCTATGTCACTTGGTTCAAATTTATTAATTTATTATTATAGTTATACTTAATTCGTATTGACTAATTAATCAGAATTTAACTAATTAATTAGAAATTAAGAATTAATTATTCTAAAGAAAAAAAAATTCTAAAAAAATGAATTATTCTAAAAAAAATTCTAAAAAAGAATAACGAAAATAAAAAGAATAAAACAATTTTGTAAAACAGAAAGTAAACATTGAAATCGAGAAAATGTGAATAGAAACAGATTTTTTGAAAAAATTCCATCGAATATAAAAACAAGTGGCATTTTACAGAATAGGCCTGATGTTACAAAATAGCTTTTTTTTAGTCACGATTCATTGTACTTTTTTTTGTGAGCTGCTTATTTCACTGTTTTATAAACATTGATAATTTAACATGAAATCGAAAAATATACGTATTATAACGTTATAATATTTTATAGAAGGATAAATAATTGTAGAAGATATAAAATCTGAAAGTAGCGTAATCACATTTCGCAATAATAAAAATATTGGGTTTCACACTTTACCTAAGTTTTTCATCTCCCCTTTTTTATTTTATATTTACTATTTTATATTATATATATAACGGGGAGGAAAATTGATTGACATATAAAAGGGAGGAAAAAAATGAAAAAAAAAACCCTGCAACTATTTTCTACACTCAATCCCACTATTCAGAATAAAATAAAAAAGGAAAAAAGGGGGCAGTAGAAGAAATTACGTCTATTAATAAAAATTAATTAAACTTCTTGTTCCGAAGGTCCTAATTCTTGAACCTTAGTTATCCGTTTTGCGCCTCGATTCGGTGGACCTTTCGGTTTGGCAAACTTTGGTCGATGTAAATTGACTTTAGGATGTAATTCCTCTTGCAAAAATTCTTCAGTCAGTTCCTTTCCGTCCTCTATTTCAAGCTAAATAATCAAAAATTTCATTACGATATTATTTCGATTTTTGTAGAATTTTTTGTTTTTTTGTTTTTTTTAATCAAAAATTAATTTGAAGTGATAAAAGGAGAGAATTTTTTTAGGCCTATTCTGTAAATTATTGCTCTTTCTAAATCTTATCTAGATATTTACATACCAGTTTGCAGTCAGCTTGATCCTTTCTTCTCTATAGAAACCTAATTGAAAATTTACTTTTCTTTTTTCGATTAAAAAAAGGGCGAAAAATTGCTCAATGCAATAAGTAAACAAATAATTTGGTTTAACGCATTAAATTGTTTATTGTTTCTAATATAGTAAATATCGGCAAGATATACATTTTTATTTAAGATCGATATAGTACTGATGCGAAATAAAATGGACAAATTCACAAATTACAGAATAGGCCTGGTGGCGTTAGTTAGTCTATTTAAAAAAAAAAGAAAAAAAAGTATTTATCCAGGCTCACAATATGTGCGTCGTCATTTTTTCAGAGTATTTAAAAACTAAGGCGTAAAAATTTCTTTTAAAATACTTAAAAAAAATTGGAAGAAATAGATATTTTAGTCTCAATGAATATTTTTTAATCACAAACGATTTTTGTATTAATAAAAATATCAAGTATACTTAATAATGATTAAATAATTATTAAGTGCAAATTAAAATGATTGATTTATAATCGTAGAGCAGAATATATATTTTCACATGCTCTTGTCTAATTTTAAGCTACTGTTTTTTTTTTTGTTTTTTTATTTTTTCTTTTGCTTCTTCGTTTTTCTTTGTTTTTTATTTTTTTCTTTTGCTTTTTCGTTTTTATTTTTTCTTTCGACTTTTCTTTTTTCTTTCGCCTTTTTATTTTTCTTTTGTTTTTTATTTTGATTATTATTCCTTGATCGTGTTAAATTCAATCAAGAGGTAAAAATTTTGACTGACGCGAATTTTGAGATTCGATTATTTTGTTTCCTTTTTTGTTTTTTTTTAATATAAAAAGCTACGTTAGATTTAAAAAAATATTTGAGGATTGCGTCATTATGTCACGCCGCAAATTGGCTTTAAAAAAATATGCATCACAAAAAATAGAACACTTCTGGAATTTTTCATTTCTCACAGTCCCATTTGCCGGAAAATTGTTTCTATTGAATATATTTTTATTGGTCGGTAGCATTTTTTTCCATTGTCAAGAAAGATATTAATTTTTATTTAAATTTATTATTTATAAATAATTTTACACAAACATTATTTTTTGAAAACGAAATTTTTTTTTAATTAAATAGTAATTAATTAATTTTAATAATTAATTCGAATTCAATTTTATGAAATTGTGCATAATGAAAATAAAAAGTAAAGTTTAATTGTAGTTGGTTCTTTTTGGTGAAAAAAAAACATTGAAAGACGAATTTCAATAGAGAAATATCGAAATTTTATTTCGGAAAATTTTTTCTCGAAAAATAAATAGAGTGACTGACAATTTAATTATAATTGAATTTTCATTCGATTTATTTTTTCATTTTTCGAAAAAGTATAGTAAAATGAATAAAATCTAGAAATTAATCAAAAACGTAAGTTTTTGATTAATTTCTAGATTTTATTCATTTTATTTTCTAAAAAGTGAAAAAAAAATTGTTTCGGGCAAATGGGACTCGCACAATCAGTCTTACAAATTACTTGTATTTTTGTGAAGGTAAATTTTGTTTTTTTACAAGATTATAGAGAATATATTGTTAAACTAATATGCGTTGATAACATTATAATATGTATTATCACTAAACGCGATCACGTACCGACTATATAATATATTTATATATTTGTCTACATCCAACATGAGGGCAAGAACATTTTTCACATATATTTAAATATATATATAATTATTATATATATATCAGATCCTTTGACTAATACAATATCGTTGATAAAAATGTACAGAGAAGTTAGGCGGTTCTTTTTATTCTTTTTCTTTTTTACTTTTAAATTATCTAAACTTTGAATTTTACCCAACTCTCTTCTAATCACATAATGACATCTTAACTGCCAAAGTTTAGTTTTTCAGAGATAAAATCACTTTTTTCTATACAGCATTCAAAAATTCTACTTCTATATTATTTATCAAGTTAAATATCCGATTCATGAATTTTTTTTTCTTTTTCTAGAAGTCGAGTCTTATTTAACAAAAAATTATAAACGATAAACTTATATTAATGTATATATCACTTTCTCAAGACTAGGAACTAATTTCAGATGCAATAAAGCAAGACTCGATTTAATTAATTGAGCAAATCTTTTTAAAATATAAATCACTGATTTATCAGTCTGCACTTTATTTATTGTGCGTTTCACAATGAAATTCAATCTCTATTTATAGGTGTTTAATAATCTATTGGTAATTATTATTATTATCATTAAAAAACGATGAGGGAAAAATTATTATTTACTAATAAATTGTTGTTAATGTTAATTAATAATTAATCAGATTTATTAATTAATAAATACAAATTGAGTTTATTAATTAATAAATAATAATTAATTTCAATTATTATTTGAAAATAATTAATTAATTATAATTTACGTTTGATAATAATTAATTAATCACGTCTAATTATTAAATTCGAATGTTTAATTAATATCAAGTAATTAATAATTAATATTTATTAATATGCAAGCGGTTTCAGCTAATAAATCTAAGTAGACTTAATTCTCAAGACTCGACTTCCATTCGTCACGGAGGAAAAATAGTAAAAAAAAAAAAAATTCACGAGCTTAATCTCAAAGATAAAATAAAACTGACTCTTGTTCTACTAGTGTTTACTAGTTTCTTAAAATATGGAATTATTTTGTTTGTTTGTTTTTTTTACCACAGACGCGTTACAATTGTTAGATATTATCGTCTCAAAGTTAGATGGAAATTTTACTTCGTAGAATTTAGAAAAATATTGTTTTTTTTTTAATCTATTCTGTTTGTCTACATAAGCATTTATATCACTTCGTTAATTAAATATATATTTCTTGAAGAAGTTGCTAGGAAATTTTCAAAATGAAAGCTAATCTTGGTTTTTAATAATAAAAAAAACTTGATAATATTTTATAGAACTTTCCGAGTCACAAGACGGTAATGAAAGAATTTGAATAAAATTTAATCAAAGCAATAAACTATGTTTGTCATTGAAACGTTAACGAGAAGAAGGTTCTGTATTTTCAAGTTTTTAGGATATTTCCTTCTTTGAATCTCTTTTTTTTAAAGTTTTCTTTTAGTTTTCTTTTAATTTCCCTTCAATTTTCTTTAGCTTTTCAAAGCAGTTAAATCCTCACCTTTTTCTGGAAGAATTCATTTCCTTTGTCAACTTACATGCTAATGGAAAAAAAAAAGAATTTTATTATTCCAATCTCGTTGTCATAATTTTTTTTCTTGTTTCATTTGGCAGGTAAAGTTTTAATCTGCTTTTTATAAGCTTTAACGTGGGAAGAATATTAAAAAATAAAAAAAAATATATCTTATTTTACTATCACAAATGTAAAATTTTGTTTTTATGTGATAAAACGATTATTTAACGAATCGAGAAACACGAAATCAGTTTGAAAGAAGACGGCAATTATTGAGAAAATTGAATTTTGTTAACTCAATACGCAAGAACGCTTTTGCTTGTATTTTTTGTTATCGGTAAATGGATTTGAATTGTTACACGGCGTTGAAGGAGTTGCTGGTGTATTTGTACCCGGTTCCCTTATGATTGGAGGATCTTCCAACATATCAGCTAATTCTTCTCCGCCATTAACTTCCAACTAATTATTTTTCGACAATATATCAGTGATAAAAAAAATTGTTTTTGTTTTAAGTTTTAGACATGCAATTTTTTCAGAGACGCAATTTTTTTTAATGCAGGGCAGTAAATTTTTTAGTTTCAAGCAGCTTTTTGTTTAAGAAAATATTGTTTTGAATATGAATTTTAATTATGACTAAAAGCAGATTTTTTCATGCACTGCCAGTTGGAAAAAATTAATTATTAGTTTGAATACTCACTTTTTTGGCTATGATTACGCCTAACGATTGAATAAGATCGAGAAGTGGAGCCTTGCATGATGAGTAGAGCATTCTCTCCTTAATACTGCATTTATACCCCGGCATACTGTATATGAATACTGGAAATTACAGTTATAATGTTAAATTTAAGTTAATAAATTAAATGAATTATTTAAACTAATTCAATAAAATAAAAATTCAAATTGAGTAAATTAAATAAATAAATTACAATTACATTTAGAAGATTCAGAGTTGCCAAAAAAATTTAATTTTGTTTCTTCCTGATTTCCAGAAAAAATTTTGACTTTTTCCCTGACACTAAAGGATATTCTGATTCATTTTAAAAATGATTAAATATTCAGAAAAATGTTCTATTACATTTATTTACGAATTTCTTTAATTGTAAAACTATTCGAAAACATCAAAATTCAATTATTTTCATAAATAAAAATATTCATCACGAGAATTCAATTATTATTAAAAGTAATAAAATTCTTCACTAATATTTAATTCTTTTGGAAAATTTAAAAAAAATTCTCGTCAAGATTTCAATTATCTTTGAAATTAGCAAAATTCTTCACTGAAATTCAATTATATTTAAATATTTTAACAAAGTTTTTGGAAAAATTTCAATTAGGTATATTTTCAAAAATTTTTCTCAATTTAATGATTTTCAAAATTTTATTTATTTTATTTTATTTTCATAAAATTTATTATTATTTATTTTTCCATAGGAATTAAAATTTGCAAAAATTTCAAATTCAAACCTTTTTGAAATTCAACAACTTGTAGGAATATTATTACATATAAAACATCATTTCAATTCAATTATTATTTTTTAGAATTTGTAACTAAAATTCTTCTTTAGATAAATTATTTTCAATAATTTCCGAAAAAGTTCTTGGAGAATTTTCAAATCCATTTGTTTATTCAATTTAACGAAATTTCGATAGTTTTGAAAATAATTCAATTATTGCGAATAATATTGTATACAAATTTTTTAAATAATTCATTATTTTCGAAAAAATTTATGTAAATTCTATTTTAAATAATTGAATTTCGGTGAAATTTTGATTATTTATGAAAGTTTGTAATTGAATGTTTGCGTAGAACTTTATAAAAATTTTATTCTAAATAATTGTATTCTTTCGGGAAATTTCATGAAAATAAAATAAATAAAATATTGAAAATCATTAAACTGAAAAAATTTTTTGAAAATGTATATTTTCATAATTGAAATTTAAATTTAAATTAAAAATTAAATTAAATTAAATTAAAAATTTAATTAAATTAAATTAAATTTAAATTTTTCGTAATTGAAATTTTGACAAAAACTTTGTTAAAATATTTAAAAATAATTGAATTTCAGTGAAAAATTTTGCTATTTTTAAAGATAATTGAAATCTTGACGAGAATTTTTTTTAAATTTTCAGGCACGGGACCAACACCTTGACGGAAAACCAAAATGACGGATAGTCGAAGTTACAAGTGATTTGAGATTTTTATAACCTATACTTGTCTATATTTTGGACTTCAACATGTAAACAAACAATTTTACAAAACAATTACACAATTAGTTTAAAATTAGTATTAAAAAAAACGTAACATCTTATTTTTTTATTTAAAAAAGCCGAAAACAGACTGAAGAAAATATCTAAACTGCAGGAAATTAGAGGTTTTGGCTGCTTAGATATTTCTCTTCAGAGAAATATATTGGAATGAACTTGCAAAGTCAATTTTTTAAATAAAAAAAAAAAATGATCTTGGACAGTGACGGATAACCGCGGTGACGATAGACCGAGAGACGGAAAATCGAAGTTCCACTGTAATTGAATTCTCGTGATGAATATTTTTATTTATAAAAATAATTGAATTCTACAAAGAATTTTATTAAAATTCCTGAAAATAATTTAATTTCTAAAAGGAATTTTGATATTTATCAAGATAATTGAATTATTTCAAAGAATTGCTTTAAAATTTTTGAAATAATATTCAATATTTATTTTTAAAAAACTCAAGTAATTTCAACAGAATTTAAATTAAAATTAAAAAAAATATTTCTACAGAATTATTATAATTAAAAGTATGAAAAATTCGGATTTTCAAAGATTATTTAATTAATTATTTAAATACAAAAATTAATAATATATTGAATAATTGAATGTTTTTCAAAATTGAAATTTTATAAAGAATTTTATCAACGAATGTTGATAAAATTTTTAAGAATAATCACATTTTTCGAGGAAATTCATTAAAATTGTATTAAAATAGTAGATATTGAGAATCACTGATTTGAGGAAAATTTTTGAAAATAATTGAATTTCAAAGAAGAATTTTATTACTTTTGAAAATAATTGAATTTCTGCAATGATTTGTAATTTTTCTCAAAAATTCAATATTTTTTTAGTGTTTTTATTTAAAATTCTTCTATAAATTCGTTATTTTTAATAATTAATTAAATATATATTAAAAAATTTAACTAATTTCATAACTTCTTCACTTCTCTTCATTAAAAGACTAAAATTTTGTTAAATATTATGTTTTGTCAAATTAAAATTATGCAGATTTTTGTTCTTTACTTCTAAACAAAATTAGAAAATTGTTAAACAACTGTAATTAAGAAATAGAAAATTTATTTATTTTGCATTATTTTTGTTTATGAATCACAATTTTTTTAACAAAATTATTATTTATTATAAAAATAATTGAATTTCTGTGAAATTTTTATTATTTATGAAAATATTTAAATGTTTGCATACAATTTTATTAAAATTTTCTTTAAATAATTGAATTCGTTTTGGGAAATTTGATTAAAATAGTAAATATTGAAAATTATTGAAATTAGAAAAATTTTTGAAAATAATTGAAATTAGGACAAGAATTTTTTTTGACATTTATGAAAATAATTGAATTTTGGAGAGGAATTTTGTTATTTATAAAGATAATTGGTATTTTTACGAGAATTTTTTTCAAATTTTGAATATAGTTGAATTTTATAAGAAAAATTTTATTTTTCTTGAAAATAATTGAATTTCTGCAATTATTTGTAATTTCTCCAAAATTGAATTTTTTTAGTGTTTTCAACAAAAATTTAAATTAGAAAATTTTTAAATTCTATTATTTTTAAAATTGCTAATTTTATTTTAAAAAAGGTAGTAAAAAGTTAGCCGCGCGCTTCAGCGCGCAAATTGTTGCTAGTGAATTCTAAAAATTAAATTTTTCCCAGTACTTTTAGTAAAAATCCATGACTTTTTCCTGGCCTGTGCCAACCCTGAGATTGCATAAGAAAGAATAAAAAATAGAATAAACTTAATAAATTTGTATTAAGTTATTATTTATTTTGTGAAATTCTTACCTATGCATTCCATATAATCTCCTTCGTGAGTATGCTTGAAACTAAAGAGATGATATCTCGCAGAATCCGAAGGGACTTTAGTCGGTAGTTTATCTAGAGAAACATCACCAGCTGTGACAAGGTGAATTTTTTCTTCATCAATGTCAATTTTCAATTGAATGTAATCATGAATTCCTTTTCCTAAATCGGTAATTGCTTGTTTCGCCTCGTCTGTCACGGGGAAAGCGACACCGCTCAATGTTTGATGTCTCGTTTCAACACTGTAATCCGTGTGGACTGTTGTTTTTTTCAATTCAGCTAATTCTTCCTCGGCAGTTGTTAATGGTACAGGGGCAGCGTCATTTCTTTTGTGCTTATGATATCCATCTAAATTAATATCTTCCGGTACAGTGCCGTGCAATTCCTCTTTAATCGATGCGGTGCCAAATTCTTGTTTAAGCGTTGCCTTTGTCGAGGCGTAAAGCATTTTCTGTCGAATTGGCGCAGTATCCGGTGACCAGGAAATGAAAAGCCAATCATAGCCGGAATCTGATTTTGTATCGAGACGATAGAGAATATAAGCTGGTTGATTCTCCTCGATTAATGGTTTTATCATTTTATCGTAATCATCTTGCCATTTGCCCACTGGTTTCGATGATGACGAAGAAGATAATTCCTCTATGAAAGAAAATGCTATTTCATTTACATTCTATACATGAATTTATATTTTTTTAATTTTCTAATTTCCACATTTCAATTTCAGGACTCGAACCAGTGATACTATTTAAAAATACGGACTCTACGAACGAAAAATGAAAAATTACGGACCATTTATGGACCAATTACTGACAAAAATATGAGTGATAAAATCATTATCAATTCAATTATTATTTTCAAGAATTTTCAAATCCATTTCTTTACAACATTCAATTTTACGAAATTTCAATTATTCGCAAATTCTTTAATTAAATATATATTAAAAAATAAAAACTTAAAATAATACAAAAAAATTCAATTAAACTTTTTCAAAAAAATTAATTTCAAAATTCAATTATTTCTAAATATTCACGCTATATTGCTTTTACTATTCAATTATTATCTAAAATTTTAACTGAAATTCATTTTTAAATCAATTTTTATTAGAAAATTCTACTAGAATTCAATTATTCAATTGCAAAGATAAAAAATGTATTTAATAATTGAATGTTTCTTAAAATTCAATTTCCACAAAGAATTTTATCAACAAATTTTTAAATAACTGAATTCTTTCGACGAATTTCAATAAAACTTTTAAGAATAATAACATTTTTCGAGAAATTCCATTAAAATTGTCATAAAAATTATTGAAATTCTGCAATGAGTTTTATTATTTGTGAAAGTAATTGAATCTCTAAGAAGAATTTTATTACTTTTTAACAATATTTAATTTTTGCGAAGAATATTATTATTCTTGAAAATAATTGAATTTCTGCAATAATTTGTAACTTTTACAAAATTAAATTTTTTTTCGTGTTTTTAACTAAAATTCTTCTCTATAAGCATTATTTTAAAAAATTTTTTGAAAAAGTTCTTTGAAAATTTTTAAATTCATTTGTATACAATTCAATTTTACAAAATTTAAATTATTCCTAAGTTATTCAATTAAATATAAATATTAGAAAATAAAAACTTGAAATAATTTTTAAAAAAAATTGTCAATTTAAACTTTTTAAAAAAAATTAATTCCGCAGTTAAAAATATGAAAAATTCAGATTCTCAAAGATTTTAATTTGAAACCTTTTCAAAATTTAATTATTTCTAAAAATTCACGCTCTAATGCTTTTAATATTCAATTATAATAAAAAATTACAACTGAAATCCATTTTTATTAAAAAATTCTACTTGAATTTCAAAAGAATTGAATTCTTTTGACGAATTTTTGTTGTATTTTAAATAAATTATGAAACAGTTATTCAGCTTAACAAAATTATAAGACTTTATTAGACATGAACTTCAGAGGTGTTTACATTCTAGGCGCTCTCTGCCTACTGACTTATTTCAGAATAATGCGAGAAAATATAAGAAGCCGAAATAGAAGAAACTAATACAAATCTACTCAATTCGTAATATAGATATATACATATATCATACTACATTCAAACTCGATAAATGTATAGTTTTGTTTTGATGAGATAATAAATCTCCAACAATTTTAATAACATTTGTAAGAATAATTACATTTTTCGACGAATTCGATTAAAATTGTATTAAAAATAATTGAAATTCTGCAATGAGTTTTTTTATTTATGAAAATAATTGAATTCCTAAAAAGAATTTTATTATTTACGAAAATAATTGAATCCGTGTAAAAATTTTATAATCAATTATAAATAATTGAATGATTGCGAAGAAATTTATAAATAATTTGTAAATAATTGAATTCCTGTGAAATTTTTATTATTTTTTGAAAATAATTAAAAGTTTGTGTAGAATTTTCTTAAATTTTTTTTTTAAATAATTAAATTCTTTTCGTAAATTTTATGAAAATAGTAGATATTAAAAATCATTGAATTGAGGAAATTTTTTGAAAATAATTGAATTTCGGAGAAGAATTTTATTACAATTTTTGAAAATAATTGAAATTTTGCAGAATAATTGAAAATTTCTTAAAATTGAATTCTCATAATTCATAAAGAATTATATCAATAAATTTTTGTTACAATTTTTGTAAATCAACTTTCGAAGAATTTTAATTGCAAATTTTGAAAATAATTGAATTAACAAAAATTTCAATGAAAAATCTTTAAAAGTAAATTTAAAAATGAAAATAAGCATCTAATTTTTTAAAATTCACTATTTTTAATATTTTTAATTACATATTTCCAAAAATAATAACATTTTTGAATTATTTTTAACATTTTGGAGAAAACAATAATGTTCAAAATTTTTAATTAAAATTCATCAAACAATTCATTAGTTTTTTAAAATTATGCAAAAATTCTTTAAAGAAATACAATTATTTTCTATAATATAATATAATATAAATAATCAAACTTTTGAAGAATTTTAATTTTAAATATAAACATGATTTTCCCGAAATTTTAAATAAGAATCTAAAGAAGTAAATTTAAAAAAAATTTAATTTACTTTGTTCGAAGATAAGTAAATCTTAAAAAATTATGATAAAACAGTTCTAAGAATTAGTTTTTTTGAATGTATTCTAATGTAATTTTTCGAAAATAATTGAATTTCTTTTTGTACCCATGTATTTGAATTTTCGGAATTATATTTTTGAAAATATTGAAAATAATTGAATATTAAAAATTTATATTAAAAAAAATTTAATATTAGTTTTTAGAAGCTATCTAGTTTTCATTAATTTTGATTTTCGTAAATTTAGACTTGAAGATTTTTCATTAAATTTTTTTGAGAATTCAATTATTTTCACAAAATTTGCAATTCAATTTCTTCAAAAGTTAATTTTTAAAAATTGTAATAATACTTGAAAAAAATAAATTAGTTTCAATTGAATTTTACAAAATTTCAATTATTCCAAATCATTTTAATTGAAAATTTCGAAAATTTAATTAGAAAAATTATTCAAAAATAAGTTTTGAATGATTTTTCTATAGGTAGTTATTATTCACACTGGAAAAATCAAAATAATTTGCAATTTTTTATACTAAAAATGTGGTATTTTGTTGCAATATTTGGAAGAATAGTCGATAAGGTCGCAATTTTTGAAAATAAGTCGAAAAAAGTCGCATTTTTAGAAAATAGTCGAAAAAAGTCGAAAAAGTTGTAATATCCGAGGTCTGTTCTCATAAAAAATGAAATTTTTATCTTAGAAGACATAAAGAACGTAAATGACAATAAAAATTAAAAATTAGTTTTTTACTTACCATTTTCAATCGAAACTTTTAATACTCTTATTTTTCCATCTCTGCATTTTGCGAAAATTTTCTTTAAACCGTCGTTCGCTGAGAAAATAAACAAAAAGACGTCAGAAAAATCTATATATACGAGTGGGAGTTTATTTTGAGGTTAGAATTCTAGTACAAAAACCATTTCAATGAATTACTATCACGTATTCGAATATTTAGAACTATATTGATTGTTGCTATTATTTACCCTTGATTCCTGTTTGATGAGACATTGTTCCTTGGATTTTTTTTCTTAACGTAAGACAATAAAAATTAAAAACTTTTCCGAGACTTCACAAAATGATCTACCTACGCAAATACCCACCCCGCAACCACCCGCGGCACCCTTATTTATAAATCTTTTGATTGGTCCTTAATAACCAATCTTGTTCTTCCGAGAAGCAAATGTCAGCTGTGCAAATTTTGCCTTGAAGTGTGTACTAGCCTTTAAATTCAATTTGCGGAAGTTGCGACTACGTAAGTTACGTAAGTACATATGTAAATTCTAAATTTGAATCTTCAATTTCCCGCCTCTAGGATTTATTTTAAACTTATCCAATCATATTTTTTATTATTCTCATTATTCTATAATTTATAATTTACAAGAAAAATTTGTGTTTCTAGTTTGATTATTACTATATTTATTCAGTTTCTCTTAAATTGAAAAACTCTTTTTAATTTACAATTTTACATTTGTCCAAACTTGTAAATCGACCTTTACCTGTTAATAATTTTAAATATAAATATTGTTGAATATGGTAATAATCCATTAAAAAGTAGTCGATCTTTTCGCAATTATAAATATCAGATGAAAATGTGTATTTTCACTCTTTTTTTATCAAATAATATATTTATGTGGAAAAAAATATTTTTGCAAATTGTTGCAATTCCGTTAGAAATATGAACTTCTCTTAAGACTCAAGTCCATAGACTTAAAACATTCTTATAGAAGACACACCACTTTTCAAAAAGTTGTCCAAACCGGAAGGACAGCATATTATATGTTATTGAGTTTACGTACCTATTATTGGTGTAAATAAATTTTGTTTTAATCATTAATAGGCGAGGTAATTATTAACACATAGAGTGTTATATATTTTATCAGTTTCAAGTGAAAATACTGTTTGTTTTTTCTGCAATTAGTTGTGTAAAGGCTTTTGTTGCACTAATTTATAGAATTACAGGAATCTGTTTTTTTTTTTGGTGTGAAATGCAGACAAAACATGGCGTAAAGCCGTTGTTACACATGTGTCACAAAAATTAGTAAAAAAAAGAAGAGAAAACTCCTTATGTGATTGCTTATCATTTAATTGTATCTGTAAATCTTGCCGTGCTTCAAATTGTAAGTCGAAATCATTACCGTTATGTATCACTCAATTTTTTTTAGAATTCAATTCCTTGATGCAAGAACCAGACATTGGGAATTTAAATTCAAAAAGCTTATGTTTAGTTCTTGCATCGGGGTATTCAATTGTTTTCATTATTGTAAAACGCTTTTTGTTGACTTTATTCATTTTTTTTTTGTCAATATTTTTAATTAATATTTGAAAACAATAGGTATTTCGATTACATTAAGAAGTTGTTTGAATTTTAACATATAATGTCAAATGAGAGAAGACATTTTTATAAAATAGTGTTTATATTTAAATTACAAGTTTAAACAAAACAATTGTCCTTATATAATTTTCTTTGGTGTTAAATAATATTCAAATTTTTTATTCTTGGGATTAATGAGACATTTTTTTGCAGGTTTTTAAGAAATTGCCTTTTAAAATATTATTCCGCAGTGGATTTAAAATTATTGCAGGTGAGTCATTTTTTATTACTAAAACATTGATAATAAATGTATTTTGTACTTTTATTTTTAAAAGTACTTTTTTCTTAACTTTTGTTTTAGAATTAAAATTCTAAATTTAAATTATTTATTTAGTTTTAAGTTTGGAAATTTGAGTTAGAATTTAATTTATTTTATTTATTTCCTAATGGAATTCTTATTAAATATCGTTGAATTAAAAGCGATTATTATCGTTATTACTTAATAGTGCGGTTTATAATTAAGACTGAGAAAAGTTATTAATATCTTTCGTTGTTCTATTATTGAACTGATTTCTTTATATCATTTAGTCACTAATTTTAGTTCTAAATGATTCATAGAGTTTGTTTTCTAAATACTTTCATTTGCACCTGCTAAAGTTGTATGAAACTTTCAGACCTGCGTGGAACTGTAAAAACTCTTGACAAGAAACTTTATTTATGTTTACTTATTTAATTTTCATTTCTGCAAAATTTCCTAGGAGAATGAAGAGTAAAATTGTTTATTGAGTATATATTTTCATCTCCCTCTCACTTTCTTTCTTTTTTCATTCTCTGTTTATTCTGTTGGGAAATTTTTCCATTTTCACTAATTACGTCACCGAAATTTCGTCGCAAAGCCGAAGAAGAATTATAGAGAAGAGGTGAGGAGAGAGATTTTCCAAGTCTTGGTTTAGACTGTCTAAATATAACCATAGGCTCCACAAGTCTTTCTTTTCGTGTAGTGCCGTGTCGTATTAAGGAGCATCCAGCTCCGGTTCGTGGATTTTTACTTCATTTTTTCTTCTAATTAATTATGACCAAATAAATTTTGGTTCGAAAATTCATTATTCCAAATTTTATTTGTTGATCAGTCATGATTGATTGTCAGTTTAAAAAGTAAATCAGAGAAATGATCATCATTTTGACAACGATACAAACATGCTTATCTTCAATACATAATGTTTAAAAAGCTATCTTTAGATAGAACGATTTCAAGAGATTCACGCGAGTTCGTTGAGTTTTAACACACTTCAATCAGAAATTTTGTTCTTTCAGGGAAATGTAAGAATTTTTGTTTTTAATTTCAAATTTTGAAATTGAAAATTACATAAGAAAATATACTTTTATTATTAATTAAAAACTGATTAATTCTAATTTATTTATTACAGAAAAATGGTGTGTGTGGCAAATGAAGTTAAATTGAAATGCGTGGTCTGCGTTGGAGAGGAAAAATCTGTATTTTGCACTTTTACACTTCCAACGTCTACGTCCATTTTGGGACTCCATTTTATAATTTCAAGACTTCGTAAATGTGAACCATTTACCTTTGAAATTCACTACAATGAGGTGGGTAGATTTAAAAAATTCTCACTAATTATTGTGGTATTAAATTTTGAATTCTGTGAAGAGTTTTTCATTTCTGTGCATATCTAATCAGAGAATTGTTTTTTTCTTCTTCTACAAAATAGACTAACTTGATGAAGGACAATTATATTACTAGGACATTAATTGAATTATTTCCTAATTGTTTGAAACAATCGACTGAGGAAATTACAATAGAAATAAATGATATACCAAAAGCGACAATTCAAAATATTTGGGAAGACATATGTATCGCATTTAAAAAGGATTCAAATGGAAAAGAACTTGACAATTGTTACAAACCTACTCCTACTCCTAGTATAAGTCGATCAGTCGAGTTTGTTAACAGTCAACCAACAAAGAGTGAGTAATCTATTTTTAATTCAAAACTGAGTAATGCATTTTGAAAAAAAAATTAAGTTTTTTATATTTGAAACTTTTTTAAAATTTAAATTTACTAAAAATTTTGTAATTTGTATTTTTATTATTTTTTAAAAAATTTTATTTTTCCAATTACTTTTATTTATTTAGATAATATATTTATCTAAATATTTTCTTTTTGTCCTAGACTATGTGGGTTTAGTGAATCAAGCAATGACTTGCTATTTAAATAGTTTACTGCAAGCATTGTACATGACTCCAGAATTTAGAAATGCTTTATACAATTGGGAATATTCTGATGGTTCCGATAAAGATCAGTCTACCAGTATACCATATCAGTTACAAAAATTGTTTCTCAGTTTACAGGTAAATTTAAAAATTTTTCCCACACTTTTTTATTCTTTATTTATGACTAATATTTATTGTAAATTAATTTTGAAGAAAAATTGCTTTTGTTTTCTGTTGTTATTATAGACCTCAACGAAACCAGCTGTTGAAACAACATCATTAACGAAAAGTTTTGGTTGGGATTCCTCGGAAGCTTGGCAGCAACACGACATTCAAGAACTCTGTCGAGTTATGTTTGATGCCTTAGAAAAAAAATTCAAAAATACAGAACACTCTAATCTTATCAATCGACTTTATGAGGGTGAGATATTAGCAAAATTATTATATATATTACAAATTGGTTATTAATATTGTTTGGTATTCAATTAGTAATTATTAATTAACTAGTAAATGTTATATTCAAACGTGATATTCAATTTATTATTATTATAAAACTTATATAATTTTTTATTTCCAAATATAAATTTTTGAATAATTTCATAAACAAAATTTTAAAAATTCTCTTATTAAGTACATAATTAATTATTATTTATAGATGAAGGAAAATAAACGAAAACATTCGGACAATTCAAAAATTTTAATATAATTCTTCACAAGAATTCAATTATTTTCATAAATAATATTTTTCGGAAGAATTCAATTATTTTTAATATAATTTTAATAAAATTTCATGAAAGAATTCAATTTCTGTTTTATTTTTTAATAATATTTTTGGAAAAAATTCTATTATTTTCTAAAAATTTTATATTCCATTGAAACAATTCAATTTTTATTAATTTTTAAAAAAACACGAAAGAATTCAATTATTTTCTTAAAATTTTAATAAATTCTACGAACAAATTCAATTATTTTTTTAAACTAAAATAATAATCAATTTTTTAATTTGTAATTATTAACAGAAATAATTATTTTAAGAAGTTGAAAAAATTCTTTGTTTAATTCAATTAATTTTGAAATTTTCAAATAAAATTATTCAAAGACTACATTTGTTCTAAAAAAAAACTATTCTTCGAAATAATTTAATTATTTTCTATATATTTTAATAAAATTCCTTTAATGAATTAAATTATTTTAGAAAACTGTAATAAAATTCTGAGAAGAATTTAATTGTTTTCTAAAAATTTTAATGAAATCGAATAATTAAATGTTTAACTTCAATTATTAAGAAACAAGATTAAAAAAAAATTCAAATAAATTCTTCAAAAGAATTTAATTAGGATTTTGAAAATTTTTAATAAAATTCTTCGCAAGAATTCAATTACATGCTGAAATTTTTTGATAAAATTCTTTGCAAGAATTCAATGATTTTCAATACGTTAATTTTAAAATTGAAAACATTCAAAAAGAGAAATTGTTAAAAAAGTATTTAATTTAGTAATTAGTAATTAATTACTATATTTAATTTAGTAATTAAAAATTAATTACTATATTTAATTCAGTAAGTAGTAATCAAAAGTAATTAGTTATAATATCTTAGTAAAAAGAATTTTTAAATTATTTTTTTTTTGTTTTGCAAGAAAAATGATATTTCAATTTAAAATGATCTTAATTTATTAATAAGGAATTAAAATTAATTAGTAAAAAGATTTTTTTTATTTTACTTTTTCTATTTTATAGGAAAAATGATAGACTATGTAAAGTGTCTCGAGTGTAAAACAGAAAAGACGAGAGAGGACACTTTTCTTGACATCCCATTACCACTGAGGTCATTTGATAGTACAACTGCGTATGAGAGCGTGGTTCGTATTTATATTGCTTTTTAACTACAATAAATGGAATAAATTATGGAAAGAAATATTGATTTGGAACATAAATTTAGAGAAGACAATTTTTCAAATAATAATTAATAATAATTTTTTTTGCTCTTTCTTAGTAAAATTCTCTTTTTTTTTAGAATAAGTTTTTGGAAAATGACATTTAATCAATATGTATATAAAGCTGATAATTTAATCGATTACTATTATATTATATTGAAATTTTAGGAGGAAGCACTAACGGCTTTTGTAAAATATGAAACATTAGATGGAAACAATCAATATCATTGCGAAAAGTGTAATAAAAAATGCGATGCACATAAAGGTCTTAAGTTCACAAAGTTTCCTTACATATTAACATTGCATTTAAAAAGATTTGATTTCGATTACAAAACACTTTTTAGAGTGAAACTTAACGACAGGTGAGTTACGTTTTTTTTTTTGTAATCTATAGTTTAGAACATTATTTTTACTTACAATTTTTTTATATTTTGAAATATTTGTTAATTTTTTTCTTACAATTTTTACTTTTGTAAATATCAGGGTTGCCACGCAACCTGGAAACCTGGAAAATCTGGAAATGTCAGGGAATTTTATAAACCTTGAAAAAAACCTGAAAAAGTCAGGGAATTTTGATTGGAATCCTGGAAAGTTATTGTTTTCTAAAATTATTGTGCTTATTCTTGAAATCTAATTTTTCTTTAATTTAATTTTCTTAATTTAAATATCTTAATTCAATTTTAAAAGAGTTACCCTTTACAATTTTTCTTCGCAATAATTCAATTATTTTCATAAATAATAAGAAACTTTATAGATTTACAATTATTTTCATAAATAATAAAACTCATCGCAGAATTTCAATTATTTTTAATACAATTTTAATGAAAAATGTCATTATTCTTAAAAATTTTATTAAAATTCATCAAAGAAACTCAATTATTTTAAAAAGCCTTCCTACAATTTATTTATTATAATTTAATTATTATTGTCATACATTTTTTATTAAATTTCTTGAAAGAATTAAATTATTTTCAAAAATATTAATGACATTTTTTTTAACACTTCAATTTTTTTCAAAATAATTTTAATAAAACTCTTTGTAGAAATTTCATTAATTTCTATATAATTTATCAAAATTCAATTATTTTCAATATCTACTATTTCAATAAAATTTCACAAAAGAATTCAATTAGGTATTTAAAAGGAAATATTATTAAAAAATTCATCACAAGAATTCAATTATTTTCAAAAGTAATAAAATTTTTTGCAGAAAGTTTTTTGGTCAAAAGTTTTAAAAAATTATCGTCAAAATTTCAATTATCTTTATAAATATTAAAATTTTTCTCCAAAATTCAATTATTTTCAAAAATTTTAATACATTCAATTTTTTTTTAAATTCTCCTCTATTCAATGATTTTCAATATCTACTATTTTAATAAAATTTTCCATAAGAAATGAATTATTTTAAAAATTTTTTAATAAAATTCTAAGCAAACCTTTTATTATTTTTATAAATAACAAATATTTCTTAGCAATTCAATTATTTACAAATTTTTTATCAATTTCTTTGCAATAATTCCATTATTATCAAAAATATTCAATTTATTTTTACAGAGATTCAATTATTTTTATAAATATGTAATAGAATTTTTTACAGGGATTCAATTATTATTTTCATAAATAATAAAACTCATTGCAGAATTTCAATTATTTTTGATACAATTTTAATCGAATTCATCGAAAAATGTAATTATTCTTAAAATTTTATTAAAATTCGTCAAAAGAATTTAATTATTTAAAAATTTGTTCATAAAATTCTTTATGAGAATTCAATTTTGAGAAACATTCAATTATTAAATAAATTATTTATTTTTGTATTAAAAATAATTAGGTATTTAAAAAGAAATATTAAAAAATTCGTCTCAAGAATTCAATTATTTTCAAAAGTAATAAAATTCTTCGCAGAAATTCAATATGATTCAAAGTTTAAAAAATTTATTGTCAAAATTTCAATTATTTTTATAAATATTAAAATTTTTCTTCAAAATTCAATTATTTTTTAAAAATTTTAATAATAATCTTGGCAATATTTCAATTATTTTCAAAAATTTTAATAAAATTCTCGTCAAAATTTCAATTATTTTCAAAAACTTTTCTCAATTCAATGAAATTTTTTTACAGAGATTCAATTATTTTTAATACAATTTTAATCTAATTTCTCGAAAAATGAAATTATTCTTAAAAATTTTATTGAAATTCTTCAAAAGAATTTTAATTTTACCTATTTAAAAATTTGTTGATAAAATTCTTTAAATGAGAGTTCAATTTTAAAAAACATTCAATTCTTCAATAAATATTTTTTTTTTTTTGTATTTAAATAATTGAATTGCCGTAGAATTTTCTAATAATAATTGATTCAAATATGAATTTCAGTTAAAACTTTAGATAATAATTGAGTTTTGAAAAGGTTTCAAATTATAATCTTTGAATGTTTGAATTATTTATATACTTTTAACTTAAAATTGTGTAGATTTAATTTTTTTGTAAAAGTTCAATTGAATTTTTTTTAAGTTATTTGAAGTTTTTATTTTCTAATATATATTTGATTGAAGAATTTCCGAATAATCGATGAAATTTCGTAAAATTGAATTGTAAACAAAAGGATTTGAAAATGTTCAAAGAAATGTTTCAAAAATTATTAATAATAATTAATTTAAACTTTATAAAGAAGAATTTTAGTTAAAAATTCTGGAAAACAATAATTGAATTGAAATGATGAAAGTAATTTTTAATTATTATAAAACATAAAGAAATCGATTGCTCTGAGTCGAAGACTCGGAGTGATCGATTTCTTTATGTTTTATAACAATTTTTTTATAAGTTGTTTAATTTCAAAAAGGTTTTAATTAAAAATTTTGTAAAATATAAATGTAGTTTTAAAAACCTGGAAAAATTCAGGGAATTTGAAATGAGCAAAAGCGTGGCAACTCTGAATATTTAGTTTCTGCAATATGTTTTATTGTTTGCAATATTTTTTATTTTTAACAATTTTCTTTATAAAACAAAAAATTTTATTTTATGTTATTAAATTTTTTTTTAAATAAAAATTTTACTTTCAGAGTTACTTTTCCGTATTATATTGATTTAAATTCGTTTATTGAGAAGGCAGTGAGTAAAGAATCTCCTTGTTTAGAAGAAGATGCTGGAATGAGTGTTAAATTTGATGATACCTCGACGACAGACAGTGGAACTGTAGAAGATGATTGTCCACCTTGTAATAATGTGGCGCATGATCAAGAAAATGACGAGGGTATTTATTATTTTACAATACTTTATTAATAGATAATTAAATTATTACTTTGATATTTATTTTATTTTTTCATAGGCAATTCTTTTTAATTTTTAATTAATTAAATTAATTAATTTTTAATTCTTTTCTTTTAAATTTTTTATTAAAAAAATTCTACGTAAGTCGAAACGAAAAATAACATCAATTTCCTGAAAAATAAATATTTTATTACGTAAATTTATTATTATTTTGAAAATAAAGAATTAAAAGACGAATTTCATTTCTTATCGACAGGAATAGATATGAGTAATGGAATTGCCACGACAAATGGTGTTGCAAATTCCCATGAAACTGGAAAGAATATTGAAAAATGTCCAAAAGATGATAGTCCATATATTTATGATCTTTTTTCAATTATGATTCACAATGGAGGTGCTAGTGGTGGTCATTATTATGCGTATATTAAAGATTTTACGACCAATCAATGGCTGTGCTTCAATGACACAACTGTCAATACAGTAGGAATTTGTTTTTTTATTCGGAACAATCGAATTTTCATGAATTCCATTTCATTTGAATTGAAAATTTTATTTTTAATTTAAAAAAACATTGTTAAAATCTAAAAATATCTAAAAATTTGTTGTAAAAATTAAACTTGTTGATTGATTTGATTTATTAAAAATTGTAAAAAAAATGTTGTAGATAACGGACAGTCATATTGAACGTGTTTATGGTGGTGGGCCAACGAAAGCATATTCAAGTAGTACAAATGCCTATATGCTCATGTATCGACAAATAGATCCAACTAAAAATGATGTACCAATGCAAGAGAAGGATTTTCCCGAGCACATTAAATTATTATTGGAAAAAATGAAGGAATCTGAGGATGCTGATAAAAATTGTCAAGTTCGCATTGAATTGTTTTGTAAAATTGAAGTTTATTGCAATCATCCAAAAGCGAAGAAATTAATGATGAAATGGATACGTTTAGGACAGTATGCAACATTTGCTGAATTAAAGGAGAAGGCTTATGAAAAATTTAGTCTCTATGGAGATGTTGATCTTGATCAGTGTCGACTTGTTTTTTACGATTCAAGAGAAAATATAATTAAACAAACGTACAAGGGCAAGGAGAACGCTTTAATTGGTGAAATTTTTAAAAATTACACTGAAGATCCGGTATTGCTCCTTGAAATTCGTGAGAAGGATCAAGAATTTGAAACATATAAACCAAATGGTAATTTGAATTTTAATACTTTTTAAAAATATGTAAAATTGTTCAATTAATCAATTGACATGATTTTTTAGGTATCCCGTTACAAGTGTGCGTTATAGATCCAATTAATGAGGATTTTATTGAAGGACCATTTAGTGTTAGAGGTCATAATTGTCAAAGTGGAGCGGAATTTAAACAACAACTGTCGAAAATTATAAATATCGAACCACAAAATATGAATGTCTATAAAAGAGATCATTTAAGAAGTGGCTATCATTTATTTGACGATGAGAAAGTATTACAGAGTTATAAATTAGAAGGTTCTTATAAAATATTCGTCACAACTCCGATTGAATCTGAAGAATCGGGTTCAACTAAAATTCTTGATCTTATTGACAATTTTCAAAGAGTAATGTGGCTGCATATCCAATTACCAGACATTGACAAAGGTTTTTCATTTTTACATTTTTCTTAAATTATTTAAATAAGTACTAACAATTATGTTCCGCGGGCTAGCGCGCGGAACGTGATATTCAATTTATTATTATTATGCAAATTACAAGATTTTTTATTTTCAACAAAATTTCAATAAATTCTTCGAAACAATTCAATTATTTTTTAAAATAGTAAAATCTTTGCAAAAATTCAATTATTAATACAATTTCACGAAAGGAATAATTTTTTTTTAACCGTTATAAGATTTTCCAAAAGAATTCAATTTATTTAAAAAATTTTGATAAAATTCGTTTTAAAAATTCAATTATATTCAATACAATATCAATTAAATTCCTCCAAAGAATTAAAATTTTCATTATATTATTTTTCAAAAATCTTAATTAAAATCTTAGCAAAATTTCAATAATTTTCATAAATAACAACATTTTTCAAAGGATTTCAATTATTTTCCAAAATTTAAAAAAATTCTTCCTAAAAATTCAATTATGTTCATAAAAAGAAAAATTCTTTTGAAGATTTCAATTATTTTCTTAAATAATAAAATTCTTCTGAGGATTTCAATTATTTTCAAAAATTTTAATAAAATTCTTCTTAAAAATTCAATTAACTTCATAAAAAGAAAAATTCTTTTAAAGATTTCAATTATTTTCTTAAATAATAAAATTCTTCTAAGGATTTCAATTATTTTCAAAAAATTTAAATAAAATTCTTCTTAAAAATTCAATTATCTTCATAAAAAATAAAATTCTTTAGAGGATTTTAATTATTTTCAAAAATTTAAATAAAGTTCTTAAAAATTCAATTATCTTCATAAAAAATAAATTCTTTTGAAGATTTTAATTATTTTCTTAAATAATAAAATTCTTCTAAGGATTGGAATTATTTTCAAAAATTTTAATAAAATTCTTTCTATAAATTCAATTGTCTTCATAAAAAATAAAATTCTTTGGAAGATTTCCATTATTTTCATTAATAGAAAAATTCTTCGAAGGATTTCAATTATTTTCAAAAATTTGATACATATTCTTGTCAAGAAATCCTTTCGAAGTAAAATTAATAGCAAAAATTAAATTACTTTTTATAAATAATAAAATTCTCCTGTGGAATTCAATTATTTTCAATACAATTTTAATAAACTTCAAAAATCAAATATTTCATTATAATTTTTAACAGTCACGATTATTATAAAAAGTTGAAAAAATTCTTTGTTTAATTCAATTATTTTCAAAAGATTGATTTAAAATTATTTAAAAAACTACATTATTTGAAAAAAATACACAAAAAAGTAATTCTTCAAAAGAATTTAATTATTTACAAAAACTTTTTAATAGATTAATTTTAAAATTGAAAGTATTTGAATAGAAAAATGATTAAAACGTTTAGGAAACAAAAAAGCAAACAACAACTAACTTCAAACTGCGAACAGATTAAAATTCTCCAATTTTAATAAATTCAACTAGCAAAAACTGACGCGCGCGAGCGCGCGTGCATTTTTTTTTCAACGTTTTATTTTAAATAATTAAAACTTTATTTTTTCAGCGAATTTGAACCATTATGATGTCACAATTTTTTAGCAAATGCTGTGAACAAATTGTGACGTCATTATGGTTCAAATGCCATTAAAGAAATTATTTCATCTTCTATTAATTAATATATTTTTGCATTTTCTTTTTTTATATAAATAAATTAAAATTTTTATTTATTAATTGAAAATATCTGTTCGCAGTTTATATTTTTTTTTTGTTTAATATTTTAATAATTTTATGTTTTAATATATATATAAATATATTTTTTCTATTAAAATAGCAATTCTTTAAAATGATTATTATTATTTTTAAGGGTATTTTAATTATTATTATGACGTTATAATGTTTTAAATAAATTTAAAAAATGGAAATGCTGGAAAGAATGAAAAATACATTTTTTTTAGAAATATAAAATTATTCAATTAACATCTTCTATCTTTATATCTTCTCTCTATATTAATATCTTCTTCTTCTATCTTCTTTGATTTAGTTGTAATTTACTTTTTTGTTTCCTATCTTCTTTAATAATTTTATGTTTCAATATTTTTAATTTTAGAGGCATTTCACGTCAGAAATATCACGATTTGCAAAGGGTATGCCGATTTTCGCAAAACTTCGTGGGATTATAGTTCTATATAAGAGACTTCTTTCCCCTAAATTTTTTCAAAAAAAATTCAAAATTGTTGAAGATACGCCATTTTGAATTTTAATATTAATTTTATAAAATTTTGAATATCTCGGAATATTGTTTATGGATTTTTATGAAATTTACACATTTTTCAGGTAAAAGTATGTACTTTAAAATGCAAATAAAGTTAATAAAAAAAAATTAATTTTTAAATAAAAAAATTAAAAAAAATTTTTTTAAACAATTTTTTGTTTATTTACTCCTCTCTGAGAAAAATGTTATTAACATATTTGGATTCCTTATGAATTCACCTTTAATTTCATAAAAAAAAATTGATGGAGACTCAACTGGTTCCGGAGATATTGAATTTTTTGTAAAAAAAAGCGTCGCCGCGCCATAGCACCATACTGCACAAGTCGCGTAGTACGTTACCGCAGTCGTGCATTGCTGCTGTAACTATGACTATTTTTTTACAAAAAATTCAATATCTCTGGAACCAGTTGAGTCTCCATCAATTTTTTTTTATGAAATTAAAGGTGAATTCATAAGGAATCCAAATATGTTAATAACATTTTTCTCAGAGAGGAGTAAATAAACAAAAAATTGTTTTAAAAAATTTTTTTTAATTTTTTATTTAAAAATTAATTTTTTTTTTATTAACTTTATTTGCATTTTAAAGTACATACTTTTACCTGAAAAATGTGTAAATTTCATAAAAATCCATAAACAATATTCCGAGATATTCAAAATTTTATAAAATTAATATTAAAATTCAAAATGGCGTATCTTCAACAATTTTGAATTTTTTTTGAAAAAATTTGGGGGAAAGAAGTCTCTTATATAGAACTATAATCCCACAAACTTTTGCGAAAATCGGCATACCCTTTGCAAATCGTGATATTTCTGACGTGAAATGCCTCTTTAATTAAAATTAATATATTGAATTTCATTTAAATTCTTGCAAAAAATTTGAGAATCATTGAATTTCTTCAAAAAATGTCATTATTTATGAAAATAATTCAATTTTCGCTAAAAATCATTAAATCAATTTTGGAAACCCTAATTAAATTTTTCTGAAGAATTATTTTTTATTTTTTGTTTAATAATTGTGTTTCTTTAATAATTTTAATTGGATATTTTTAAAGTAATTTAAATTTATGAACAATTTTTTTCAAGTTTTTAAAACTAATTTTTAAATTTGTAAATTTAGTTGAAACATCTATTGTTTACATTTATCCCTTGTTTACAATTACCCCAAATGGCCCTAATTGTAAATTGATTGTTTTGTTGATTTTTGAATTTTATTTCGGAATAATTCAATTTTTTATTATGTATTTTTCATGATTTGAAGACTTTATATAGTCTTTAAAAGACTTGATAGTATTTAAATAGTTGAAATGAAAGGCGGTGCCTAAAGTATTTTTTTTAAGTTCATTATTTTTTTTTCTTTTTAGAAAATCTATTTTCTATAATATTGTGTTAAAAAAAACGTTAACATTTTATATTTTATTTGAACAGAAGATAACGATAAGTTTAATTCTTGCAAAAGAAAGCACTTATAAGTTAATTCTACACACAAACACACACAGAAATACGTTTATTTTTTACGTAAGTGCCAATAAATTAATTTCAATTTTTTATTTAAAATGAAATAATTTAATTTTGAATTAATTGTATTTTTGATATTTGAATAATTAATTATTATTTTGAACAATTACATTTTTCAATGATTTCAAAATAATTAAATTTTTATTAAAAACAGAATAATTTATTTTTGAATTAATTAAAATTGTTTGATTTATTTTTGAATAATTAATAATTGACTTTTGAATTATTTAAAATTCAAATATTGTAAAAAATTAATAAAATATTTAAAAAACAATTTATTTTTAACATAATAAAAAAAGTAATTTATTAAAATACTAAATTCAAATAGATTTTGAATTGCAATTATTTTTAAAAATAAATAAATTTTTTGTGTAAAATCATTTTTTTAAAATTAATTAAAATTTGAAACAATTGAATTTTTTTTTTCATTTTTGAAAAATTAATTATTTCGAACAATTTTTTAAACATAAAAGAACCAGGAGCTATTATCACTCATAATAGCAATCAAAAAAAGCACACACTAAAGGGATCGCTCTTCCCAAAAAATTTAGACTCTAGATCCTGCACTGTATAAGTTAATAATTGAAGATTAATTAAATTTTTGAAAAATTAAATATTAAAAAATTAATTATTTTGAATAATTAATATTATTGAACAGTAATTTACGAAAACGACCAATGTAATAAAATTTAGAACGATATTTTTTATTGATTCAGGAAAATTGAATTTTTTAATTAAAATTAATAATCGTTGAAAATTGAAAATAATACAACTTTTATTGACAATTCGATATTTCAGTTTTTTTAGATTTTAAAAATGCATAAAATTTTCAATAATAATAATAAATCAAAATACAATAAATATTATCAATTATAATTATAAATAAAAAAAAAATAATAATAATAATAATAATAAGATATACGAATAAAATTTGTTTTTAAGTTATTTTGAGATTTTTATTTAACAAAATAAAATGAAATAATATAAATGATTTAATTAAGAAGAAAATTTTAATTAATAATTAGAATTTACCAATCTACAGTTTTTTTTCCACTGAAAACGGTAACCTCTCGCCTGATACCAGATATTTTTCCACGATTTTTCAAACACAATAATTCTTGTCACAATTTAACGTTTTTTAAAAACACCCGCACTACCGCATAACATAACATCGGAAATGTCAAAACATCACGAAAAATATAAACAAACAAAAAAATCATGATAATAATTCGCAAATGATAACTAACAACTAACTTCATACTGCGAACGGACAGAATGAAAAACCACAGACTTTAATAAAGTTAATTATTTTTTTTTATTTATAAGAATTTCTGTAAATAATTAAATTCTTTTGAAGAATTTCTTTAAGTTTTTTTGAAAGTAATATAATTTTTTGAATATTTTAATTGAAAATTTTAAAAATAATAGAATTAAACAAAGAATTCTTTTGAACATTTTAAAATAATCGTGTCTTAATATTTATTAACCAAATGTTTGATTATTAAAGTTTATTAAAATTGTATTGAAAGTAATTGAATTTCTCAGAAGAATTTTATTATTTATAAAAATTATTAAATTGTTTCCAAATATTTATTAAAACTTTAGAAAATAATTTGATTCTTTCGAAAAATTGTATTATAAATTTTAAAAAAATGGACTGTTTCAAAGGATTATAATAATTGTAGAAAATAATACAATTTTTTCAAAAAATATATTATTAAAAATTAAAAAAGAAATTGAATTCTTTCATGAAATTTTATTAAAATTATATTAAAAATAATTGGATTTTTGCAAAAAATATTATTATTCTTGTGACGAAGTATATTAAAATGTTTGAAAATATAAACAATAATAATTAATTGTGTATTTAATAAGTGAATTATTAAAAAAAATTCAAAATTGAAATAAAATTTCTTGAAAGAATTCAATTATTTTCAAAAATTTTGATAAAATTATTTGATGCAATTGAATTATTTTTAAATTGTTTGATAAAATTTTTCGCAAACATTCAATAATTTTCAATACATTAATTTAAAAAGAAAAATTATTAAAAGAATTTAAATTTAAAGATTTAAATGAATAATTATTTTTTTTAAAATTTTAATCTTCATAATTGCATTTATAATAAAGATTTCCATTAGGATTTTAATGATTTATTTAAAAATTTAGATTATACGGAGGAATTGCAGAACCTTGCTTTGGAAACTAAAGAGGAAACAATCTCCAATGAACCGATAGATTCATTGAATTCCGATTTGGTCGAATCTGTTGATAAGGAATCATCTCCATCACAGGAAAATTGTACAGATTCAAATGAAAAGAATTCAATTGATCAAACAACAGGGAAAAGTGAATCGGAAATTCCATTTGAGAGTTTAGACGTTGTTGATGGTTTAAAAGAAAAATGTTCAATTCATAATTCAAATGAAACTAATGTGAAATGTCAGGGTTTAGAAAGTGCCAGTGAAGATAGTAGTCTAAGCGATAGTGAAAAAACACTAGTGGACAACAGTTCTGTAAAAAATAATTCATTCTACGATATTGATTCAGTTTATGATAAACTCTGTCAAAAGTATTCACAAACCAATGATGAACCTAATTATTATTTCAAGAGTACTTTCGATTCTTCAGAAGGAAATAATAGTCGTAAGTTTTATTTTTTAAATCAGTATAAATTGAATAATAAGTTTTACATTATAATTAATTAAGTATATTAATTATTACAATTGTAAGAAGAAAATTTATATTTTTGTTTTTACTGTTGTAGTGTTGAAAGTATACGCGGACTATAGAACAACAATTAAGACATTAAAGAAAAAATTGGAGAAAATTGTTGGAGTTCCGGTTGATTCGTTCAATGTTTGTACACAACAAAATTCAGATTCTTCAGAAGCGGAAGCTATTGGTTTAAATAATAAACTTGGTGTTTATAGCAATGGCCAAAGATTTTCCATTGTATTAGATGGTGCACTTCGAAAGAATGAAATAAAATTGAAATTTTATGTATTAAGTCTAACGTCGACACATGAGCCGCATAGATATTTAATGACCTACACTACTTCTCAAGACATGACAGTTGCTCAAGTAAAGAAAATAATGATTGATCAAGTAAAACGGAAATGTAATGTTGATATTCCAATGAATAGGCTCAGGTTCAGGGAGAAATTGAATACATTTATGTCGGACATACTGTTTAATGATATGCAAATGGGAAGTGTTTTTCTTAATAAGGAAAATGAAATTGTCATTCAAGAATTACAGGAAGATGAGACTGTTTTTTCGGTTAATCAAACTGTTTTATTTGTTCGATATTGGTCGAGAAGTACACTTGAACTTCAATCCTGTCAAGAGATTGTGTTTGAAAGAAATAATCTTTCTGATATGATGGAGAAGGTATTTTCTTATTATTTCTGTATACTCTTTATTTATGTTACTTATGTCTTATTTTTTATTACTATTTTTTATTCTCTTTTTATTTTATTCTTTTTCCATTTTATTCTTATTTTAATTAAGGGAAATACTATTCTTTATTAATTTATACTTTATTTTCAGATTGCGTCCTTATCAAATATACCGAGAGAAAATCTCGAAATAGCACTGGGGAAAGGTGATTTTCCATGTGATTGTAGAAGCTGGCTTAATTTGGATAGCGAAGTAAATTGGAGAACGGAAAGTCAAGAGAACGAGAAGACCTTAATTAAATTATATGTTGGAATCGTTATCTTGTACAGGTATTAATAATTTTTTAACTCTTAAATTATTTTCAGGGGATTTTTTAAAAGTACTGGAAAAATATTAAAATTTCTAGAAAAAGACCAATTACTGACAAAAATATAATCAGTCCGAGTCAAATAAAAGAACATTTTACTTAAAACTATAAATTAAATTCCTTCATGTTTTATAATAATTAAAGATGGATAACTGATAAAATTAGTATTTTCAATTATAAGAATATTGTTCTTCTTCAAAATTATTTTCAACATTTCAATTCAATTATTATTTTCAAGAATGTTTGACTAAAATTCTTCTTTTATTCAATTAATTTTCGAAGAAGTTCTCTGACAATTTTCAAAAAAATTAATTTCAAAATTTAATTATTTCTAAAAATTCACACTATATTCCATTTAATATTCAATTATTATCTAAAATTTTAACTGAAATTCATTTTTAAATCCATTTTTATTAGAAAATTCTATTAGAATTCAATTATTTAAATACAAAAATAAATAGTTTATTAAATAATTCAATGTTTCTAAAAATTCAACTCTAATAAAAAATGTTATCAATACAATTTTTAAATAATTAAATTCTTCCTACGATTTTTAATAAAAATATTAAGAATATTTATTTATTTTTCCGAGAAATTCGATTAAAATTGTTATAAAAATAATTGAAATTCTGCGATGAGTTTTATGATTTATGAAAATAATTGAATTTCTGCAATAATTTGTAACTTCTCCAAAATTAAAACTTTTTTTAGTTTTTTTAACTAAAATTTTTCTATAAATCCATTGTTTTTAAAAAATTCGTTTTATTCACTTCACAAAATTGACAAAAATTCCAGTCCATATTTTTTATTTTCCTGACTTTTTCCTAATTTTCATCAAAAATATTTACTTCTTTCTTATCCTGCTAATAAATTGAATTCCTGCAACGAATTTTATTATTTATCAAAGAATTTAAAATATATTTATAAAAAATAATTTAATTCTTGCGAAGAATTTTATAAACATTTTTAAATAATACATTTCTTTTGAATAATTTTATGCAAATTCTAATTTAAATAATTGAATTGAAGAAAATTTTTATTGTTCATGAAAAGAATTAAATTTTATGAAAATAGTAGATATTGAAAATTATTGAATTGCGAACATTTTTTAAACATAATTAAATTTTACAAAGAATTCTATTAAAAAATTTGGCAATAATTGAATGTCTGTGGGAAATTTTATTAAATTTTTTTTAAAATAATTAAATTCCTAATTAAATAATTTTATTATTTATGAAAATAATTGAATTTTTTCCAACGATTTATTAGAATTTTTTAAAATAATGGAATTTCTAAGAAGAAATTTATTACTTTTAAAAATAATTGAATTTTAATCAAATTTTTAAGAATAATTACTTTTTTTTCGAGGAGTTCGATTAAAATTGTATTAAAAATAATTGAAATTCTGCAATAAGTTTTATTATTTATGAAAATAATTGAGTTCCTAAAAAGAATTTTATTATGTACGAAAATAATTTAAATCTTGTAAAAATTTTATTATTTATGAAAATAATTGAAATTTGGAAAAGAATTTTATTATTTCTAAAGAGAATTGAAATTTTTACGAGAATTTTTTTTTAATTTTTGAACATAATTAAATTTCTGCGAAGAATTTTATTACTTTTAAAAATAATTGAATTTCTGCAATCATTTGTAATTTCTCTAAAATTATCCAAATTATACCGTCCTATTTACGAAATTTTCGTTCTTTTTCAATCAAATTACAGACTTTACGGATCTTTTTTTTAAAAAAACTTACTTTTACGGACTTGAAGCAAATTTACGGACCCTTACGGGATTTACGGACATAGTTCGAGACCTGGAAAAGCAATTATTTAAATGTTAATTGAATTGATTTTTTCAGAAATTCGCAAGAGCCTTTAAAGAAATTAAATCCCGAAGAGACTGCAGAATTTATGAAGAGTGAAAGATTACTTTCATATGGTTCAGGAATTCCAAATTATTATAGTCATCGAAGGGAAAAGCCATTGAAAATATACTTCAATTCGGATTGCGACTGAAGATAATTTAGATATTTTTGAATTGTGCCCGAAATCAGACACATTGAGAAAGAGATTTTTGTCGTAATCTTCATATTACTCCGACATTCAAGTCTTCCTTTCTTAAAGAAAAAAAACTTTAGTCTTTCTATAAAATGGAGAAAATATTTCATTAGTTCGAAGATTTATCAGTTTTTGAGATAGGAATTTTTTTCTAATTTTAATTTTTTCAGTTATTAATCGATGTTTTTTTTCTTGTTATACGACATTTTTATCTCCTCCTATTTCGATTCTTCTCTTTGTCATAATTAACTGTATAAAAGAAAATTAAAGAAAATCAACAAATTCTGTAAATAACATATATATTTAAGAACTCTGCTCTAACAATTCAGAAAGTGTAACAAAAGAAAATCAATCTGTAACTGTAAAAAAAATAATGGACGAATTTATAAAATTTTTTTGGTTTTGATATTTAATATTTTTAAAGCTAATGTATTATAATGTTTGCAAATTCTATTTTAAATGATGAAAAATTGCATTTAGATTGTGGCTCTTGACGACAATTTTCTATACTGAAGAAAATGGTTTTATGAATTTTGTTTTTCTTTTACTATGAAAAAAAAATAAAAAAAACACAGTGTTATTCGTTAAACACTTTAAAAAAAAATTACTATTCGTCATATTTTCGGATTTTTAATGTTACATACTATTATGTTTAAGTAATAAATTATTTATTGTATGTGTGAAATTTCGACACTTGAGATTGTTTTTAATTTAATAATTATTACTTTAAGAAGAAAGGAGAGCTTCGGTTGCTTCTGGACTAGAATTATATTCTTTGTCAAGAAATTTGAATGTCTAAATTATGTTTTTTGAGTGAAAGAATTAAATTATAAAATGAATAAATAAATTAAATTATGAAATTAATGAATATTAAATTATAAAGTTAATAAATTAATGAAAGTGTAAAAATATAAATTAAACATTTTTTTAATAAAATGTGGTTTTTAAGAAATAAGAATTTTATTTATTCATTTACGATGCTCTCTTTTCTTCAATAAATTACTTTTATAAGAATGAAAATGTTGAATTGCAAAAAGCAAATTGTAAATGTAATACGAAAACATAAAGTGGAGAAAAAATTATGTGAAGTTGCATCCTCTTTGTGGATAAACTTAAGACTTATTACATCTCTCCTGACCATTGACGATCAAAACATTTTTCTGTATTATACACTATAAAGAAATTATATTTATAATTATTAACAAAGGAATATTGAAACTGAATTTGTTATTTTTTTCTTCTTTCGAAAACTAATAGAAACTATCCAAACGAAATTCTCGTAAAAATCCCAATTATCTTTATAAATAACAAAATTCTTCTCCAAAGTTCAATTATTTTCATAAATAATAAAACTCATCGAAGAATTTCAATTATTTTTATTACTATTTTAAATTAATAATCGAAAAATTCAGTTATTTTCACAAATAAAGTTTTCCACCAGAATTCAATTATTTAAACAAATAAAATTTTCATAATATTTATTATATTTCGAAAAAATTAATTATTTAAAACAATGTTCATAAAATTCTTATGAAGAATTAAATTACTTTCAAAAATAATAAAATTTTTCACAGAAATTCAATTCTTTTTAAACATTTTAATAAACTTTTCCGCAATAATTCAATTATTTTCAAAAATAATAAAATTCTTTTCTGTAATTCAATTATTTTTGAGAATTATAATAAAATTCCTAGAAATAATTCAATTATTTTCATAAATAATAAAATTCATAGCAGGATTTCAATTATTTTTAATACAATTTTACAGAAATTGCTCAAAAAATGTAATTATTCTTAAAAACTTAATTTCAATTCCTCGAAAAAATCAATTATTTAAAAAAATGTTTTTTAAATATTTTTTAGAAGAATTGAATAATTATTTTCAAAAATTTAATAAAATTATTCGAAAGAAATTAATTGTTTTAAATACAATTTAAATTAAATTTTTTTGAAATAATTCAATTATTTTTTTTCAATTTTAATACGAATTTTTCGAAGAATTCAATTATTATTTACACAAATAATTTTTCGAAAGAATTCAATTATGTCGATAAAAAATAAGAAATTTACTCAAAAAAATTCAATTATTTTGAGGTATTTTAATAAAATTCTTTTCAAAATTCAATTATTTTCATAAATAACAATATTCATCACAATAATTCAATTATTTTTAAAAGTAATAAATATCTTCTTGAAAATTCCATTATTTTAAAAAATTCTAATAAATCATTGAAAAGAATTTAATTATTTTCGTAAATAATAAAATTATTTTTAGGAATTCAATTATTTTCAAAAAAATTTAATAAAATTTCCCAGACATTTAATTATTGCCAAATTTTTTAGTACCTAGAATTCTTTGTAAAATTTAATTATCTTTAAAAACTTTTCGCAATTCAATGATTTTCAATATCTACTATTTTCATAAAATTCAATTCTTTTCATGAACAATAAAAATTTTCTTCAATTCAATTATTTAAATTATAATTTGCATAAAATTATTCGAAAGAAATGTATTATTTAAAAATGTTTATAAAATTCTTCGCAAGTATTAAATTATTTTTTATAAATATATTTTAAATTCTTTGATGAATAATAAAATTCGTAGCAGGAATTCAATTTATTAGCAGGATAAGAAAAAAGTAAATATTTTTGATGAAAATTAGGAAAAAGTCAGGAAAATTAAAAATATTGAATGGAATTTTTGTCAATTTTGCGAAGTGAATAAAACGAATTGTTTTTCTTTTATTTTTTGACATTAAAAAAATGACAAGACACAAAAATTAATTTCCAAAACAAACAAATGGATGCAGAGAATTTGCTAACGGAAAGGAAACTTACGATTATTATAAAGTAGTATAATTTTTTTAGATAAAGTTCTAGAAAGACGTGATTGTAAACAGTCGTTTTTTTTGTAAAGGTTTTACTACAAAAGAGGAAAAAAGCGTCAAAGGGAGAAAAAATTAAAGAAGAAAGGATAGAAATAAAAAAAACGTGCAAATTAAAAAAAGTATGGAATAAAATTGGAATAAAATATGGAAAAATGGAAATTTAATTTTTCGTTAATTTGGTCTTAAAACTTTCTTCCTTTTCCACAGGCATTAAAATACAGAGAAAAGGAAACACAAATAAAAGACAGGATCTAAAAAATTGTAATTATTATTAATCGTAATAATATGATTATTGACAATGACGCGGCTATGTGCACATTAAAACACCTTATCTTACAAGACCAGCTCTTGTACACTATTTACAATAACTAAAAATCATATTACTCAATATTTGCATTATAATAAAACTATGTATTTATATAATATTAAATTTATTATCATAACTATGATTTCTCATGGTTATTTATTAGCGGTATATCGTTAATCGTAAGAAACAATTAAAAATTAAAAACAAATTTGTGTTACTCGAGTTCTGTACAATATAGGCTCTTAAAACATTTTTTTTTTCTTATCACTGACAATAATAGTTTTATAATAATATACAGTACATTGTAAGGTATGAAATATGGTTTTTGAAAATTCCTTATCAATTGCGTAGTTTTTCATTTTTTTTTTCATCTTCATCTTTATGTTTAAATTGTTTATATAAACTAAGTAAAGATCATGAAAAACAGTGACATTAGCTACCAACTTGTTCGTGTTTGACACCAAATTTACATGGTTTTTTTTTCTTGACTTTTTTCAATTATTATTATTATTATACACAAGTATTTCTTTTTCTTTCATAAAAAAATAAAATAAACATTCGTCAAGTTTTTTACATAAACAAAGATGCGTATTTGTTGTCTTATACGAAGAAAGAGAAGGAGTTAGAGATAGAAAAAGACCCCAAAAAAAAGAAATATTACAAAGAAAAATAGTGATATATAAAAAATAGTGAGAAAATAAAAAAAAATTCGAAATAACATTTGTAAACTCTTATTTTACATTATGGAAGAATATTCAAAAACAGTGAACAGTCTTTAAAATTTACAACAAAAAATTCAAAAATATTTACAGTGCACGATACAGATAAATATTTCACAAAAATAATTCTACGAGAGGACAACTTTTCTCTTTCAAATTAATTAATTAGAAAGAATGTATTTTCTAGTTAAAAGAGTTAGAGTAAAAAAAAAGACCTAAGAGAATAATTTTAAAGACTGTGCACAAAGTATCTCTTAACTATAGAAATATTTTTTTACAATTCAGTAAATTACGAAGAAACTATTTTACACGCAAAGTTGTTTTTTCTTTCTCTAGAAAAAAAAAACCCCACTTTTGGTGGAGATGAAAACTTTAAAATTTATTTTACTACCAAAGAAATAAAAAAGGGAAAAAAATCTATTTAGAAAAATAAGCTCAATGGAAGTAATATCTCCCTTTCAGCGCTGAATTGTTTAACAATAATTATTTCGAGTTTAACAAAAGGTGCGTGGAAGAATAAGACCGTATAATGATTACACAGCCTTTACAATATAAACTTCGTACATCAATTACAAATTCGCCTAGCGAAGAAATATTCAACAAATTAAGATTATATACAACATATTCAACCTAGTTTTTTTTCAACTTTTCCTCTTTTTCTTCAACTTTCGCTCGAGACCAATTTTTTCGTGAGACACAAGGTGATGAAGTTTTTCTTTTTTCTTCTTTTTTTTACAATAAAATAGATCAGATGCTCCTTCTATCGTTAAACGTCGAAGAAACAATAAATTAAGACAATCTGCGATAGTTTCTTACTGAAAAATAATAATCTGGATAAGTTTGAATAAAATCAATATTATTCTGACAGAATTTATTTCTTTTGAAATTATTATTTCTTTTACAATTATCTCTACTTTTGAAATTATTTTCGTTTCTGAAATTATTTTTACTTCTTTTGACATGATTTTCATTTCTGGAATTATTTTTACTTCTTTTGACATGATTTTCGTTTTTTGATAGATTAATTTCTTTTAATTTAATTTTATCGTCTTTAAAAAAAGAAATACAAATTAAGTTGGAAAAAAAACTGTAAATTAGTTACAAATAGAAAATTTTGTATAATAAAAATTCTGTCGGAGACTTTCGCAGATAAATTGTCTTAAATAGCCGAATCAGAATGTAAATAGGTTTTTCCCCACATTTTCATTTTTTAAGATTATAATTTAACTTTCATTGAATTTCTAGGCACTACAATTTCGGGACCTGGAAACTTTTGATTCGACGTTGTTCCCTTTTTTTTTTTTTAATTTTGGGAAAAAATTCACATACGTTGCAATCGCTCTCTGCGTATATTACATACTCTATATTATTATTATTACTATTATAATTATTATTATTAATATTATTATTAATATTATTATTTATTTATTTATTATTTAATATTATTATAATTATTATTTTTGTTTAAAGACTAAACGACCTGAGCAACATCTCATTTTATCTTGCGCATATTATAATTCCGAGAATTGTTTTTTTTTTTTGGTGTATTTCTTCTATCTCTTAATAAATAAACTTCATGACTTTTTGTCTCACGATTTATAATTTATAAAAAAAAAAAAAAAAAAAACAAAAAGAAAAAAAAATATTTGTATATAAAATTTGGTCACCACGAAAAAGAAAGGTTTTTTTTTGTCCCCTGACCCGTAATTCACAAATAACACTGGTACAAAATGGCACAAACCTTTTTTTCTTTTGAGTATTTAAAAAATTGTAATCGCGTATTTTTGTCGATTACAAGTCATTTTTTCTCTATCTCTCACACAATTTTTTTTCTCTCGAATAATCTCTCCACACCTTTTCCTTTTTCGAAGCAATCAATAAAAATTTTATCATCTCACAATAAATAATATCTCGTATCATAAATAAATATACAAACTACTCACTGAATCGAGAGCAAGAGGTCGCGAAGGAAATTTTTTTTTTTTTGCTTTTCTTCTAAAAGAGTGGTAATAAAGTAACTAATGTAAAATCTATTTTTAGTTTTTCTGTAATAAATTAAGAATGTTCAATCCATTGGTAATAAAAAAGTAAAAAATTTGTCTGTTAATTTTTTTTGGGTAAAAAAAGAGTTTGAATAAAAATATTGAGAAAAATATTAGAAATATTGAAAAAATCTTTTTTGGAAACAATATTTTCTTTAGAAAAATCTTTCCTTAAAAGAAGCTTTCTTTAAAAAAAGCTGTTTTGAAAAAAGCTTTTTTGAAAAAAATCTTTTTTTGATACAAAATTTTCTTTGAAAAAAGCTTTTCTGAAGACAATCTTTCTTTGATACAGAACTTTCTCTGAAAAAATCTTTCTTTGCAAAAGATTTCTTCGAAAAAAAACTTTCATTGAAAAAAACCTTTCTTTGAGAAAGATTTCTTCAAAAAAAATCTTTCTTAATCGAAAAAAGCTTTCTTGGAGAAAAATCGTTCTTTACAAAAAATACAACAATGGACTAAACATATCTAAATAGCTGCAATTATTTATTCAAAAAAAAAACTGATATAAAACGTGAAACTTAATTTAATGACTCGACAGAATTGTTACTGGCTCGTCGTAATAATGAGTGGACGTTATGATGTATCGTTAAAAAAATTCTTTTTTCTTGAATATCTGACGAAAAAGAAAATATTTTTTTGCATTTCTAAATAGAAAATTTCCTTCCGAGAACAATTTTGATTTCAGCCCCGATTTTTCTCTCACAATAAACTCGTCACTTATTAATAACTATTACTTAATACTCATTTATAGATTGATATTTAAAAAGTACTAACATCTTAAACCAATTCAGTCCTTAGTATTGCAAATTTTCCTCTTTCTCTTATTTTTTCATTCCCTTTAAAATTTATCCCTCCCCATTCAAAATAATGGAAAAGGAAAAATTTTATTTTGAAGAGAATAGAAAAATTTAAAGGGGAGGAATACAAAAATTTCTCCCCCTCTCAAAAAATAAAAACCAGGGCTGAAATCGTATTTCGAAAAAAACGCACAAAAAAGTATTTAAAAATTGAATATTAACACGCAAAAGAAAAATTTATTTTCTTTGACATATCATTCAGTAGTGATTATAATAATTTTTTTTTAGAAATATATTCATTAGTATTTTTTGTTGTTAGGTTTTTAGCGCTTTCAAATCGCTTAATTCTAACTTGATTCTTATTTTTTTCTTTTGTACAGATTAATTTCAAGTTTATGGCGCCTGCTAAGGTATCCATCGCAACTTGAGCAGCTTTCGAACGTTAACTCTTCACTTGTCGCAGTTTTTCTTGAGTTTATCAAAAATTGTACTAGTTTCGAGAAGAGTATTTTTTTTCTTTCTTTTCTGTACACAATACACAATATTGGATTTTCTATAAATGATTTTTTTTTCTAATTAGTTATATAAATGAGTTCTTTGCACTGGAATTGACATATAATACCTTTCGGCGTGGATACTTTTCTTTTGTGGTTTTTTTTTGTTGATGTTGTTGTTGTTGTTATATTTAAAAAAGTTTGTAAAAATGTAGAAATGAAATAATTTTATTCTCTGCGGTAGACTTTGCATAATTTTTTAATATACAAAAAGATACAATTCTAGAAAATCTGATTTTTTTATCTATAACAATTTGAGATTATTGAAATAATTTTCAATTAGTTTTGTGTTAAAAAAATTGTACAATTTTGTAAAATGATTTTTTGTTACATTATTTTCACAAGAACTCTATTTCTTCTTTTTCTTGTTTGATGAAAATTTGACTTGGTATTTTTTATTCTAGATTAATTTGAGTATTTCTAGTATTCAATTTCAGGGTGGTCACAAGTTTCAGTTTTTCAATTTCCCTGACATTTTCCTTGACATTAAGTAGTTTTTAAAAATATTTTGTAATGTAATTTTTCGAAAACAGTTGAATTTCTTAAAAGAGCTTTTGTATTATTTAAAAAAATAATTAATTTTTTGATGAATTTTAATGAAAAATATTTAGAACATGATTTTTTTCTCCAAAATGTTAAAAATAATTCTAAAATGTTATTATTTTTTGTAAGTATTTGAATTTTCGGAAATATGTAATTGAAAGTATTGAAAATACTAAATTTAAAAAAATTAGAAGCTAATTTTCATTAATTTTCATTTTTAAATTTACGTTTAAAGATTTTTTATTAAAATTTTTGATAATTCAATTATTATGAAAATTTGCAATTAAAATTTTTCAAAAGTTGATTTTCAAACATTCTAATAAAATACTTGAAAAAAAATAATTATTTTCAATTAAATTTTACAAAATTTCAATTATTCTAAATCTTTTTAATAATTGTATTCGAAAATTTAAATAGAAAAATGATTCAAAAATAATTTTTGAAAGATTTGTTTATAGTTATTTTTCGAATTATAAAAATCGAAATGAGTTACATTTAACACTAAAAAATATGACATTTTGTTGCAATATTTGGAAGAAAAGTCGAGAAAGTCGCAATTTTTGAAAATAAGATGAAAAAAACAGAATTTTTTAAATTTCACTGAAAACAAATTTTTTTCTGACATTTCCCTGACTTTACTGACATGTGGCCACCCTGAATTTGGAAAAAGTAATAAATTTCTATGTAAAATTTATATTTTTGTAAAATAAATAGTTTTAAAAAATCGAGTGATAAATAAATTTAAAAACATGATAAATAAATTTAAAAAAAATTTCTTCTTCGTAAAGTCATAATAAATTAATTAAAAAAAAAAGAAAAAAAGATAACTAAAATCTTAAGATTCAAATATGTAATTTACATAAAATTTCATATAGCACAATTTTAATAATTATTTAACAATAAATAATTTTAACTCCGTAAATGGCAATTCAATTCAATTGCATTATACACGATTCTATTAAAAACAAAAACAAGTTTAAAAAATCATTTTTCGTAATAAAATTTCTTGTATTGAAAATATTTTTAGAAAATTGAAAATAAAATTTCAATATAAAGTTTCAATAAACTACGAAAGTTTGTAGTAAAAGTTTTTTTCTACCAGTTCTCTCTTTCTTAGAGAACGAATAAAATTTTCTTCCATTCAACAACTTTTTTTCAAAATTACAAAATATTTTTCAATACAAAATTAATATTACAAACTAATATTTTTTTAATGATTACTAATTATTGCATGCATATTTTTTTTGAATTTTCTATTTTAGAATAACGCGTTGGAAAAGAATTTTTCTGCATTTAAAAAAGTGCCATTATCAAGAAAAACCAATGCAAAGTACCACCAGTTAATTAAAAAACAAAAACAAAAGAAACAAAATAAACAAAAAATGAACGAAACACTTTAAAAACTAAAGATCTGCGACGAAGGATTGTACCGTTAACGAAAGACACCTTACGATTCACCAATATACGATACACCACGAGAAATGCGTGAATGAATAACGGTGAATTTTGGGCACTTTGTGACAATTCACTTCACCCTCAGATCATTTACATATACAGTTCAATAATTTATATTACACACTTACAATGCGTTTCCTCTTTTTTCTTTTCTAGCGAGTCTCTGTCTCAACACTTTTTTTTGAATATATTACACGTGCAGGTGGAACGACCCACATATACATATTTATATGTATAATAAACACGTCTCTAATATATTCATCATAATATTTATATACATATATATAAATATATATATTTTTCTTGCATTATATTTAATATATATAAATATATATATATATTTATATATTGATATTGGATAATTTCTAATAAGAACCGTTAATTACTATATTATACAAGTATCATTAATTATCACCTAACTTGGCATCCTTGCGGGAGCGGTGCAGGTGGACAGCCTGACGTATTGAGAGTGACGTTTTCGTTTAAAAGGGGAATATCGTCCTCTTTGGAAGATTTCTCCGTCGTATCCTGGACATTAGTGGTCGTTAATTCGGACTTTGTTTCAGTGGTTTTTGTTGTTGTTGTTGTTGTTCCAGTTTCCGATGGAATTGTCGCGGTGTCCTTGTTGGCACTGCTCGCCGCTGGCGCTTTTAGTTCGTAGCCCTCATGACAGCGTGTCAGTTTTAATCTAATGGGTGTCACTTTTGCTGAACGTACGTTACCGATTGTTGCGGGTCCAGCGCCTGGATCCGTTGATAATAATTGTTTTTCGTTTGATTGTACATCAATTGGGGGATAGGTTGTCTCTTCGTTTGTTGATTCGAGTGGAGGTGGCGGTTCGACTCTTGTATTATCGCTGCAACTTGCTTGCTCGTCGAGTTTCAATTCGCTCTCATCATTGGTGGTGGTTGTGGAGGTTTTACTACTTTTGCCGAGGCGAATTATAATTTTTGGCGGCGCAACACCGCCGTCCTCGACGAGTTGGGCGCGACAGTCTTTTTTATTTTGTCGCTTCTTTCGCTTGCCGTTTTTGTCCTTTTTACTTTTGACCTTTGGCTGTTCCTCGCTGTGAAAATCGGCCATTACTAGGCGTCGATATTTCATGCTCTCGCGTTTCAGGTCCTCCATACTTGGCTTACTGGGAATGTTACTGAGACGTTTCTTTGGCGGTCGGATGCGATTGTCGTCCTGTAGATTCGTTGGATCGGGACCAATGATGCTGTTGCCGATTTTGATTTTTAGTTTCGGTGGTCCACTGTTGGGCGAGAAGGCAGTTGAGGGTCTTGTTTGTCTGCCTCGGCGACGATCGACGGCGCCTGATTGAACGGAACTTCGTCGTCTCTCGAGATCGTCGTCCGGTGGATCGAGGAAGCCGCCGCGTTCTTTTCTTCGTTTCTTTTCCATATTTGCGTCGACAACGGCCTTGTAGTCCTCTCGTGTTGGAATGCTGGTCATTGAAGTCACCGCCTTTGGAATTGTGATGCCAGTTCGACTCACTGGTGGAGTTGCTATTGGAGCCGACGCCACGTTCCTCTGATCGTCCATGTTCATATCCTGCGGGGAAGGGAAACGATTTTCAAGTCAATTTCGAAACAAAATTTCTTAAATTAAATTTATTTCTTAAAGTTGTTAAATTAAACTAATTTATTCAAGTTATTAAATTAAACTAATTTGTTAAAGTTGTTAAATTAAATTAATTTATTCAAGTTGTTAAATTAAAATAATTTCTTAAATTTGTAAAATTAAGTTGATTTAGTAAACTTATTCACTATTTATAAAATTTGTTAAAACAATTTATTTACCATTGAATTACTATTAAAAGGTTCATTAGATGCTTAGAAAATAAATTATTCTGAAAAGGTAAGATCAGTACGGAGATATTAGTTTTTTTTTAAATAGCCAGCAAAGAAGTTAAAAAGACAAATTTGACGGAAACTAAAAGAACAGTCCTTGGATCGACTTTTAGGGGCAAAAAAAGTCACTTTAGTCGATTGAAAATACAAAAAAATCCGAAAAAGTTGTTGTCACATAAATTTTATTTTGTATTTCCTTGATCTTTCACTAATTTCTAAATTCAATTATTTCGAAAATAGTATAATTTTGTTTAAAAAATATTTAAATAAATCTTATTTGTTCTTCCACGGGAAATAAAATTTTAAAAGATTTCAATGTAAAACACTTTGAAATTTAATAATTTGTAATCCTTATAAAATTAAACATTTCCAAACAATTGAATTTCGGTAAAATCTTTTAAAAATAATTGAACTTTGGTAAATTCTTTTAAAAATAATTGAAATTTAGTAAATTCTTTTTAAAATAATTGAAATTTGATAAACACTTGGAAATGAATTTTTAAAAAGTACCTAGATATAAAAAATAAACAAATTTGTGATAGAATTTTAATTATAAATATGAAAATGATTTTTCCAAAATTTTAATAAATCTAAAAAAGTAAATTTTAAAAAACTTTAATTTACTTTATTCGAAGATAATTGAATTTAAAAAAATTATAATTAAACAATTTTAATTTTTTAACAATTTTAAATATTCTAATGCAAATTTTTTGAAAATAATTGAATTTCTTAAAAAAATTTGTGTATAACTTAAAAAAAATAATTTTTTGAAAATTTTTTTGAAAAAACATGATTTTTTTCTCCAAAATGTTAAAAATAATTTTATTTACTTTATTATTTATTTTAGTTACTATTTTTTTGTATATATTTGAATTTTCCAAAATTTGTAATTGAAAATATTGAAAATAATTGAATTTTAAAAAATTAGAATGAAAAAAATTCGAAGTTTAACTTCTTTCAGAAATTATTTTTTGAGTACCTAATTTTCATTAATTTTTATTTTTGAAAATTTACACTTGAAGATTTTTTCATTTTAATTTTTGAGAATTCAATTATTTTTCTAAAATTTGCAATTATAATTCTTCAAAAGTTGATTTTCAAAAATATTAAGAAAATACCTACTTGAAAAAAAAATCAATTATCTTGAATAAATTTTTACAAAATTTCAATTATTCAAAATCCGTTTAATTGTACCTATATTGCGAAAATTCAATTAGAAAAATTATTCTTTTCTCCAAAATGTTAAAATTAATTTTATTTACTTTATTATTTATTTTTATGTATTTCAATTTTCCGAAATATGTAATTGAAAATATTGAAAATAATTAAATTGTTAAAAATTAAAATGTAAAAACTTCGCAAAATTTGCAATTAAAATTCTTCAAAAGTTGCAAATTATTCAAAAACATCAATAACTTCTTTTTTAAATAAATTTCAATCATTATTATTTTTCTGTAGGAATTAAAATTCTTCAAAACATTCAAATTCAAACCTTTTTGAAATTCAACAACTTATAAGAATATTATTACAAAACATGAAGAAGGCGATTACTCCGAGTCAAAGACTCGGGGTGATCGACTTCTTCATGTTTTCTAATAATTTGAATTACCATAAAATTTTTTTAAAAAAAATTAATTATTTAAACAAAAATCCTAATAAAAAATCCTTCGCCACAATGCAATTATTTTTACAAGTAGTGAAATTTCTCAAAAAATTAAATTATTTTTAAAAAAATGTAATAAAATTCCTTGCAAGAATTCAATTATTTTCATAAATAATAAATCGATTATTCGGTAATTCATTTTTAAATCAATTTTTATTAGAAAATTCTAGAAGAATTCAATTACTTAAATTAAAAAATAAATAATTTATTGAATAATTAAATGTTTATTAAAACTTTCTTTCTCATAAAGAATTTTATCAACAAATTTTTAAATAATTGAATTCTTTTGACAAATTTTAATAAAATCTTTAAGAATAATTACATTTTTCGAGGAATTCGATTAAAATTGTATCAAAAATAATTAAAATCCTGCGATGAGTTTTATTATTTATGAAAATAATTCAAATTTTCCTAAGAATTTTATTAAAATTTTTCTAAAATAATTGAATTTCGGAGACGAATTTTATTATTAATAAAGATATACTAGAAATTTTGATAAAAATTTTTAAAAAATTTTTAAACATAACTGAATTTCTGTGAAGAATTTTATTATTTATATAAATAATTGAATTCTTGCAACGAACTTTATTCAAGCTTATAAAAATAATTTAATTTCGGTGATAAATTTTATTATTTATAAAAATAATTCAATTCTTGAAGAGAGCTTTGTTAAATTTTTTTTAAATAATTGATATTTTTTAAAAAATTTTATGAAATTTTTTATTTAATTGAATTATTTCGAAGAAATTTATTAAAAATTTTGTAAATTATTGAATTTCTTTGAAATTTTGACAAGAATTTTATTAAAATTTTTCTAAAATAATTGAATTTTGGAGAAGAATTTTATTATTTATAAAGATAATTGAAATTTTTTTGACGAAAATTTTTTTAAAAATTTTTGAACATAACTGAAATTCTGAGAAGAATCTCTAAAACTTTTGAAAATAATTGAATTTCTGAAATCATATTTGTAACTTTTCCAAAATTCATTTTTTTTAGTATTTAACTAAAATTCTTCTATCAATCTATAGTATTTATGAAAATTGTAAAAACTATTCTTTAAATAATTTCTAAGTAATAATTTTATGATAGTTCTTGAACAATGAAGTTATTTAAAAAGAAATTATTGTCAGAAATAATGATCCACAAGTTTTGAACGTTCAAATGAACGAAACACTTTTTATTAGAAATGTTTTTATAATTTATTGTTTGCAATAAAAATTAAAAACTTAAATTTTACACTTAGAAACTTTATAATTCATTTATTTTATATTGACAAAAAATTATTGTAATAAATATTTAAATTAAAAAAGAAAATAAATAAATTTCGTTCATTTGAACGTTCAGAACTTTAGGATCATCAGAAATAGAAAAAATTGAAGGTTTTGTATTAAAAAATTCGTGGTAATTTCATAGTTTACGAGGCAAACAAAAAACATAAAAATTCAGAGTTTTCTCATGAATTTTAAAAATTCAAATTTTTCCAGTACTTTTACTAAAAATCCCTGACTTTTCTCTGATTTCCCTGACCAATTTTACTTTCCCTGACTTTCCTGACCTGCGTCAACCCTGCATGTGATAAGAATACGTAAAAAAAGTTTTTGAAATGGAAAGATTTTTTTGTAAAAAACCGTAAAAATAATTCACCTGCGAGCAATATTGTCTGAGGAGTTCCTTCTTTCGCATCCGTCGAAGATTCGAAGTGCCAGACGCAACGGAAGCACTGGTGGCCGTTGGCGGAATGATAACAGGCGCCTGCTGAGCCAAAGGAGGAACGGCGGCGGTCGGCACATAATTGGCATCCAAGAAAGGTCCCTTAATTTTCACCTTCAACTGATTTCGCGAATCGGTCAATGAAACCTTGTTGGTGGTGTCGCCAGCATTGGGCGAAGTGATCACCAATGGACTGTTCACATTCGGTTTCAAGCACAATTCACTGATTTGCTCTTGCATCGACGAGTTGAGACTCTTGTCAAGATCTTCAATGTCGGCAATCGATGGATCTGCCGAGCCGGTGACGAATGAGCCGAGCAAATGATTCGTGTAGGACGACTGCACTTGTCCGTCGAATGTTGAGTACGTTCGCATATCGACTGGACCGGGCATGACCGGGAAGACAGCATTTGTGAATGTCTGTCCTGATGTTTCCGACTCGGTGATTACCGAATCGCTGTGTGTTGAAGGCGGCGTGAGTACTTTGTCGTCGTATTTCTTGTGAACACCGGGACTGGAGAGACGTGATTGCATTCCATCGCTCGCCACACTCATACTGTCACGTTTCTCACTCACTTCGGTTGATTTCTTTCTCTCGCGCATTGTTCGCAGGTCGGCGATGTTCGCCTCACTTGGCGAGTCCTCGTCGGAGTCGAAGTCGTAGACGGTGCCGACGAGTTTGTTCTGAATTCCATCGTCACTGTGGTGGTGTGATAGTGACGCGAGTGAAGTGTGATTGTTTCGACCTCTGCCTCTGCCTCGTCCACGACCACGGCCTCGGTAATTCGTTTGATGGGAATTTTTCGCAGTGCGTCCACGACTTCGTGATGCGCTTTGTGGTTTGGCGACTTCCTGTCGTGGGGATTTACCCGGTGATTTCGCCTGTAAGGATGTGACTCTAGCCGATGTCCTCGTGGGTTTCGATGGTGATTTTTTACCGATTTGAGATGAGATCTTGACGTCCGTTTCTTCGCCGACAACTTCAGATAAGCGAGTTTCGGGTGTTACTATCGATTCTGGTAGTTGGGGTTCTGGTACTTGTTCAGGTACTTGAGGTTCCTGTGGTTCTTGCGGATGAGATTCGGCGACGTGAACGTCGGGAACGTTGTTGAGGAATGAGATGGGCATTGCCGGTGAACTGCCTTGGGGCTCAAGATCCTGGGGGACGTGCTGATCGGGTTCGGACGATGGAAGTGGTACTTGAAGTTGATGCGGAGGTGGTGGTGTGGAAATTTTCGTCGGTGAAACCATAGCTGCAGTTAATGCCATATTGTGAGATGAGGATGTGAATGCAGCTGTGCACGGTGACGCCTGGAGATTGAGCGAGTCCTCTAGAGGCTTCGGTACATGGGGAAGTAATGTTGGAGCCGTTGGAAATGGCGCTCCAAACGGTGGAGGAAACATTCCTGAGAAGCAAAACTCTGTACAATATTTAATAATTGTGTATTAGTAAACGTGATTGAATTATTAGTGCAATAAAAATAGAATTTTAGAAACAAGAGAAAAAAAAGAAAAAGTACAGGATTGCCACAAAAATTAAATTCTGTTTTCTCCTGAATTCCAGACAAAATTTTCACTTTTTCCCTCACACAAAAGAATATTCAGATTCAGTCAAAAAATTATTAGACACTTAAAAAACTGTTCTATTTCCCTAATTACGAATTTCTTTAATTGTAAAATTATTCGAAAAGATCAATAACTTATTTTTTAAATGAATATTTAATCATTATTATTTTTCCATAGGAATTAAGATTTTAAAAAATTTCAAATTCAAACCTTTTTGTAATTAAACTTAAAAATATTATTAAAAAACTTTTATTATTAAAACAAATTATTAAAAAACATGAAGATATCGATTGCTCCGAGTCGATTTCTTCATGTTTTCCAATAATTAAAGATGACCAAGTGAAAAAATCATTATTTTATATTATAAGACAATTGTTACTATAACATCTTCAAAATTATTTTCACCATTTCAATTCAATTAGGTATTATTTTCTAAAATTTCCAACTAAAATTCTTCTTTAAATCAATTATTATTTTTAATAATTTTTGAAAAAGTTCTTTGAAAATTTTCAAATCTATTTGTTTACAATTCAATTTTACAAGAAATTTCGATTATTCGATTATTCAAAAATTCTTCAATTAAATATATATTAGAAAATAAAACTTCAAATAATTCCAAAAAATTCCATTAAAATTTTTAATAAAACTTAATTCTACAAAATATTGTTAGTTAAATCTTTGAAAAATTATTATTTTCAAACATTTTAATTTGAAACTTTTTCAAAATTCAATTATTTCTAAAAATTCATTTTGAAATCAATTTTTATTAGAAAATTCTACGAAATTTCTTAAATAATTGAATTCTTTCGACGAATTTTAATAAAATTTTTAACAATACTTGCATTTTTCGAGAAATAATTCAAGGCGACAGTATCTACTGTTTTCAATTAAAAATCATTAAATTGAGAACATTTTTTGAAAATAATTATAATTTTATAAAGAACTTTAATACAATTTTTGAATATAATTGAATTGTAATAAAGAATTTTACTATTTTTAAAGATAACTGAAAAATCTTGATGAGAATTTTTTTTAAATTTTCAATAATAATTTAATTTTTCAGAGAAATTTTATTACTTTTGACAATAATTGCATTCTCTTGATGAATATTGTTATTTATAAAAATAATCGAATTATTGCGAAGAATTATTTTATAATAATTTTTTAAATAATTAATATTTTCCGAACAAATTTATGCAAATTCTAATTTAAATAATTGAATTGATGAAATTTTCTATTATTCATGAAAAGAATTGAATTCTTACGAAAATTATTACAAACCATTTTTTAAAGAATTGAATTCTGTTTGGAAATTTTATGAAAAATAGTAGATATTGAAAATCAATGAATTGCGAAAAGTTTTTAAAGATAATTAAAATTGACAAAGAATTCTATTACAAAATTTGGCAATAACTGAATGTCTGTGGTAAATTTTATTAAATTTTTTTTAAAATAATTGAATTCCTAAAAAACATTTTATTATTTATGAAAATAATAATTGAATTCTTAGAAAAAATTTTATTAAAATTTAAAAAAATAATTGAATTATTTAAAAAAAATTTTATTAAAATTGTATTTAAAACAATTAATTTCTTTCGAATAATTTTATTAAATTTTGGAAAATAATTATTCAATCCTTCCAAAAAATATTTTTAAAAAACATTTTTTTAAATAATTCAGTTTTTCGAGGAATTGAAATTAAGTTTTTAAGAATAATTGCATTTTTTGAACAATTTCTGTAAAATTGTATTTAAAATAATTGAAATCCTGCTATGAATTTTATTATTTATGAAAATAATTGAATAGTTGCTAGGAATTTTATTATAATTCTCAAAAATAATTGAATTTCTGTGAAAAATTTTATTATTTTTGAAAGTAATTGAATTCTTCATAAGAATTTTAAAAACATTGTTTTAAATAATTAATTTTTTCAAAATATAATAAATATTATGAAAATTTTATTAGTTTAAATAATTGAATTCTTGTGGAATACTTTATTTCTGAAAATAATTGAATTTTTCGATTATGAATTTAAAATAGTAATAAAAATAATTGAAATTCTTCAATGAGTTTTATTATTTATGAAAATAATTAAATTCATGCTTAGAATTCAATCAAATTTTTTTAAAAAAATTTAATTTTCATGAAAAATTTTATTATTAGTGAAAGTAATTGAATTATTGTGCAAAACAAATTACATAAAATTTTGTTAAATAACTGATTTTTTCGAAATTTTTTTGAAAATTAGCGAATTAAAAGTAGTGGAAATTCTCTAAAAAAATATTATTTATATTCTTTATTCAGAAAGTTGAATACCTATATAATAATTTTTTTACCTTCTCTATTCTTCAGAATAATTAAAATTTTCGCAATGAAGATTATTTTTAATTTAGGTATCAAATAACATTTTTTGCGAAATTCAATTTTCCTCACGTACAAGAAAGTTTAATTATTTTCAATTTTAAAAAACGGATGTCAAATTTGTAATTAGTATCAAAATTTGTTAAAGTTTTTTTTATATATACTTTAAAGTTTAAAAATATAATATAATTTAAAAATTTAATTCTATTTTTTCAGTTATGTGCCATAATAAGTATTTCTTTAAAAATTACTTAAATTAAAATGACTTGAAATTGTTTCCAATAAACAGACAATTTGGCTAGTATCTAAATAAAGTATTGGTCAAATGACTTCTGAAAGATCTTCTGCTTTTCAAAGTTTTATCATCTTTCAAAAAATAAGAAAAAAATTTTAGTTTCCACATTTTACGTTTTAAAATGTTTTTCATTCGCCTGAAAATGGGTGGTCTCTCAATTTTGACCGGTAGTAGATATATTTTTAATGATTTTTGACAAGTTTTTTTTGAGAATTCAATTATTCAAAGAATAAAAAATGTTCCAGTAATTTTAATAAAATTTCTTGACTTTTTCCTGATCACATTTTTCTCCGACTTTTTCCTGAACTCCCTGATTTCTCTGACTTGTGGCAACCCTGAAGAAGAAATGAAGCTGAAACTGTCACCCACTTAATTTTGAAAATTAAATTTTAACGTTAAACACTTTTATGCAGTTAAACTTTGCACTTAAGTGTAAAATAAAAATAAGTTTAAAATTGAATTTCAAAAATTCAAGTGGATGCTGACAACTGTGCGCCAATTTCAGCCTGATGAAGAAGAAATGAGAAATAAGAGAATATTTTTGAAACGTACCTCCTGGTGAAGGATAAGGAAGTGGTCCCGGACAGTTCTGAGGCGGGAATAGTGAGACAGCACCGGGATAAGAAGCCCCAGTCTCCGAGTACGAATGATAGGGTCCAGCGTCGATGTTGCATGGAGGGAACGACATGGGTGGCACGCTTTTGTACGGTGGAATTGAGGAGTGCTCCTCGGCCGACGAGGCGGAAGTAATGGAAGAAGACGTCGACCTTCGCGAGGGTAGAACCTGACTCTCTGCCCAGCGGGTGTCCTGCCTAGTCACACTGATGTCATTGTAGGGCGAACCATTCTGCGTGTAGTCCTGCCTGGGATCCAGGTCCTCCTTCTCCAGACTGTGGTCCATTTCGTTCCCTTGATCGCCAACAACATTCGGCAGACTGATCAAGTGTCTGTTCACCATTTCCATGGGCGTGATGTCGTCGACCATTTGACCCGCTATCGGCTGATCCAACATCGGCACTTGCGACATTCTCCCGTCGCCGTGACTCTCCAAATGCTGTTGACCTCGCACCAGTGCCTGTGTCTGCTGAAGAAGTTGATATTGCTCCTGAATATTCATATTTAGCTGCGAGTGGGCCAAACTCTCGACATTTGTCTCCGACATAACGGCTGCGATATCGTTCGGGAATTGATGAGTGTAGCGATGATTTTGATTCTCCATCAAGGCGTTCATGTGTTGGACGTCGTTGGGATTGAATGTCTCCATACTGGGCGGTACCCATCGTTCGTCTGCCTCGGCACGGTCCAATTTCGACCTCTCGGCGACTGTCACCTTTCCACTCTCGAGAGTTTCATTACTGTATGGATCGTACGTTTGCTCGCCACTGTTTCCATAGCAGGGTTTCTGTTTATTCTCGAAACTGTGATTCTTGTACGTGAGATCGTCGGTTCTTTGAGTGTCATTGGTCTTGATTTCGTAGACTCGTGATGGTTCCTCGGTGATTTTGGTCTCTGGGAGGTGATTCTTTGCACTCTCGGGAAGGCGGTCTTCTTTCTTGAGATTATCGTCGCTCGATGGTGGTTCAACTTCGGATTGATTGGTGTTGGATTTTTTGTTGAGTTCCATGCGAAGTTTCTCGACGAGATGCAGTGTTTCCCTAGCACTGTCCTCCTTGGAGTCTTCCTTGAACCATAATTCGTTGGGGAAGGAGAATGACAGTGGAGCTGAACGTTCCTCGACGTCGCGGTGTATACCAAAACCGTCGTCGTTGACCATGTCGTCGGTGAGGAGATCCTGGTCAAAGTCGAATAATTCCGAGACACTTGGATCTTTGCTTCCGTGTTGTGGGGAGAATATTGAGCGCTGAATGGATCTTCTTCGTTTGATCGTTTCCTTCTCGATAATCTCATTAGCGCCAAATTTCTCGGTTGTTGGTTTTGAGAGATTTGATGAGAAGAGATTTTCGCTCGGTAGAACTTCTTTTGTTTCCTCCTTCTGTCGTGTATCGCTCTCGTGTTGAATATTCACTATTTCGATCACTCGACGATCGCTCGATCTTTCGATTTCTGGTTTAGTCGAATCTTCTTCCTTGCTGAACACTGTATTTGATTTTCTGGCGTTATTTTTCCGTCCTTCATCATCATCATTATCGTGTTCCTTCAATTGGAGATTTGAGACTGATTTTGATTTTTGTTGCTTCTCTTCTGTTTCTGGTGGTTCCTTCTGTTTGGCGAGTTCTTTACTCTTGATGAGTACTTCAAGTTCGTGTTTTTCGTGAAGTTTGTTTAGACTTTCTTGAAGGGTTTTGTGTTTTGTTGTGTCACGGGTTCTCGACAACATATCGAGATGTTCACGTTTTTCGAGAAGTTTCTCTAGACCTTTCGACGATTTCTTGGGACTGTCTCTCTCGGCTTTTCTCTGCTTTATTTCCTCCTCGAGAATATTTATTGCGTTCTTACTACCGAATTTCTTTCGTTTGTCGTCGACTTTCGGTGATTGGAGTGTTTCAGTTTTGGTTGATTTCGTCGCCTCCTGATCTGCTTTGACTTTCTCTTTCTCCTTGGTCTTTTCTTTCTCTTTTAACTTCTCCTTTTCTTTGAGTTTCTCCTTTTCCTTTTGAAGTTCCTTCATTTTCTCTTTCTCCTTTTCCTTTTCTTTCTCCTTCTCCTTCTCTTTCTCCCTTTCCTTCTCTTCTTCTTTTGATTTTTCGGACAACTTTTCTAAACTCTTTTCCCGTTCTGAGAGGGTACGTTCTCTATCCGTTTTTCTTGTTTCTTTGTCCCTTGGTGGTTTCTCCTTTTCCTTGTCAACCTTGACCTTGGCAAGGAGAACCTTGTCGGATTTTTGGGATTTCTCCTTCTCGGTTCGGATTAATTTCTCCTTTTCGGTTCGTAGTTTCTCTTTGTCATCGTCGGGTTTCTTTTGGTGTTTGTCGTTCAGCCTCTTTTCAGGTTTCTTGACCAGAGACGCCTCTTTGATATTCTTCTCCTCTTTCTGGGTATTTTCACTTGATTTTCGCTTTCGTGCTTCAAGTTTGGCTTTGTCTCCGGGAGTTTCCTCTTTACTCCTGGGAGTGGTTTGTTGGGCTTGCTTGGCTGGTGGTGTTGGCTTTTTTGTAGATTTGCCCCCAGATAGATTTCTTGGCCCATCATTATCTCGAGACCGACTGTGCACACTTTGGTTAGATGATGATGCTGCTGAAGAAGATTGATGCTGCTCTTCGTGTTGTTGGTGGTGGTGCTGTTGTTGTTGTTGTTGGTCTGATACAAGAAAGGGCTTTTTGATGACGTCTCTTTGTTCTGCTTGCTTTTTGCCAGTTGGTTGCTCTTTGAACAACGCGGTTCTGCATGATTCCTCTCTCTCAGTAGGCGGCGGCTGAAACTCGGTTCCACGCCGCCCGTCGGAAGTTTTAAGCTTCTTATCGGGCAGCTTTTTGAGTTTCCGCCCCACCAACTGCGCTGCCTTCTTGTCAGCATCAGAGGAATCAAGAGATTTGTTTGTTGGTCGTTTAACTGGTGTTTTAGTTTTCTGCTGTCCTGAATCACTTTCAGACGATGTGCTCGTCGAGGCTGCTTGATCTTTGGATGATGAATTTCCATCGTCGTCGGAATCGCTGCTACTGTCGGAGGAACTGCTACAACTGCTGCTCGTGCTACTCTCGCTGTTACTGTTACTCGAGTGTACCGAGAGGGCTTTACTTTCTTGTACAATCTTCTTGGGCTTCTTGGGCGATTCCTCTTTCTTTGGAGAAACAACTTCCTTCTCGTCCTTCTTGATTTCCTTCTTCTTAGAATCGGGTGAATCTTTCTTTGCTTTGAGTTCCGGTGTTTCGTTTTCGGTTTGCGGTGGGGCTTTTGAGCCCATTCCACTCTTGATATGTTCGGCAGCTTTCTTTGCCGCTTGACGTTGAGGAACGTAGGCAAGGATCTCTGAGCCGTCACCAAATTCTTTATCGAAATCGTAAATGTCGTTGTTTTTGGCGTCCTTGCCAGTTTGACTCTTGATGTCCTTTTGCTTCTTGACTGTCTCTTTCTTTTCCTTGATTGGTTTTGGTGTTTTCTCCTCCGGTGGCGATTTAATTGCCTCGACATTTTCTGCTGTCACTTCCTTCTTGTTCTGCGAGCGTTGCATAATTTCGGACGCTTTCTTTGCAGCTTGTCGCTGAGGAACAATGAGAGCCGATGGTAGACACTCCTTCTTCTTGGCAGTCTTTAGATTCTCTTTATTTTTCAGTCCTTCCTCCTCTGGTTCCGGTCGTGTTTCCTTGCCAGCGAATGACTTTTGCGAATTCTTGGAGAGATCGGCTGCTGAAAATTCTTTAACAGCGGCTTTTGTGATGAGAACATTGGAATGCGAAGTTGGTTCCTGGGAATTTGAATCAGTGTCGGAGTATATTGCCGCAACGGAAGTTGGACCAAGTCTCGCGGCTGTATTCGCATTACTGAGGAGAACCAGTTCGTCACTGTCACTTCCGGATGCACTGTCGAGTTCACGTTCCATGTGCTGCAATGTACGTGACCTTGTTGTGGTTTTGTCGCGAATTGATTTTCTCGGTCGATCCGGAGCACCAGTCTTCTTGGCCTTTCTTCTGACGGCTTTCGACTTGGTAGAGGCGACAGCTTCCTCCTCCGTACTCGAGTCAGTTTCCTGTTTGAGTTTCAGTGGTTTTGATTTGCTTGTGGCTTTAGTTGTTAATTTTGCAGGCGATTTTCCAGGTGATTTTGAGGGGGATTTTATTTGCGGTTTTATGTCCGTTTCACTACTGCTTATCGATGACATATCACTACCGTATAAACTCTTTCTTTTCACGGTGCCATTAAAGTAAAGTTTCTTATTTGACGCACCATTAAAATCGGGTTGCACTTTCTTCTCATCACTGGATGTAGGCGTGGGCGATTCTGCACCCGATATCCTGAGAAGGAGTGACTCAATGTTTCGCGGATAATTTTCGACTTCTGAATGTGAATAAAGACGATCGTAAATGGAAGGGCCGTGATTTGCTGACAATACTGCTTCAACTGTCGCTGGTGGTAATGCTGGACCTTCCATAATTGTTTTTTGTTTATGGAAGGTCTGCTCACGTAATTTCAACATTGATCGCCATAATTTTTCTCGTCTACTAACCATATAACAGAGATTTCTCACACGTTCAAGGTCTTGTCGCAACTGTACAAATGTTTTCATTTTCTCTATGTCTGCAGCTTGACCTTGAGCTCGTGTTCCCGCGCCAGAGAGTTCACCGCATCGCAGTGCCAAAAGTGGTTTATTATTGCCAGCCTGTAAGAAAAAAAAAACGTAGAAAATTATTTTCTTTGTAAATTTATCTAAATCTTGATTTCAAAATGAATACTCACTCTTCTTTTCAATTTCCAATAATTGTAAATGTAGACAACTGTGTCTTGATCTACATCCAATTGTTGACATGTCACATCTTTTAAACTAACGTGCTTATCAAACTCGGCTTCAATTTCTTGTAATCTGAAAATTGTTTTTGGTTTTTCATTTTTTTTTCATTGTTTTTATTTATTTTTTGTAATAGAAAAGAGTTTTTGGAAAAATTTACTCACTTTGCCGCGCGTGCCTGATTTTTCTCCTCAGATGTCATGTCTTTGCGTTTTCGTTTTCTGGATTCGCCATCTTCAGAATCGGAATTGCCTTTAGTGCTACTGTTTCCAACACCTGCGCCTCCGCCACCACCGCCTCCACCACCTCCTCCTCCTCCTCCGACGCCTACTTTATCTTTCGTATTCGTTCTGCTGTGCTTTTGACAGTACGACTGTTGAAAACAGAAACAAAAATTCATAAAATTAAAGAAAAGTTTTTAAATACCAAAAGAAAGGAAATTTCGGATAAAAATTTTCAATTTACCCTCAATTTGACACCATCATCTGCCATTTCGTCTTCGATGATGGCCTTCATCTCGAGACCGTGCTTAAAAGCACAAGTCACGTGATACGCAGTTTTGCATGTTTTTATACTGCACTGAATGCAGGCCCCAACGCGTTCACGACACAATACACAAACGAGACCCCATCGACTTGGCTGTAATAAAATTGTACACAATAAAATCAAAATAAACACAAAAAATATTAATAGAAAATGATTAATAAAAAAAATGGGAATTTTTTTTTGGTGAAAACTAACCGGAATACTAGATATTTTAGTAATTGGCTCCATTCTTTCAACGCAACCAATGCTAACTTCTGGGATCCAAAGGGCACAGGAAACATGCGCCCATTTTTGGCCAGTTCGCGTACATTTCATTGCACCGCCCTTATTTGGACATAAAACACATTCCGGACGTTGTCCCAAGGAACATGTTCTACATAACCAGGAGCCATCGGGAATCGAAGTGATTCCATAACATGCCTGGTGTACGCAAATATTACAAAAATCGCAGAAGACCATTTCGTTTCCCTCTTCGGAGTCGGGCTGCATTTAAAAAGAAGAAGAAGAAGTTAAATTAGATAAAATGAATTCTAAAAAAGAGATAAAATGAATGAAATTCATTCTGTAAATAAAATAAATGACATTCATTATGTAAATTAAAATTAAAAGCTGGAATTTAATTCCGAGTCTTTGATTGTTAACTCACCGATCTACAAACATCGCAAATGACATTCTCATCAAATTCAATGCCGAGACCTTCTTCATTTTTGACTATTGTTTGTATCCTCTCCCAGCATCGAATTTCAAGTTCCTCTATTACTCTCTCGAGTTGTGCTTCCGAAACCGGAGGTTGACCAGCCTTTTTTTCAAAATAAATATGAAAACATGTTAAATAACATAAACGTGTAAACGTATTACAACAAAAAAGCAAAGACATGTTAAAAAGGAAAAATTTCCTAAAAACGGTGTAAAAATGAAGAAAAATTACCAGTGCTCGTTCTCCATTTAAAAGATCGAGCCACGCAATGTCAGTATCATCGAGATCATAAGCACAAGCTTTCTCTGCTCGTGCTGGTGTATTGCTCAAATGATGCTCCTCGGTACTGAAATAATCATCCCGAGATATTCTTATAAACTTTTTTGGCCTGTTTTGAAAGTAAAGGAAAAAAGAAAAAATTGTTAGAAGTTTCGGAAAAGATGAGTAAGAGTAAATATGAAAAGAAAATAGTTGCTTACAATTTGAATTCGCCAGTGGATTTGTTCGTAGATGTAGTTTGATTGACAGTGACCACGGGTTCAGGAAGTGAGTCCGGATTAACGGGCACCTGTACACCCCTTTCCCATTCTTGCTTCCATTGATCAGTTATAACCCAATATTCATTTGAACTTAATGGTTCACTGTCTGGCAATTTCATAGCACTAATCAAATCCTTGCGAAATAATTCGGCCGGAGCCTCAGCAGCGGATCGATTATATATACTGGAAATCTTAATGTCACTGAGAGGTCGGGGGGTCCAGGATGCTCCCCCTTGACTGGACGATGCCATCGTCTCTTCTTCTTCGGATGGCCCAAGGGCGCTTGCCGACAGCGTAGCGCCCACAACTGCTGGACCCAATCTGCATTTTCTTCTCTTAACCGCACCCGGGCCAGAAGCCGAGTCATTATCGTTTCTATTAATTCTCTTGCCTCGTTGTGCCATTCTACTATACCAATTGAGCTAGTGGTATGCGGCACATGCAAAAGAGCCGTGCGCATCCTAATCAAAATAGACAAATTTTCATCTCATTAAATTCAATTTCTTCTTTTTCTTCTAGAGAAAAAAGAAACTTTTTATCACAACAATACTCACTACATAGCTGTCTAGATATTTATTATCTGGAACACAAAAATCCTTCGGAACTGTAACAAATATTAATAAGTTTATTATCATACTGTCAAATAACTGAGAAAATGATTTACATTCTTAAAAGTAAATTCTGAAAAGCCTTTTGTGACACAAGGAGCAATGTTGGTTAAGTTAAGCAAAACAATTCTACAAGTGTTCAGAATCAAAATTTAACTTATTTTAAAGTGCAATCGATAAATTAATCAATATTACTGACGAAATAAGAAATTATTCAATTTTAAACAGAATGTTCATTTTCTCACTAAAATACAGTGGTGATGAAAAAAAAAAATATTTGGAATAATAAGGAACAATAACAAACATTATGAATATTGGGGAGAAAAAGGGAAAATTGTGAATTTGGAGTAAATTTGGAGATTTAAAGAGCAATTTAGAATGTTAGCAAAGCAGTGAATGGGACATGAATAATGCAATGTTTACAAATAACAAATGACTATTTACAACAGAAAATAAAGCTCTTTACCTAAAAAACTTGACAATAATCATGCAAAAAAAGGATTTATGTCGAAATAATGAAGGATGAGAGATGGAGGTGGTTGGGCTACTTTGATGATAGGATCTCGTGGACTTGTTGGATCGTACCCCATAGGGTAGAAGAATCACCATTGGATGAAATTCACGTGCGTGCGTCATCGGAGTCCATGCAGAGGATGAAAATAGCCGGTGAAAATGTGATCCTGGGAAGTGATCCGAAGACAAAATTGCACTGCTGGTGTGTCTAAGTTGCAAAGGAAGGGGTAGAGGTTATAAAAAACAGTGATCCGCGACAAAAACACAATGACACGCTTCGTCCAGGAGATGAATATCGGATATTATTTAACGTGTGAACGTTTAGGATCGGCGAGGAATCGCAAGATCGGGAAAAATCGTGGAAGGTTGCTCCCATCCTAGAGAACATGTAAACATTGAGTTGAGAGCCATAGTATGCGTTTTTGGGGATTTTGCGAATTCACTATAAGCACAAGACGATTAAACCTCGATAAATTATTATATTATCGAATAAACACTGACGCGAACAATAGTCGAAAATTGTAGGAAAACTGGGTTCGCACGGGAGAAAATGCCATTACGCTGCGCTGCTGCTCCTGATGTTCGACAACATTGACAATCGAGATAGCAGCACCATCGCACACACAAAAATCACACACAGACGGAAATCATCCTCCATTAAATACCTTATTATTGATCTATTAGAGGAATAGATTTTCGCGCGCGCGGCCAATGTACACGTGATTTCACAGAAAAGTGCACGCGAAACCGTGCCGGGATGCAGGAAAAGCAAATTCTTTTATTCCGCAAAGTGCGTATCTGTCACAGGATAACCAACATGTCCTCATTAGAGATCTCAGCAGTACTCACTCTGAAGCGTTCCAACGATTCCTGGCTGTCATTCAATTAATTACACCCACGACCGTATAACGTGAGCGCGTTTTTTGATTTCCAAACATTCCAAATCGATAATATATTTACATAAAAGTAGATACTGATATTTGGCGCCATAGTGCCTGAAAAATGAAGATCTTCGCTGGGCATTCGCCTTTCAACAAGCCCCCCAAACACCAAATCCCCAACTAAACAACAAAATGTTCCTAGACAACCAAAAACTTTTTAAAACTTTAATTTTAATTCTATTTTTCAATAAAATAACTCTAAACATAAAGGAAAAGTGTCTTAATCATTAATTCCCTTCTCAAAATTGTATTAAACAACAATAAAACATTGAATAGCAGTAAAAAAAAATATTACTACATTAAAAGGATAATTTTGATCAAAAACTACAAAATAACGGATTTTTTTCTTTACAATCTATGAATACTGCATTAAACTACAATATTTAGGACATTATTTACTTGTGAGAGCATTTACAAAAAAAACTAATAAATTTTAAACAAATTAAGTTTTTTATTTTTTGAATATAAAAACTTAAGTTGGCAAAATTGGCTAGGAATCTTTCCAACTCGGAAACAACCCGCCAGAGCGCTGTTGTTAATTGATCACGTGTTCAACTGAGAGAGCGCTAAATTTAAAATACTATAGAAATATCTATAACATCTATAATTACAATGTCATACTAAATCAATATTACATATTGTTATTGCGTATAATTGTGCAAAAATAAAACCCACCACTATATATTTCACTAACATGTATAATATATTCGCAAGTGACTTTAACTACTTCTGTAAATATTTACATTTCAATAACTGCTGCCATCTTTTCAATATATAGTTTTCATGTTGTGGGGGGTCAATTATTCTCGTCAGTTGATAGTTATTTAAAAATGGCAGTAATTTGTAAATTATTAAAATTCACAAACAGATGTGAATCATTAAAAAAATCAGTGCTCTTCAATGGAAATTCGAGTTTACGGAGATATTGTACATTTGTACAAGAGCCGAGGTCAAAACGTTTTAAAGGAATCGTGAAATTTAGTCTTGTCGGTGCAGCATTGGGAACAGCAGTCGGTGTTATTTATTCTACACAAAAAATAAATAAAGCCAGAGATAATTTGGCTTTAGAAGGAACACAAGTTGAGAGGAAAATTTTATTAGAAAAACCTCCAATTTCTGCTTCGAGAAGTGTCAGTATGCGAATATAAATTGTAATCTTTATTGACATAACCTAGAAGTTTTTTTATATTTTCTTTTTGTTTTTCGAATTCTTTGCATTTACGTATTGACAGCAATTACAGCAGGTAATTAATGAATTTAAATATATTTTAGATTATATCGCCGGTTGATTCAACCAATTTGGATCTTACGCTTTATCAATATCAATCTTGTCCGTTTTGCTGCAAGGTAAATTCCAAATTTGGTTTTTTGTACTATTAAATTTTTCACTATGAATATATAATTTTTGTTGTTTTCTATTACCTATTAATATATATAATATACAGGCCTCAGATATTATGACTTTTTCGACTATTTTCCAAAAATGCGACTTTTTTCGATTTATTTTCAAAAATTGCGACTTTTTGGACTTTTCTTCCAAGTATTACAACAAAAATTATTTTTGAATAATTTTTCTAATTAAATTTTTGAAATATACAGTTAAAATGATTTGGAATAATTGAAATTTTGTAAAATTGAATTGAAAATAATTGATTTTTTTCAAGTATTATTATTACAATTTTTGAAAATCAACTTTTAAAGAAATTTAATTGCAAATTTTGTGAAAATAATTGAATTCTCAAAAAAATTTAATGAAAAATCTTCAAGTGTAAATTCATGAAAATCAGAATTAATGAAAACTAGCTTCTAAAAACTAATATTAAATTTTTTTTTAAAAAGTAATTATTAGAATTTTTTTATTATAAAATTTTAAAATTCAATTATTTTCTATATTTTCAAAAATATAATTCCGAAAATTCAAATACCTATGTATTTGAATTTTGTACAAAAAATAATAAAAACATTAAAATTTTTCAGAATTATTTTAAAAATTTTGGAGAAAACAATCATTTTGAAAATTTTTAATTAAAAATCTTCAAAAAATTAATTAGTTTTTTTTTAAATTATACAAAAATTCTTTCAAGAAATTAAATTATTTTCGAAAAATTACATTAGAATGTTATGAAGGAACTAATTCTTAGAATTATTTTATAATAATTTTTTAAGATTTACTTATCTTCGAACAAAGAAAATTAAATTTTTTTTAAGTTTACTTCTTTAGATTCTTATTAAAATTTCGTAAAAATCATGTTTATATTTATAATTACAATTCTTGAAAAGTTTAATTATTTATTTTATATTTTTCAAAAATTCAATTATTTTTAAAAGATTTTGTTAAATTTCAATTATTTTTAAACGATTTTACTAAAATTCAATTGTTTAAAAAGATTAAAAAAATTAAAAAGATAAATTTGATAAATCAAATTTCCATTATTTTTAAAAGATTAATTTACCAAAATTCTATTGTTTGGAAATTTTTTAATTAACTAGGTATAATAATTTGAATGTTCTTTTATTTTTATTTTATAATTAATTCAAAATTGTAATGACAAATATAAATCATCAGAATTTTTTTCACTTCTTTTCATTAAAAGACTAAAATTTTGTTAGATATTATGATTTGTCAAATTGAAATTATGCAGATTTTTGTTCTTTACTTCTAAACAAAATTAGAAAATTTTTAAACAACTGTGATTAAGAAATAGAAAATTTATTTATTTTGCATTATTTTTCTTTGTGAATCACAATTTTTTTAACAAAATTATTATTTTGTTTTAGAAAAAGAAGAAAAATATTTGCACAATTTCTATTTTTAATCTTATTTTTGGAACAGGATTTTCCACAGGAATTAAGACATTCAAAAATTTCAATAATTAAAGATGACCGAGAGATAAAATTATTATTTTATATTATAAGAATATTGTTACTGTAACTTCATCAAAATTATTTTCATAATTTTAATTCAATTATTATTTTCTAGAATTTTAAATTATTTTTTTGAAAATAAATGAATTTCTTTAAAAAAATTTTATTATTTAATTGAATTCCTGTGAAATTTTTATTATTTATGAAAATAATGAAATGTTTGCATACAATTTTATTAAAATTTTTTTTAAATAATTGAATTCTTTTTGGGAAATTTTATTAAAATAGTAGATATTGAAAGTCATTGAAATTAGAAACATTTTTGAAAATATTTGAAATTAGGACAAGAATTTTTTTTGACATTTATGAAAATAATTGAACTTTGGAGAAGAATTTTGTTATTTATAAAGAGAATTGGGATTTTTACGAGAATTTTGTTCAAATTTTGAACATAGTTGAATTTTATAAGAAGAATTTTATTTTTTTTTTTAAATAATTGAATTTCTGCAATTATTTGTAATTTCTCCAAAATTGAATTTTTTTAGTGTTTTCAACAAAAATTTAAATTAGAAAATTTTTAAATTTTATTTTTAAAATTGCTAATTTTGTTGCAACACTGAATTAAATAAACGACTTTTTCGATTTTTTTTTGTATTTCCAATCGACTAATGCGACTTTCTTTGTTCTTTGTGTCTTAAAGTCGATCCAAGGCCTAATTATAATATAATAATTTTAGTTGTTTTCTATTATTTTGAATGTTGCACCTAAAAAAATGTTTCAGTCCATAAAAGTGTATTAACATTTTAGGTTCGAGCCTTATTGGATTATTATGGAGTTTCTTACGATATTGTTGAAGTGAATCCTGTATTTCGTACGGAAGCAAAATGGTCAAGTTACAAAAAGGTGCCAATTTTATTAGCAAAAGTAAATGGCGGTTATCAACCATTAAACGACAGTTCGATGATAATTTCTCTCTTAGCTTCCTATTTTTACGATAGTACGAATAAAATAGAGGAACTCATTAAATTTTATCCGAGTATTGCCTTACACGATGATAAGGGCAAATTTCAAAATGAAATTGTCAACAAATATTTCTTGATGTACCAAAATTCGATTCCCAAAGAGATGACAATGAATGATATTGTGTAAGTACATATTAAAAAATTCTGCGCGAAATTGGAAATTTGTTTCTATTAAAATTCCTTCTTTTTTTGCAGAGAAGAACGAAAATGGAGAAAATGGGCCGATGATGTCCTTGTTCACACTCTCTCGCCAAACGCTTATAGAACTTTAGATGAATCATATAGATCGTTTGAAAAATTCTCAAAAGTATGTTTAATTTCTTTACGTAATTAATTAATTTTATTAAATATTTTCATAATTTTTTTTATTTGTATTCACTTGATTAATTTAATTTATGTTAATTTTAATTTAAACACTAAAATATTTTTTTACTTTTTTGACTTTGACTTTTACTGTTATTTTTTACTTTTTTTCTTTAAAGGTGGGAAACTGGGAAGAATATTTTCCGTTTTGGCAACGATGGGTGATGATTAATGTCGGTGCTGTTGCGATGTGGTGGCTCGGCGATCGATTGAGGAGAAAATATCAACTTAAGGAAGACGTTCGACAGTCATTGTATGACGAGGTAACATATTGGTTGAGAGGAATCAAAGCACGCGGTGGACCATTTATGGGAGGACAGAATCCCGATTTGTCCGATTTGTCCGTTTATGGAATTCTCAACAGTATCGAAGGTTTAGAAGCTTTTAATGACACACTAGCGAATACAAAATTATCAACATGGTACTACGCTATGAAGGAGAAAGTCGAGTCACACTCTGGAAATCATTTAATAAATTCATAATTTTCTTTTCAATTCTGAAAGTTATTAAATTTCGGCAGCAATTAAATTAATTAAATTGTCTAAAGAAGTAAGTTATTAAAATTTTTTTATTATTTTCTCGAAAACTGAAAATATTTCCTTATTGAAATTTTTACTTTTCTTTCTTTTACTTAATTTCAGTTTTCTTATTATTTTAGATTTTATTTATTAACAATTTTTATGAATTTTCATAACAATTTATTTTGTAAAAAAAATACGAGTGCGAAATAGTGTTTCTACAGAATGAAAATATATGTATAAATATTTACAATTGAAAAGCCTAATAGATTAGACGTTATTCGTTGAAGTATTAGGTGCTCGGCAAAATGGACAGTGTCCATATCTAAGTAAGGCCAATTCGTAATCGTCCGAATGAAATAGCTGAAAATGTAATTTATAGAAATTTGATTAAATTAAATTAAATTAAATTGAAAATTAGATTTAGTGAATAACCTCGGGTTATTTTTAAATACCTTTAGACATGTTTTACAAGAGGTGACTTGAAGATCAGTGAGTAGATTTTTAAAATATCGGGTTTTGAATGGCTGCGGCCATTTGACGATTAAGACACTTGAGGGTTCCAAACTTTTCAGAATTCCACGATTTACGAGAACGGTCGAACCTCCCAGTTTATTCTGCAATTATTTTGCAAATAAAAAAAGGAAATTTTGCTTTAAAAAAGAAAAGACCAGGGTGGCCACATGTCAGTAAAGTCAGGGAAATATCAGGAAAAAAAAATTTTTGTCAGGGAAATTTAGAAAATTGAGATTTTTTTCGACTTATTTTCAAAAATTGCGACTTTCTCAACTTTTCTTCCAAATATTCCAACAAAATATCATATTTTTTAGTATTAAATGTAAATCATTTTGATTTTTATAGTGCGAAAAATAATAATAAACAAATTTTTCAAAAATTATTTTTGAATCATTTTTCAGGGCTCGAACCAGAGAAAGTATTTAAAAATACGGACTTTACGGACTAAAATTCTTTTCTATAAGCATTATTTTAAATAATTTTTAAAAAAGTTCTTTGAGAATTTTTAAATTCATTTGTATAATATAATTCAATTTTACAAAATTTCAATTATTCCTAAATTCTTCAATTAAATATATATTAGAAAATAAAAACTTGAAATAATTTTAAAAAAAAGTCGGCAATTAAACTTTCTCAAAAAAAATTTAATTCCACAGTTAAAAATAGGAAAAATTCAGATTCTCAAAGATTTTAATTAGAAACCTTTTCAAAATTCAATCATTTCTAAAAATTCACGCTCTAATACTTTTAATATTCAATTATAATCGAAAATTATAACTGAAATCCATTTTTAAATCAATTTTTATTAGAAAATTCTACTAGAATTCAATTATTTACATAAAAAAAACAATTTATTGTTTATTCCTTATTTCTTAAAATTGAATTCTCATAAAGAATTATATCAATAAATTTTTAAATAATTGAATTCTTTTAACGAATTTTAACAAAATTTTTAAGAATAATTACATTTTTCGACGAATTTGATTAAAATTGTATTAAAAGTAATTGAAATTCTGCATTGAGTTTTATTATTTGCGAAAATAATTGAATTCCTAAAAAGAATTTTATTATTTACGAAAATAATTAAATTCGTGTAAAAATTTTATTATTTATGAAAATAATTGAATGATTGCGAAGAAATTTATAAAAAATTTGTAAATAATTGAATTCCTATGAAATTTTTATTATTTTATGAAAATAATTAAAGGTTTGCGGAGAATTTTATTAAAAATTTTTTTAAGTAATTGAATTGTTTTGTAAAACTTTATTAAACTAGTAGATATTGAAAATCATTGAATTGAGAAAAATTTTTGAAAATAATTTAAATTTTGCCAAGAGTTTTATTACAATTTTTTGGAAATAATTGAATTTCGGAGAAGAATTTAATTATTTATAAAGAGAATTGGGATTTTTACGAGAATTTTGTTCAAATTTTGAACATAGTTGAATTTTATAAGAAGAATTTTATTTTTTTTTTGAAAATAATTGAATTTCTGCAATCATTTGTAATTTCTCTAAAATTCTCTAAATTGCATGCGAACTTTTCGTCTTTTCTCAATAAAATTACGGAACTTTTTTTTTTTTAAATCTAACTTGTACGGACTTCAAGCAAATTTACGGACTTTTACGGGATTTACGGATCTAGTTCGAGCCCTGATTTTTCTATTTAAATTTTCGAAATATACATTTAAAAAAATTTTGAATAATTGAAATATCGTAAAATTTAATTGAAAATAATTAATTTTTTCAAGTATTTTGTTAGAATTTTTGAAAATCATTTTCAAAATAATTTAATTCTTAAAAAAATTTAATGAAAAATCTTCAAGTGTAAATTTATGAAAATGAAAATTAGTGAAAATTAGCTTCTAATTTTTGAAAATTTATTATTTTCAGTACTTTTAATTACATGTTTACGAAAGAGCTTGTCCCGTATATTTGTTAAATAAATAAAATAAATGTTTCCAAAAATTCAAATAGGTAACATAACAAAAAATTATAACATTTTAGAATTATTTTTAACATTTTTGAGAAAAAAATCATATTCAAAATATTTCGGAAAATTATTTAATTAAATTGAATTAGAGATGAAGTTTAGTTGAAAATTGTAGAAAATAATTGAATTCAGGAAGGATTTTAATTGTAATTTTTAGAAATCATTAAATTTCATAAATTCTACTCATTTTTCGTAAATTTTCATATTTACCTGTAAAAAAAATGTTGTCAGGGAAAATATTTTAATGTCAGTAAATTGTCAGGGAAATTGATAATCTGAAACTTGTGACCACCCTGCAAGAGCTAGAGAAATACACAAAATGCAAATACATACTTCATAACGAACTAAACGATCAGTGAAAAGATCGGTTTTAGTCGTTATTGTCAATTGATCTTCCACTAAATTCAATTCCTCGGAATTTTGAATTGGCTCTTCTATTAATTTCTCCGCCTCTTCGTCAGTAATTCCTTCTTCGAGTTCAAATTCCACGAGAGGTAAAATCTCTGTAAAAGAAAGAAATAATGTCAATTTGGCAAAATTTCTCTGAATCGCTTTTTCATATTCAGTAAGAATATAAGAGTATGTAGAAATAAAAAATTAAATTATATATCAATTCTGCGGTGAAATGTATTTTTCAATTTCAAAATTGAAGAAAAAATATTACCAAACATCACAAACGAGTGTTGAAATTTTAGACCACATTGAACGCAACTATTTTCCGGTGTATTATTCGTAGGTAAAAGTGTATTAAACGTTGAACATCGATAACACAATGGAAGTAATTCCTCAGGATCACGATATGGATATGCCTTCGCGGCAATTGCCCACGTTTCAATTTGTGCCAATAAATTTTTTGGTATCTTCATTCCCCTCAAGCGTTCGAGTAATTGTATTCCCAATTTATTGGCACCCAAAAGACGTGCTTGTTTCATTAGCGCATAAGTTATTGTCAACTGTGACACGCCCTCGAATTGTTTGTCCTGCGTTTTTATTAGTAGAAAACGGGAAATGTTGAATAGCGCTTCTGGCATTAGGGACGTAAATGGTTCTTCCTGAAAAAAATAATAAATAGTAAATTAATGGAAATCAAATAATAAATTCCAAAGAATCAAAATTAGGAAAAATGTGATTGAATTACCAAATATTTATGAACTTCATGATAGACGTAATAAATGTCGGCTCTCTCGGAATAAGATCTGAATAGAACTCTAATTTCTTCGACGTTTTTCGATAGATCAAGACTCAATTGCGAGAGGAGCCAGTAAAAATAAGACGCATCGCGAAATCGTCTTTCTGTCACGGCATTTTTTGCCAGAGTCGTCAAAACTCCTATTGATTCCTCTGGTTGGCCAGCCATTTGAAAAGCTGCATAAAAAAATTAATGTTAAATTACAAAAATTATCACAATTACAATTTTGCAATTAGAAAATAAAACTAAATTTGCTAAATAGATAAATAATAATTTTCTAAAAATTTTTTTTAATATCGAAGAAAACTTGACCTTCTTGGGCCTCGGAGAATCGTCCAGTTTCCGCCAGCCATCTCGCGTATGGACCATAGATTCGTGATTTTAATTTTGGATTCCTCTCGGCCAACTCAAAAGCCTCGGGCCAGGCTTGCGCCTCAATTAGAACTTCCGCCACGTCAGGATGATCGCCCAATCGTGTAAATATTTCCGCCGCACCGTGCGTCGCTCCCAATTGTCTCAATTTCTTTCCAATCACCGTTAAACTCTCTCGCTCCGCTTTATCCAACTGCCTACCAACTTTAATCAGCATATCAATCCAACCGTGTTCGGCAATTATTTTTATTGCTCGCTGAATATCGCCCGCCGAAAGGAACATTTCCGCTGCCGCTCGTGGCTCGCCCAAACTCTTCGCCCATTCTGCTCTCCTCCGAAGGAGCACCGTTCGATCCTTGAATTTAATTATTTTTCAAAATTTATACACTCCAATTTCTTTTTTATTTTTCTCCAACAGGGTTGCCACGCTTTTCCTCATTACAAATTCTCTGACTTTTCCAGGTTTTCCAGGTTAAAAAAAGGAATTTTTCCAGGTTTTTAAAACTACATTTATATTTCACCAAATTAAATAACTCCCTGATTCCCAGACAAAACTTTGAAATTTAAAAAAATTTAAATTCAATAGCATATAAAAATATTATTATAAAACATTAAGATACCGATCACTCCGCGTCTTCGACTCGGAGTCATCACTTTCTTCATGTTTTATATAATAATTAAAACTTGCTAATTTGTTACTGTAACTTCTTCAAAAATTCTTTTCATCATTTCGATTATTCATTACTAGGATTTTCAACTCAAACTCATCTTTAAATAAATTTTTTTTTAAATAATTTTTGAAAAAGTTCTTTGAGAATTTTCAAATCCTTTTATTTACAATTTAATTTTACGAAATTTCGATTTTTATATTGCGAAAAATAACTACAAACAAATCTTTTCAAAAATTATTTTTGAATTATTTTTCTATATAAATTTACAAAATAAACATTTAAAATGGTTTTGAATAACTGAAATTTTGTAAAATTTAATTGAAAATAATTAATTTTTTTCAAGTATTTTGTAAGAATTTTTGAAAATCAAATTTTAAAGAATTTTAATTGCAAATTTTCAAAATAATTAAATTATTAAAAAGTTTAATGAAAAATCTTTTAACATAAATTTGAAAATGAAAATTTTTGAAAATTAGCTTTTAATTTTTTTAAATTTAGTATTTTCAGTACTTTTAATGACATATTTCGGAAAATTCAAATACGTACAAAAAATGATAACATTTTAGATTATTTTTAACATTTTGGTTAAAAAATATCATGTTCAAAATATTTAATTAAAATTCATCAAAAAATTAATTACTTTTTTTTAATAATACAAAAACTCTTTTAAGAAATTCAATTGTTTTCGAAAAATTACATTAAAATATTTTTAAAAACTTTTCAAATTAAATTATCTTCGAATAAAGCAAATAAAAATGTACCTACTTTTTTTGGACTTGTTAAAATTTTGGAGGAATCATGGTCATATTTTAAATTTAAATTCTTCAAAAATTTGATTTTTTTTATTTTTTGAAAATATTATACCTCAATAAACTTAAGAAAAAAACCTGGACAGATACATTTATTATAAAAAATTGAATTTTCATATTCAGGAAGGATTCTAATTGTAATTTTTAGAAATTATTTTTCATAAATTTTACTCATTTTTCGTAAATTTTCATATTTACCTGTACAAAAAATTTTGTCACGAAAAATAATTTTAATGTCAGTAAATTGTCAGGAAAATTGATAAACTGAAACTTGTGATCGCCCTGAAAATTGTATTAAAAATAATTGAAATTCTGCTAAGAATTTTATTAAAATTTTTGAAAATAATTGAATTTCGGAAAAAATTTTATTATTTATAAAGATAATTGAAATTTTGACGAGAATTTTTGTAAATTTTTTAACATAATTGAATTTCTGCGAAGAATTATATTATTTTTGAATATAATTGAATTCTGGAGACGAATTTTATTAAAATTTCTTTTCAAACAATTGAACTCTTATTTTATGAAATTTTATTGAAGTAGTAGACATTGAAAATAATTGAATTATGATATGACACATTTTTGAAATTAATTAAATTTTTATGAAGAATTTTATTTAAATTATTTTGAAAAAAATTGAATTGTTACGAAGAATTTCATTAAAACTGTATTAAAAATAATTGAAAGTCTGTGATGAGTTTTATTATTTATGAAAATAATGAAATGTTTGAGTAGAATTTTATTAACCTTTTTCTTTAACTAATTGAATTCTTTTGGGGTTTTTTTAATAAAGTAGTAGAGAAGAACGGGGCGAGGCAGCCAAGACGGCACATTTTGGTTTGCGAGGTAGTTATTTAAATAGGTTTTTTTAATTTTAATATCGCGTTAGAAAGCTTGTCTTATTGGCTAAAAAATCGCTATAGAACATTTTGACGTAGGTTGCACTTAAAAATTTCTACAACCCTTTTCCCAAAGGACCAAAAGTCCAAAAAAAGTCTGTTTTCATAAATGATACTGTCATTGCTAAACTGCTGCAGCAATAATGCCCATCTGTTAGCAACTAAAGTAAACTACCATAAGCAGTCTAAATTATCAATAGCGCACGATTTGAAAAAATTATGCAGAAATAAGAAGCAATTGGCTGCCTCGCCCCGTTCTCCTCTAGATATTAAAAATGATTGAATTGAGGAAAATTTTTGAAAAAAATTAAAATTTTACCAAGAATTTTATTAAAATTTTAGAAAATAATTGAATTTCTGCAACCATTTGTTAAACTTCTTTAAAATTCAATTTTTTTAGTGTTTTTAACTAAAATTCTTCTATAAATCCATTATTTTTAATAATCAATTAAATATATATTAAAAAATTTAACTAATTTTAGAAGAAGTTTAGTTTTTAAGATTTTTAAAAAATTTTAGTTTTTTAAAATTTCTAATTAAATTCATTTAAAATTGAAATTATACAAAATTTCAAATTAAAATATTTTGAAGTTCATCTATTTATGAAAATTGTAAACGCAACTCTTTTAAAATTAAATTAATTTTGAAATATTGAAGTAAAATTACATTTTAAGAATAAACACAATAACTTTGGACAATAATTTTCCAGAATTTCGATCAAAATTCCCTGATATTTCCAGGTTTTTCAGGTTTCCAGGTTGCGTGGCAACCCTGCTCCAGGAGGAGTATATAAAAATAAAGAATAGCAAAGAAAAAGTGAATTTTTCTTTTCTCGACTCACTTGAATATTGCCAGACGAAATGAATTCCTGGGCAATGTCAAACATGCGAAGATCGGAATACATATCGACAGCGTATTGTTGTAATCCGGCTTTTTGATAGAGTCTCGCAGCTTCACGAAGTCGGCCCATTGCAGCCGCTGCTGTTGCCATGCAAGCCTCACGTCCCCATTCGCCAGATTTCAATTTCTCCTCAACTTCGGAGACAATTTCAATGTAGCGCAATTTTTTGATTCTCGCAAAAGCCGAATATGCAATATTGAATTCCAAATTATCCAAAGCGGCAACTCCCAAGGCAAACCAATCATTCTCCGCCACTCCCAAGCAAGCGATTGCATAAGCTTCCTTAAACATATCAATCTCCAAATACTGATACATCGCGGACGACAAAGGCATCTGAAAATTTATTTTTTTTAAATTGGGAACAATTTTTGAATTAAAAACGAAAGATATTTACAAACCTCAACTGTCACGATCGAAGGACCGTTGAGACAATAAAGTCTCGATCCATTGTGTCCGACGACAAATCCGGAGAATTTCTGTCGATACTCGTTAAAATTTGCGACCTTGATCGCCAAGTAATTAACACCCGAGAAACACATAATTTCCTCGAAAGCACTATTGAACGCAACACTTCGTACGTCGTGGAATTCCTGTAATTTTTGATCGGTTCTAATGTCGAATACTGACAAAACATCCGTGTCCCTAACAACGGCCAATTTCTCCTTCAGCAAACTAATGTCCAAACATCGAACGGCTGATTCGACTTTTGCAAGATGCATTGGAAAGGGATTGTCGAGATAGACTTTGACAACCTGTCCCGTTTTTAGACCGGCCACTAAACACTCCTGTCCCACGGGGCCGCCGATTATTTTCAAATAAGTTATCGGTCCATCCAAAATCCATTCACGATCAATTGTCCCCGTGAATGTGAGACTCTGCAATCGTTTATCCAGACAGAGAATTAAACGATTTGTCGTTACCACCAGCATATTACAATTTAGTGCCTGAGCCAATTTGTCCGTGATGCGGTAATGCATTCCTTCATTGTTACCCGATGGTTCGTAAATTATCACACGCTCCGGAAGTTGTACGGCGAGTTTGTCCTTGTAGACGGCAATTCTGCAGACCTAAACAATTATTTTGTTTTCATTAATTTCTTTGGAAATTATTTTCAAAATTATTTTCTCCGAGTTTTTTAAAAGACTTACGAGATCTTTGCACTTTATTCTGACTTTTTGATTTGTCACGAGATGTTGAATAATAACGTCGGTCATATTCTCTCTATACGCATATCTTTCGCCATAGAGACCGTGAACCGTGTTCCAGGATAATTCCAAATAGGTGATTGTTCCATCCTGGCATCCTATTACCTAGGAATTACATAAATAATTAATTTATGTAATTTTACATTAATAACATTTATTAAATTAAATTACATTCAGGGTTGCTACGCTTTTCCTCATTTCAAATTCCCTGACTTTTCCAGGTTTTCCAGGTTAAAAAACGGAATTTTTCCAGATTTTTAAAACTACATTTATATTTTACCAAATTTTGTTTTTAATTTTAATTTTATTTCTAATTTTACCAAACTCCCTGATTTCCAGACAAAACGACCTTTTTCCTGTTCTATTACATTTATTTACGAATTTCTTTAATTGTAAAATTACTCAAAAACATCAATAACTTCGTTTTTAAATGAAGATTCAATCATTATTATTTTTTTTACAAAAATTAAGATTTTCAAAAATTTTAAATTCAATAACAAAATTATTTTCAGAATTATTTTCATTTCAATTCAATTCTTAATTTCCAGAATTTTAAACTAAAATTCTTCTTTAAATCAATTTTTTGTAATAATTTTTGAAAAAGTTCTTCTTTGAGAATTTTTAAATCCATTTGTTTACAATTCAATTTTACCTAAAATTTCGATTATTTTGACATTCTTCAATTAAATAAATTAGAAATTAAAAACTTCAAATTATTAAAAAAAAAAAAAATTCCATTAAACTTTTTGAGAAAAATTAATTCTAAATTTCCTTAAAAATCTTGTCAAAAATTTAATTATTTTTATAGATAATAAAATCATTCGCAGGAATTCAATTATTCTCAAAAATATGAATAAAATTCTTCGAAATAATTCAATTATTTTTAAAATTGACAAAATTCTTCACATGAATTCAATTATTTTCAAAATTAATTCTCAAAATTCTCAGCAAGAATTCAATTATTTTCAAAAATGATATAATTCTTTGTAAATATTAAATTATTTTCAATATTAATTTTTACGCAATTTCGATAATTGTGACATTCTTCAATTAAATATATATTAGAACAAATAACCATGAAGAATTAAAGAAAAATTCAATTAAACTTTTTTATAAAATGAATTCTACAGAATTGTTAATCAAAAAGTACGAAAAGTTCAAATTTTCAAAGATTTTAATTTGAAACCTTTTCAAAATTTAATTATTTCTAAAAATTTACGCTATATTGCCTTCAATATTCAATAATAATCTAAAATTTTAACTGAAATTTATTTTTATTAATTAGTTTTTATTAAAAAATTCTACGAGAATTCATTTATTTAAATACAAAAATAAATATTTTTTTAAATAATTTAATATTTCTTAAAATTGAATTTTTATAAAGAATGTTATAAAACAAATTTTTAAATAATTGAATTCTCTGGACAAATTTTAATAACATTTTTAAGAATAATTTTGTTTTTCGGAAATTTGATTAAAATTTTATTGAAAATAATTGAATATCTCCAAAGAGAAAAGAGTTTTTAAAACTCCTTTTTTTATAAGAGTTTTTGAAAATAATTGAAATTTTGCCAAGAATTTTATTAAAATTTTTGAAAATATTTGAATTTCCGAGAAAAATTTATAAAGATTATTGAAATTTTGACGAGAATTTTTGTAAATTGTTGAACACAATTAAATTTCTGCGAACAATTATATATTACTTTTGAAAATAATTGAATTCTTGAGATGAACTTTATTAAAATATTTTTTTAAATAATTGAATTTCTTTGATGAATTTTAATAAAAATTTTAAGAGTAATTTCATTTTTCGAGGAATTTCATTAAAAATGTATTAAAAATAATTGAAAGTCTGAGATGAGTTTTATTAATTTAGAAAATAATGAAATGTTTGCGTAGAATTTTATTAACACTTTTTTTTCAACTAATTGAATTCTTTTGGAAAATTTTATTAATGTAGTAAATTTATTAAAAATCATTGAATTGAGGAAAGTTTTTGAAACTAATTGAAATTTTACCATGAGATTGATTAAAATTGTTGGAAATAATTGAATTTCTGCGAAGAATTTTACTTCTTTTGAAGATAATTGAATTTCTGCAATCATTTGTAATTGCTTCAAAATTATTCAAGTTCTTTTAGTTTTTTTAAATAAAATTCTTCTATAAATTCATTATTTTTAATAATCAATTAAAACTATATATTAAAAAATTTAAATAATTTCAGAAGAATTAGAATAATTAAAATTTTTCAAAAATCTACGTTCATAAATTATAACAGTCTACAGAAGAATTCAATTATTTTTATAAATAGTAAAAGTTTTGCTAAAATTCAATTATTTTCAACAAAATTTTGATACAATTTCACGAAAGAATTCAATTATTATCTAAAATTTTAATAAATTCATTGAAACAATTCAATTATTTTTTTTTCAATTCCTTGCAAAAATGTAATTATTCTTCAATACAATTTTAATAAAATTTCATGAAGGAATTCAATTTAAAAATTTTTTTTTTTAAATTCAATTATTTTCTAAAATTGGAATAAACCCTTCGAAACAATTGTTTCGAAGAGTTGAAAAGAGTTTAATTTTCTATCAATAATTTTTAATATAATTCAGTAATTAAATGTTTAATTTCAATTACTAAGAAACACGATTATTTTACAACATTGAAAGAAATTGTTCATAAATTGAATTACTTTCAAATTTTTCAATTAAAATTATTATTAAAGAAACAATATTATTTAAAAAAAAATGTAAAGAAATTCTTCAAAAGAATTTAATTAGAATTTTGAATAATTTTAATAAAATTCTTCGCAAGAATTCAATTATTTTCATAAACAGTAAAATTCTTCGAAGAAATTCAATTATTCTCAAATAGTTTGACAAAATTCTTTGCAAGAATTCAATGATTTTCAATACATTAATTTTTGAAATTGAAAATATATTTGAAAAGAAAAATTATTAAAACCATAATTACCAATAAATACAAATTATAGTTATTTATTGTAAATATTCGGCTTACAATGTGTGATGATTCGGGATGAACGGCACAACTCCAAACCCAGGATGAAAATTCATTGCCAACTGTTGCCAATTGTATACCGTCGTGTGTCATTAACATGCAACGTTTATTGCTGCCCGAAACAAGAAGATATTGACCCTCGGGAAAATGGCAGATCTTCAAGGGTGTAAAATTCAGTGTTCTCTCTCGTCTCACTGCTTTTCCATTAATCGCATAAAACGATAGTGTTCCACCCCATTCGGCTATGCACAAGACGTCCATTAAATCATCCCTGGAGTTTTTAAAAATTAACAATTAATATAATATATAAATAATAAATAATAGTCAAGTGAAAAAATGAACACAAAGAAAACTAAAAGAAAGTCAATTTAATTAAAGATTTAGAACATTACAGACTTCACACTCTTCTATTAAAACCTACTATTTAACACTTTTTTCACGATTAGCTACTATCCGAGGCGTCATTTGGATACTTTTTTAAAAATTTGTGACACTAAAAGCTACTTATTCATTTATTTATTATTTTTTTTTAATTTGCACAAATTAAAATCTGCTATTTTAATACTCCAAAGAATTCAATTACTTAAAAAAAATTAATAAAATTCGATTAATATTATAAATAATAAAATTTTCCCAGGAATTCAATTATTTGAAATCCAATTTTCAAGAATATTTTTCTAAAGAAATCAATTATTTAAAATATTTTAATCAAAATTCTTAGAAAGATATTGATTATTTTCTAAAATGTTGATAAATATTTGTTTATAAGAATTAAATTTTTATTTTCATAAATAATAAAATTCTTCTCAGGATTTCTATTATTTTTAATACAATTTTAAATGAATTTCTCTAAAAATATAATTATTTTCAAAAGTTTATTATTTATTATTTATTTTTGTATTTAAATAATTAAATTCTTGTATAGAACTTTCGAATAAGAATTGATTTAAAAATAAATTTCAATTAAAATTTCGGATTATAATAAATTGAATATTAAATGTATAGTATAAATTTTTGGAATTAGTTAAATTTCAAAAACCTTTTATATTAAAATAGCCTGACATTAGAAATTAAAAGAATTTAGAGTATAAATATTAATTTCCAATATTTATATCCAGGCATTATTTCTATTATTGTTTGGTAACCATTATTCAAGGAAATTTTATAAACAATATTAATTTTTGTGTTTTTTTGAATAAGATTTTTTTAAATTATCTAGTTAAATTTAGAAAAAACCTTAAGGGACACCAGGAGACACTCCAGATTGCTGTTCCTCCAGAACGATCGATTTTCGCTTTTTCTTCGCCAACCTAGAATTCGTAATTTTCTTCTTTTTTATTCAATTTATTTTCTTTATAATAAACATTTATACATTATAAATATCATTAATATTTATCTAATTATTAATATAGACGTTAATATTTAATTGTTGTTTTATCACAAAAAGAAATGTTTCTCGTACCTTGTTTCTGATGGAAACGAAACCAGTGGCCAATCCAAGAGCCATATATTGACCATCTTTCGTCCAGGAGCAACAATTCACTCTTCCTCCGGATTTATATTTTTGAACTGCCTTTTGTTCCACTGACCATAAGGCAATATCGGAAAGTGCACAAGTTAATAATTGATGAGACACTGGATTAAATTGCATTGATTGTACAGCTTCATTGTGTCTAGAAAAAAAAGATTTTATAATTTATTTTCTCTTTATTATATTATCAGGCTTCACATTCATCTACTAGAACCAACTATTTACTACTTTTTTACGATTTGCTACTATTTAGATACTTTTTTTAGATTTTTAACACTAAAAGCTACGTTTTTTCTTTTTTTTTAAATTTACACTGCTTTAAATCAGCTAATAATTAAAATAAAAAATTATTCTAAATTTTTAAAATTTCTTTGAAACGATTCAATTCTTTTGATAAATTTCAAGAAAATTTTTCGTAAGAATTCAATTATTTTCACAAATAATAAAAATATTTGCAGAAATTCATTTATTTTTAATATCTACTATTTTTTAATAAAATTTCCCATAAGAATTCAATTATTTAAAAGAATCCTAATAAAATAATAATATGTAAACATTCAATTATTTTCAAAAACAATAATTTTTTACTTTGCAAAAATTCAATAATTATTTTCAATAAAATTTCACGAAAGAATTTAATTCTTTTTCTTAATTCGTTATAAAATTTTTCAAAAGAATTCAATTATTTTCAAAACAATTTTAATTGAATTTCTCGGAAGAATTTAATTATTTTCAAATATTTCTATAAAATTCTTCAAAACAATTCAATTTTTCTTAAAATTTTAATAAATTCTTCGATCATTTCAATTATTTTTATAAATAGTAAAATTCTTTGCAGAAATTCAATTCTTTTCAAAACAATTTTAATAGAATTCCTGAAAAAAAGTTTAATTATTTTCAAATATTTACATGGAATTCAATTATTTTCAAAAATTTTAATAAATTCCTTGCAAGAATTAAATTATTTTTTTAAATAGTAAAATTCTTCGCAGGAATTAAATTATTTTTAGAAATAATAAAATTCTTCTCAGGAATTCAATTATATTCAATACAATTTTAATAAAATTCAATTGCTTTCAAAATTTTCAATTAAAATTATGAAAGAAACTCCATTATTTTAAAAAAGTTCAAAGAAATTCTTTAAAAGAATTTAATTAGGATTTTTAAATATTTTAATAAAATTCATCACAAGAATTCAATTATTTTTAAAAGTAATACTTTTCTTCTTGGAAATTCCATTATTTTAAAAAATTCTAATAAAATGGTTCGCAAGAATTCAATTATTTTCATAAAAATAAAATGTTTTTTAAGACTTCAATTATTTTCAAAAAAATGTAATAAAATTTCTCAGACATTCAATTATTATTGTCAATAATTTTAATAGAATTCTTTGTAAAATTTAATTATTTTTAAAAACTTTTCGCAATTCAATGATTTTTAATATCGACTATTTTCATATAAAATTTCCAAACATAATTTAATTCTTTTCATGAATAATAAAAATTTCTCACGAATTCAATTATTTAAATTAGAATTTGCATAAAATTAGTCGAAAGAAATGAATTATTTACAAATTTTTTATAAAATTCTTCGCAAGAATGACATTATTTTTATAAATATATTTATTCTTACGAATATTTGAGAATTCCCTCAAGTTTCGAAGTCCATATAATAACTGATTTATCTGCACTGCCGGAAGCGAATTTTTTTCCATCCTTCGCGTAACAAACACAATACACTGTATCTTTATGACCTGGAATAAAAATCGAATTCCAAAAAATAGAAATTTGGATAAATTATATAATCAGGGTTGCCACAAATATTTAATTTTATTTTTTCCTGACATTTCCCTGATTTCCAGACAAAATTTTCACTTTTTCCCTGACCATAAAGAATATTTTTCCATAGGAATTAAAATTCTTCAAAACATTCAAATTCAAACATTTTTAAAATTAAACAACTTATAAGAATATTATTATAAAACATGAAGATATCAATTACTCCGAGTCTTCGACTCAGAGTGATTGATATCTTCATGTTTTATAAAAATTTTAATTTCCATAAAATATTTCAAAAAAAAATTAAATTATTTACAAAAATTATAATAAAATTCGTTGCAAGAATTCAATTATTTTCATAAATAATAAAATTTTTCACATGGTTTCAATTTTTTTTTAATATAATTCTAAATAAATTTCTCGAAAAATAAAATTATCTTCAAAAATTTTCTGAGGATTTCAATTATTTATAATACAATTTAAAGTAAATTCCTAGAAAAATGGAATTATTCTCTTAATTTTTTTGTAAGAATTTAATTACATTTCACGAATATAATTAAATTCTTCATTGAAATTCAAATATTTTCACAATCTACTTTTCTTAATAAAAGTTCTCAAAAGAATTCAATTATTTAAAAAAATTTAATAAAATTCTATGCATGAATTCAATAATTATTTTCATAAATAATAAGATTCTTTACAGTATTTAAATTATTTTTAAAAAAAGTTGAAAAAATTCACTGCAAGATTTCAATTAATTTCATAAATTAATAAAATTCTTCACAGGATTTCAATTATTTTTAATACAATTTTAAGTAAATTCTTCGAAAAATGTCACTATTTTCAAAAATTTTGTTAAAATTCTTCGAAAGAATTCAATTATGTATTTTTAAAAATTCATGCTATAATGCTTTTAATATTCAATTATAATCCAAAATTTTAACTAATATTAATTTTCAAATCAATTTTTATTGGAAAATTCTACATAAATTCAATTATTTAAATACAAAAATAAATAATTTATTGAATAAATGAATATTTTTCGAAACTAAATTATCATAAAGAATTTTATCAACAAATTTGAATTTTTTCGAGAAATTTTAATAAAATTTTCAAGAATAATTAAATTTTTTGAGGAATTCAATTAAAATTGTATTAAAAATAATTGAAATTCTATGATGAATTTTATTATTCATGAAATTAATTGAATTTTTGTAAAAAAAAATGTTATTATTTATAAAAATAATTGAATTATTGCAAAGTTTGCTTAGAATTTTATCAAAATTTTTTTTTTTAAATAATTGAATTCTTTTGAAAAATTTTATTAAAACTGTAGATATTGAAAAATCATAGAATTGAGAAAAATTTTTTGAAAATAATTGAAATTTTGCAAAGAATTTTATTAAAATTTTTGAAAATAATTGAAATTTGGAGAAAAATTTTATTATTCTTAAAGATAATTGAATTTTTATGAGAATTTTTTTAAATTTTTGAACAAATTGAATTTCTGCGAAAAATTTTATTACTTTTGAAAATAATTGAATTTCTGCAATCATTTGTAACTTCTCCAAAGTTCAATTTTTTCCTGTTACTTAAAAAAAAATCCCTGACTTTTCCCTGACTTTTCCCTGATTTCCCTGACCTGTGGCAACCCTGTATATAGAATTCTTACCTTTAAGAGGTTGAATTAAAGCTCCTTTGCTAGTTTCATAAACCAATACTTGCTGTCCCGCAGCTACAACTAATTGAGATCCATCAGGATTAAAACATAAATCGTATATACTGGAAACAAAAATTGTTTTTTCAATTATAAACAAACTGTTATCAGTACAGTAGGTACAGTATATTTACTTTATTTTTACATAAACAGAATAATGTAATTCTATAAAAATAAAAGCACTAATTAACTACATTATTTTAAGTAATTTATATTAGGTTTATATTATATCTACAATAATCGTGATATAATAAAAATTGTATTGTTTATTAGACAAAAATAAAAACAAAAGTTATTCTTACCATTGTTCTGTCTTATCTTGAACTTTATCAACCCACGTTGGATGGGTTCTCATTTTTTTCTCTCTATTAACTTCAACTTTATTGTTTATTTACATTTACGACTAAAAAATACAAAAAGTAAACAATATTAAACAAATGTCACATACGCACATAACACTGTAGTTTAGTTTATTTTGACATTTGTACCGTTACCACGGAAACGGAAAAAAAATGACTGACAACCAATTAGCATTTTGATTTCCGGTTGCCTCGTCCATCGCCGCCAATGAAAACACGCTGAAATACATGACTCAATTTCTATTGGCTATCTGAATATTTGTATTTCCCTTAAATCTATTAAGGAGCGGGAAATTTTAACAACAGTATGCGCGGTATGCGCTATGCCGCACATGTGTACGGTTAATGATTAAAAAAGCAACATAAGCAACCAATTTATTGAATGATAATTTAATTGTTGTGTTTATAATTTGTTGGAAAATAAATGTAGTGACTATTTTTCATTGATATGAACCGGAAAGAAAGGAGAAAAATGTGTTTATTTGCGGGACAAATATAAATCTACAATAGTGAGGTTATGTTCGGAGGCATTCTTGTTTTAAATATTTTCATTGTTTACATTTAAAAAGTGTGCAATGCTTTTTATTTTATTTCGGCGACAACAAATAAAAATTAGCAGTCATCATATTTACAATAAACCAAAATTCAAATACATTTACTTGCAAAGAAAATTTTTGCATGATACTCTTGACGATTTACCAGCAATTGCAGTAATGGATATGAAAAAAACTCTCAAGTCTTGTAATATTTCGTTTTACGAAGGACATACGTGTTTGCTTTCTGATTGTCCTCTATGTGACAATAAATCGAAATTGTACATCAATAAAACAACAGGTATTTTATTAACTTTAATTTAACTTTACAGGGAGTCTACTGGTCCTTGAAGTCCTGGAATTCCTGGAAATGTCCTGGAATTTGAACTTTTGTCCTTGAATTTTCCATATTTTGCTTTTCAATATTCAATAATTTAAAAATTTTACTTAAATTTAAAAAAATAATTTTTTGATCCATCAAAAACTAATTTTAATTTGTCAATTGATTAAAAATATTTTTGTTCAAGTAGGTTAATTTAAATTATGTTAATCGTAATATGAAATAATATTACACAGGGTTGCCATAAAATTTAATTTTTGTTTTCCCTGACTTTTTCCTGATTTCCAGACAAAATTTTCACTTTTCCCTAACCCTGAAGAACATTAATAATATCTTTTTTAAATAAATATTTAATCATTATTATTTTTGTATAGGAATTAAGATTCTCAAATTCAGTAACTTATGAGAATATTATTATAATAAAACATTAAAACATGAAGATTTCCTCATGTTTTATAATAAATTTAAGATGACAAAGTAATAAAATCATTATTTTATTTCATAAGAATATTGTAACTAAAAATTCGAATTTTCAAAGATTTTAATTTTAACCCTTTTCAAAATTCAAATATTTCTAAAAATCCACGCTATAATGTTTTTAATATTCAATTATAATTTAAAATTTTAAGTGAAATTCATTTTTTAATCAATTTTTATTAGAAAATTTCCCGAGAATTCAATTATTTAAATACATTAAAAATAAATAATTTATTTAGTAATTTCATGTTTTTTAAAATTGAATTTTTATGAAGAATTTTATCAAAATTTTTAATAACAATTCAATTCTTTCGGCGAATTTAAAAAAAAAATTGTAAGAATAAATGCAATTTTCCATCATTTTATTTTAAATTTTATAAAAAATAATTTAAATTCTGCTATAAGATTTGTTATTTATGAAAATAATTGAATTCCTGTGAATAATTTTATTTGTCAAAATAATTGAATTCCAGAGAAAAATATTATTATTTATGAAAATAATTATTTTCTTGTGAAGAATTTTATTCAAACTTTTTTAAATAATTGAATTTTTCAGAATTTTTAAAAACTCTTAAAAAATAATTAAATTCCATCTAGAAATTTCAATAAAAAATTGAAAATATTTTAAATCTGACCAAGAAGAGAATCTGACAAAGAATTAAAAAAAAATTTTTTTTTAAATTATTGAATTCCTGTGAAAATATTTATTTTTAAAAAAAATTGAATTCTTGGGAAAAATTTTATTTTTTACGAAAATAATTGAATTGTTTTGAAGAGTTTTACAAACATTTTTGACAATAATTGTATTTTACGAAAATAATTGTATTCTATGACCGATTTTATTATAATTTTTCAAATTTATAAAGCATTTTATCAAAATTTTTAAAAATAATTGAATTCTCAAGAAAGAAAATAATTGATTTCTAGCGAAGAAATTTAATCAAATTCTTTTAAATAATTGAATTCCTATAAAAAATGTATTATTTGTGAAAATAATTGAATTCTTAAGAAGAAATGTATTGAAAACAATTTAATTTTCTTTATATATTTGAATTCTTTCGAGAAACTTCATTAAAAAATTTAAAATAATTGAATTGATGTGAAGAAGTTTATAAAAGAAATTGGTAAGTAATTGAATTCCTGTTAAATTTTTATTAAAATAATAGAATTCTTTTGGAAAATTTTTTTAAAATAGTGGATATAAAAAATAATTGAAATGAGGAAAATTTTTTAAAATAATTCTTGGCATAATTTAAGGCAAACAAAAAAGACACCAAAATTCAGAATTTTCCTACAAATTCTAAAAATTAAATTTTTTCCAGTACTTTTAGTAAAAATCCCTGACTTTTCCCTGACCAATTCTAATTTCCCTGACTTTTCCCTGAATTCCTTGACTTCCCTGACTTGTGGCAACTCTGTTACACATATAAATGTCCTGGAAAAATAAGAAATCTGTCCTGGAATGTCCTGAAAATGTCCTGGAATTTTAAGTCATATTTTCAGTAGACACCCTGCTTTAAATTAATAATTAAATAATGATTTTATAATTATATTATTAATTGATAATAGAAATTTTGTATTTTTTTCTTACATTTAATTATATGTCAACAGGTTTGTTTATTTGTGAAAATTGCCAGCATACAGGATCTTGGAGTATCCTAGAAAAGTTTATAATTCAGAAAAAGACGAGTCGAGCTATTAAGGCATTGTTAGAAGTTCGAAAATCTATTCATAAAGAAGATGATTGTTCTTGTCAGTGGAATAATGTAAAAAATAGTTCCGAAAATGTTGCTGATATTCCTGTCGATGAGTACGAGAAAATTCGAAAAACATTTTCCTTTCCAGTAATTATTTCTTTTTGGTTCACAAATTTTTTTTTCTTTCTTTATTTTGTTATTTTAATTAATTAATTTATTTAGTGATTTATTTTTAGAATATACCTCAAGAGACAATGTCTCATTTAAATTGTAGCTACAATGGAAAATTACAAGTGTGGTATTTTCCCTTAGTTGCATTTAATACACGAATTGTTGGCTACAAATCGTTGTCTATGAAGAATGATCATTGTAAAACTGAACCACCGACGGGTACAAGTGGAGTGATAATTCACACTCAACGAAGTACAAAATCAGAGGATAGTGCCGTTATTGTACCGACAATAAATGATTTTCTTGCACTTGTTGCTGAAAAATCGGCACCAATTATCATATGCTTGCCATACGATTTACAAAATTTACCGCAAGAAATTCTTCCGAGTTTAGAAAAATATAATAAATTAGTTTTATGGTTTGGTAATAATGCAACGAGTTGGGATGTGTCGAGGAATTTTGCCAAGAAACTCAATGAGAAACGATGCTTCATTGTGAGACCAATTAATCAACAGACGAGTCCTAAAGAGGCTTTAAAGAAGAAATTAAATTTGAAGGAGATTATTCAGAACGCCCAACCAATTTGGCATAAAAGTATCACGACTTTTAGTACAATAAGACAAGATGTTTTGAGTGATTTGCAAAATATTGATAAAGTTCAAGGTGTGAAGTGGAAACGATATCCAACTTTGAATAGAATTTTACAGGGTCACAGGAAAGGGGAATTTACCATATTGACCGGACCGACAGGTTATTATTTTCTTTTTGGTTCTTTCACTGCTTGTTTTTGGACTAAATTTTACTATCTTTTACATTTTTCACTCCTTTTTTCTATTAGATTTTTAATGCACTTTTTACTACATTTTTTCATTATTTTTTATTTTTTGCTGCATTGATTTTTAATAAAGACAAGTTTTTCCTCTTTCAGGATGCGGAAAAACGACATTCATCAGTGAATACTCTTTGGATTTGGCTCTACAAGGAGTTAATACACTTTGGGGAAGTTTTGAAATAAGAAATGCGAGATTAGCGAGGACAATGCTTCAGCAAATGGTTGGCGTGCCGCTCGATGAGAATTTGCAAAATTTTAATACATTCGCGGACAATTTTGAAAAACTTCCCATTTATTTCATGACGTTTCACGGTCAACAGAATATCAAAGTTGTCATGGAGGTAAGTAATTTTGTGAATTGTCAAAAAGTCGTGATAGTTAATTTTGGTTATTTTTATTTACAGGCAATTGAGCACGCTACTTACGTTCATGATATCGCTCACGTTATCATTGATAATGTACAATTTATGATGGGCATTTCTGACGAATCAAAGCATATGGATCGGTAAATTATTTTACTATCTTACAAAAATATTTTCTAGTCTATCTTCTATATCTATGTTTATAAAAAAATTTGAAAATAATTGAATTTTATGCGACGAATTCAACTATTTTCAATAATTGTAATAAAAATCTTTAGTCAATTTATAAATAATAAAAATCTTCGTAAAAAATTGAATTATTTTTATATAAATAATAAAATTCTTAACAGGGTTTCACTTATTTTCAATACAATTTTAATTAAATTCTCCGAGAAAATTCAATTATTTTTAAAAATAATTGAATATTTTAATAATAACAGGAGTTCAATTATTTAAAAACCTTTTAATAAAATCCAATTCAAGAAAATTAAATTATTTTTAAATTCTTCGAAAGAATTCAATAATATCAATAAATACCTAGTAAATTTTTTTACAGGTATTCAATTATTTTAAATACGATTTTAATAAAATTCTTTTTAAAAATTCACTTATTTTTTAAAATTTTGCAAAAATTAAATTATTTGCAGAAATAATAAATTTTGCAAAAATTCAATTGTTTCAGAAATAATAAATTTTTTTGTCAGGGATTCAATTATTTAAATAAAGTTTTAATAAAAGTCTACTCAAAAATTTAATTATTTTCAGAAATAATTAAATTTTCGATGTACTGAAAATCATTGAATTCTTGTAAAGTATTAATAAAAAAATTTGAATATAATAATTGAATTCATGTCAAGAATTTTCTCAACATTTTTTCAAATAATTGAATTCTTTTGAGAAAATATAATAAAAATTGTAGGTATTGAAAATCATTTAATTCTTGGAAAGATTTTGATTAAAATTCTTTAAAATAGTGAAGTTTTTTTTAAATAATGTTTACTAAAAATTTTGAAAATAATTGAATATTTTCAAGAAGAATTTCTTTTAAGTTTTTAAAATAATCGTGTATATTTTTAATTGTAATTAACAAGTTTCCTATTAAATTATACTAAATTTATTCATAGAAAATTTAATTTTTATAAACAATTTTATTAGAGTATTTGTAAATAATAAGATTTTTTTGAAGAATTTCATTAAATGTCGTAAAAAAATGTAATTTTTTAGAGTAATTTTAATTGAAAATTTTAAAAATAATTTAAATTTAGAAAGAATTCAATTAAAAACTTTTGAGAACAATTGAATTGTTTAAACAAATTTTATTACAACTTTTAAAAATAATTGAACCTGTTAAAGAAATAATTAAAATTGTATTGAAAACAATTAAATTTTTATTAAAACTCTTGAAAATAATTGAATTTAAATAATATTTTTAAAAATAATTGTATTCTTTCGAGAAATTTTATTAAAATTGTATTGAAAATAATTGAATTCCACCGAAAAATTTTATTATTTACGAAAATAATTGAATTCCTTTGTAGAATGTTATTATTTATGAAAATAATTGAATTTCTTTGTAGAATTTTATTATTTATGAAAGTATTTTAGTTCTTGCGAAGATTTTTCTTATTTATGAAAATAATTAAATTCTTCTGGAGGATTTTACAATTCATAAAAGAAATTGAATTGTTTCGAAGGATTTTATCTGAATTTTTGAAAATAGAATTTTTTGAAGGAATTTTATTAAACATTTTGAAGATAATGATTTTTTTAAAAGAAATTCATGAAAACTGTTGAAAATAAATAAATTTATATTAAAATTCTTGAAAATAATTGAATTGCTTTAAAGAATTTTATTATTCATGAGAATAATGAAATTCTTGCGACAAATTTTTAAGTAATAATAAACAAGAATATTTAATATTATGTTTATTAATAAGTGAATTCTTTAAATTTAAAATCTGTAATCATTCAAAAATTGATGTTTATTCTTGAAAATATAAAATTTTTTATTTTACAAAATAATAAAAAATGGAATAATACCGCGTTCCGCGTGTATTATTTGCTAGTTGTAAATTATAATTGTGAAAGAAATGTTTTTAAATTTATTATAATTAAATTTCAGTTTCTGGCGACAGGACAAGATAATAAGTACATTTCGGACTTTCGCAACAAAGCATAATTGTCACGTAACTTTAGTGATTCATCCGAGGAAGGAGCGAAATGATGAGGAATTATCGGTCTCGTCAATATTTGGTAGTGCAAAAGCTAGTCAAGAGGCGGACAATGTATTAATTATTCAAGATAAACGACTCACTAGTCTTCGAGGGAAAAAGTACTTACAAGTTGCAAAAAATCGTTACAGCGGTGATTTAGGAATAATGCTGCTTGAATTTGATAAATCAAGTTTAAGTTATTCTTCCAAAAGAAAATCGAAAACAACCAATGACCAAAAAGACACGAACAAAGAGGAAATCGAACTAACTTCCGAATCAACGTGATATTTTTCTCCTTTTAAAAACAGTGATAGATTTTTTTGTACAGAAATATTCTTCAATTTATCGTAAGTTTTCTACTCCTACAATCTGTAAATATTCTTCTTGTAATTATATTTTTCGTGTTCCTATTGACAGAGAAAGAGATAATTTTTGTAAAATGTTTTTCCAACACAAATATATTAGTAAAAAAATTTATTTTCTTTTTAATTAGAATATTTTGTTGACATTTGTTTTTACATTTCTGTTACAAAATTTTTCGTTTCTAATTTTAATCAAAAATTAAAATTTCACGAAGTAATTATTAATTGAGAAAAATAGTTTTCTTTTTCAGCGTTCGATGTGTCGACAGAAAACTTTTGCACGACAATCGAATTTCATACTTTTAATGTTGTAATTAAAGTGAGTGTTTAAGACATCTTTAAAACCGTTATATTTATTTTCAGTGTAATTGATCAAATTTTGAATAGATTGAAAATTCAGATTCATTTCGTTTTGAAACATACTCACATAATTTTCTTCGCGAATTTTTTGATTTATAAAATCTGAGTGTAGAATATTTTGCGCAACACTAATTGCATTTGTTAAAGCTTTACAGGGCGTTAGGAGAACATCATTATTACCCCATTTATGAACGATGAACGATTCAAGAAATTCATAAGCAATAACACCATGAATTATTGTTAGAAATTTCATGATTCCCTCCTTGTCTGCTGACCAAATGCGATGTTCACTTGATTGCTTCGTTGGAAATGGAATGACACTGAGGAAAATTGTTGATTTGAGAAAACCTGGAAAGTTTGGTGCTTTGGCGAAATTCAGTGTTTCCTTGCCAAGTGGTCGTGGATATTTTTCACTTTTCATAATAATTAGAAATTGATAGGGAAAGGCGGAATTTATTTTTCTCAATGATAGAGCCTTTCCCGTTGCCACATCTTCGGAACTGGCAAAATCCTTTAATTTGTATTTATTCTTTAAAATATCAATTCGTTGCTTGCCAATTTCCTTCATTGATTCATTGATTTTCGAAATTTTTGGCCCTCTTATCAGGAATAGTGTTATCATTTCGACGACGTCCACTAATAGCTCGTCTGTTTTATTATTAACGCAATTCATTGCCATTTTTAAGACGGCTCTTGTGTCAAATTGTTCCTGTCGTGATTGTTGAGCTTTCACAGAAAATGCATCTTCGAACCTTTTTGTTATTTCTTTTAATATGTTTCCAAGTTGATCAGCATTCATGTCTGGATTAAAATAAACAAATTTTATTATTTATTTATTTAAATCAATTTCATGATAAATCTTTAACAAATTTTATTTTTTTATTATTGATTATTAATATTTATTTGTAATTACAACATTTTTTATTTTTGAATAATTTTATAATCAATATTTAAAAAATCCACTTGACTCATCAAGTACATAATTAATTATTATTGCTTATATTTTCAAAAATTTGAGTATAATTCTTTGCAAGAATTCAATTATTTTCATAAATAATAACATTCTTCGTAAGAATTCAATTACTTTTATAAATAGTAAAATTAATCCAAAGTTCAATTATTTTCAACAAAATTGTAGTAAAATTTCACAAAAAAATACAATTATTTTCTAAAGTTTTAATAATTCCTTCGAAACAATTCAATTATTTTTAATAAAATTTTAATACAATTTTATGAAAAAATGCAATTATTATTTTCTAAAATTTTAATAAATCCTTGGAAACAATTTAATTCTTCAAAAAAAATTTAATAAAATTATTCGAAAGAATCCAATTATGTATTTTTAAAAAATTTTAATAAATCCTTCGAAACAATTCAATTTTTTAGAAGCAGAAAAATTTATCGCAAGAATTAAATTATTTTTTATAAATAATAATATTCTTCTCATGAATTCATTTATTTTCAATACAATAATTTTAATAAACTTCAATAATCGAAAATATTTCATTATAATTATTAACAGACACAAGTATTTTAAAAATTTGAAAAAAATTCTTTGTTTAATTCAATTATTTTTAAAATTTCCAATTAAAGTTATTCAAAAAACTACATTATTTTGAAAAAAGCTTAAAGAAATTCTTCAACAGATTTAATTATTTACAAACACTCTAATTAAATTGTTTAAAAGAGTTTAATTTTCTATAAATAATTTTAATAATATTTTAATTGTACAATTATTAACAAAATCGATTATATTCAATAAATTAAAGAAATTTTTTGAAAGAATTTTTAAAATGTGTCTATTCTTCGAAAGAAAAATTCTGAGAAGAATTTAATTATTTTCTAAAAATTTTAATAAAATTCAAGAATTAAATGTTTAATATTTCAATTATTAAGAGACACGATTATTTTAAAAACTTGAAAGAAATTGTTCATAAAATTCAATTACTTTCAAAAATTTCAATTAAAATTATTAAAGAAACTCCATTAGTTTAAAAAAAATTCAAAGAAATTCTTCCAAAGAATTTAATTATGATTTTTAAAGTTTTAATAAAATCCGTCGCAAGAATTCAATTATTTTTAAATTTTTTGTTTGCATGAATTTAATGATTTTCAATAAATTAATTTTAGAATTGAAAATTTATAATAATAATAATATTTCCTTTTTGTTTAAACCGTTTTTTTATTATTTTGTAATAAATCATATTAAAAATAATTAATATTATTATGAATGTAAATTTTTATAATAAATAAATTTTTCATAATAATAGCAATAATAATTTTGCTTTTCAATTATTTTGTGATAAATAATAACAATAACAACTTTTTTCTTTAATTTACTTATAATTTTAAAATCAATTTTTCTGAATATTTAAAACAATTTCTCAAATAATTAATCAAATTCACTAAAGTTAAATTAATTAAAAGTTAAATTGACAAAAGTTTTATTTTTATACCAAGTTGACCAAGTTTAATAAAAAAAATAATAAAAAGAATAATTCTTTTTATGTTCTTAATTTTTATAATTAATTCTCAAAAATAATTAATTAATTAACAAATGAAAAGAACAAATAGAAAAATAGAAAAAAACATAATGTGACAAATATTAATATCTAAAATAAATAAATAAATAAATAGGTACATAGAGACGAAAAATATTGTTTACAGTGCAAATAATTAATTATATTCTCCTTTTATATTTAAATTGCGCGCGTAAAATGACGAGGAATATTCAACGCATGCGCGTAGCGTATGTTTATAAATTAGAAAAAAAAATGGATCCCTCAATTTTCTTCATGTTTACATTATCTGTCCAAATTTAAGATAAGCTTTCCTATTTATATATTACACATATTTAGAATGACATGATGCAGATGATTATTCTATATACGAAACGTCGACATTAGTAAAGGAAAAATGTATAATGGAAATATTGTGTGGTTCATCATTTTTTTCATCACTTTACAAAGTGCACAATTATTTTGTGATAATTTTAAAAAACCAACTATTTTAATTGGAATTTTGGTACGAAATAAAGCACACACATTGCCATATTTTCTCAGTTTTCTCGGGAATCTTGATTATCCAAAAAATAGAATATCTCTTTGGTGAGTTGGCATTATAATTCAATTTTATGCTTAATTATTATTGTTTAATTAGGCAGTCAAATGTTTTTTTCTTCGTGAGCGAAATTTATCTTTAATTGTGGTAAACAATAGTAAGTGTTTTTTTTCTATTAGTTTTATTAAATTGTTGAAAAATTGAATTTTTCTTTTTACAGTAAATACGTACTTGTCATAATTGTCAGTCATATGTTAAATAATAAATTATATCTTAACACTTTTTTATTCTAATTTTATTTTATTCTCTTTTATTTTTTAAAACTTCGTTTTTAAACTTGTTTCTTATAGGTAGTCTATTTTATTCCGTTTGGTTAAATAATAATAAAAATATTATAAAGAATAATATGCTGAATGAGCAAAAATTACTAAATAAAATTATTTATCTAAACGGAAATAATCATTTTTATAAACCTACAGTTTAACTGTTTCAATTTTAGTCATTAGAGTTAATTTTAATTTAATATCTATTATTTTTAATTTTAATTAATAATAATTAGTCATTAGAATTAAATTTTAAAATTACAGTTTACATTCTTGGACTAATTATAACAAATAAAAAAATAAATAAAAATAAAACATGTTACAGAAATTTTTTTTTGAAATTAAAAATATATTGTTTGCAGTTTTGCTAAAAAATTTCTATAGAATTTTATTTTGTTATAAAATAATTTTTATTTTAAATCAATTCCGTTTGTTTATTGCAATTATAATAATTTATCTCACAGAAGTTTTAGATTTTGTTTTGAAATTGTTTTAAAACTACTAAATCGTTTTTACTTACTTTTCTAATTTTATTTTCACACCCCGTGTCGAAAAATGCCACCAAACTTGATACAATTTTTTATTCCTTTTCTGTTGAAGTATTTTTTATTTTGTATTTTATTGTTCTAGACACAAAAAGATTTGTTAAAAAATAATATGCGTCTTGATAAACTGAAGTCTTTCGAGATAATGACCGCTGCTTGAAAATTTGCTGCTGAAGTTGAATGTATTCAACATACACTCAGACAAAGAATAATACTTTTGATATGTTTCATTTAATAATTTTTCATCAATATAGTTTTTTGGTTAATTTAAAAAAAAATTTAGTGTCTTGTTTGTATTAATTACTTTTTTTTTTTAAATATTTTTCCTTTTTTTTGCATTTCCATTTATTTTGTTTTTTCACGTGAATAATGCAATTTTTAGAAAAAGAGATTACTCTCTAAAATAGATAACATTGGAGGAATAGTAATTAACATTTTCTTTTTTTTTTTGATAAAAAAGAATTGTTTATTTTATCTTAAGAATTCTTTAGAAATATTTTCTTTACAAAGAGTAATTTATTTCTTAATACTTGAGATAATGAGAGTAGAATTTCAATAACAGGGTGCCCACATGTCAATAAAATGTAAAGTCAGGGAAATGTCAGGAGAAAAAATTTTTTGTTAGGAAAATTTAGAAAGTTGAGATTTTTTCGACTTATTTTCAAAAATTGCTACTTTTTCAACTTTTCTTCCACACATTGCAAGAAAATATTATACTTTTTAGTATGAAATGTAATTTATTTTGATTTTTCTAGTGCGAAATTTAAAAATGAAAATTAATGAAAATTAGGTTCTAGTTTTTTAAAATTTGGTATTTTCAATACTTTCAATTACATATTTCCGAAAATTCAAATACATACAATAAATAATAACATTTTAGAATTATTTTTAACATTTTGGAGAAAAAAATCATGTTCTAAATATTTTTCATTAAAATTCATCAAAAAATTAATTATTTTTTTTAAATAATACAAAAGCTCTTTTAAGAAATTCAACTGTTTTCAAAAAATTACATTAAAATATTAAAATTCTTCAAAAATTTGATTATTTTTATTTTTTGAAAATATTATACCTTCAAAAACTGAAGAAAAAACATGGACAGTTTAATTATTATAAAAAATTGAATTTTCGTATTTAAATAATTTAATTCTCGCAGATAAAATAAATAAAATATAGAAAATAATTTAATTCTGGAAGGGTTATGATTGTAATTTTTAGAAATTATTAAATTTCATAAATTTTACTCATTTTCCGTAAACTTTCATATTTTTTTGTAAAAAAATTTTATCAGGGAAAATAATTTTAATGTCAGTAAATTGTCAGGGAAATTAATAAACTACTGAAACTTGTGAGCACCCTGAATAAAATTATTTCCATAGTCGAAAAAAAAGGGATTCTTTTTTTTTATTCTTATGTTATAACTTATATTCTTTACTTTTTATTCTTTCTTGAGATAGATGGAATTTAATTGTGTTTAATAAATATCACACAATATGAGTCAGACACAATAATCTTTTTATTGAGTCTTACAATAATCGTAACTCGATCTTTAGTTCGTGTCTATAGGACGTAACAAACTTCTGCCCACAAATGTTTTCATTCTTAAGTATCGAATTACTTTTTTTTCTAAAATAATTTTCCTTTCTTTTCATTTGTATTTATTTTATTTTTTTTAAATAAATTTTTTTACCTGAATTATACAATTTTTAGAGAAAACGAAATAACACTCTAAAACAGGATAACATTGTTGAAGAAAATTTTTTCTATACAAAGATATAATTTCTCAATAGTTTATTGAGTTCGTAGTTTATTTATTTCTTCTTAAATAATACAAAAAGAATTTTCTAAAAGGAAATTTTTTATTCAATTACAGGATTCGAAGCGATAACAATATTGACAATTCGATTGAAATTCTGAAAATCTGGATAGAAGAGGAAAAGACGAAATATCATTCTGTGGATTTTTCGTTTCATGAAGAAGCAAATGGATTTGAGGATGAAAAAGGAATTACCGATTGGTCATCTAGTAGATTTTCTCACATTATCAAATTACGAGAGGAAGCAGTTAATTATGCGCGAAAAGTGTGGGCCGATTTTATTTTTGTAAGTCTAAAAAATATTTTTTCTAATAAATAATGGAAAAAGTATAAAATAAAAATAAAAAAATAATGGAAAAAATTTATTTTCTCTTTTAGATGTTGGATGCGGACGTATTTTTGATAAATCCTAAAACATTGGACAATTTGGTAGCTAAAAATTTAACTGTCGCAGCACCACTTTTGAAATCCGATGGAATGTACAGTAATTTTTGGGCTGGAATGACACAGGATTATTATTATATTAGAACGGAGCAGTATAAACCGATTCTTAAGGGCGAAGTTAGTGGATGTTTTCAAGTTCCTATGGTGCACAGCGCAGTGTTGATAGATTTACGTAAGGAAGCGAGTAATTACTTGACATATTCGTCAAAAAGTATCGAAAACTATGATGGACCTGTCGATGATATTATAACTTTTGCACTCGTTGCTAATCGCTCTGGTAATTATTAAAATCCAAATAATTCAAAGAATTCTAAATAAATTTTAATTCGGATTTTTAGTTAATTAAATTCAATTAAAATTTAATTAATACGAAAAAAATGCGAAAGAAAACTAACAAGTAATTAAATTTATCAATTACAGGAGTGCCAATGCATATTTGTAACGATAAATCATATGGATTCATTACAGTGCCATTAGAAAATAACGATGGAATCGAGCACGATAAGAAGCAACTTTTAAATATAAAATTAGAAATTCTAGGTAAACCTTTTTAATCTAAAGAAAAAGTTTTTTATCTTTAAAAATCATTGAAATCTTTTTAAATTCTTTATCTATACAAAAAAGATATTGTCTACTATATAAAAATATAGAAAAATTATCGAATGAATTTTTGTTAAATTGGATATAATTTTAATTATTCTTTTTTTTTTGCAATTAGCTTTACAAGAAAATCTTCCATTGAGTAAGAGTTTAAAGAAATTTGTCAGCCATCCAGAAAAAGATACCGCTGGCGTATCGCGAGTTATTATGATTAATTTACTACGAAGACCGGAAAGAAGAAGGCGAATGCAAAATTGTTTTAAGGAATTAGGAATTGATGCAGAAATAATGGACGCAGTTGATGGAAAGTAAGATTTCCAAAAAATGATGGATCATTTTTCAAGTATAAACAATTGAATTAAATAATTTTGTTTTCAATTAAACTATAGTTGAGAAATTAGTTTTTGATTAATGGAGGATTTAATTTTTGATTAAAATAACTGAAGATTTAATTTTCAGTTAAAGTAGCTGAAGATTTAATTTTCAATTAAAGTAGCTGAGGATTTAATTTTCAAATAAAGTAGCTGAAGATTTAATTTTCAATTAAAGTAGCTGTGGATTTAATTTTCAAATAAAGTAGCTGAAGATTTAATTTTCAATAAAAATAACTGAGAATTCAATTTACATTTAAATAAATACAACAAATAATTTAATTTCAAATAATATTTTATTAGTAAAAAAAAAATAGTTTTTTTTAACAATTAAATATTTTCAGAACTTTAAATCGTACAACTTTGGATTCAATGGGTATTAGATTGATGTCAAACTATGCTGATCCATATCACAAAAGGTATATTTCTGAATAAATTAAATTACTTATTTTTACAAAAAAACAATAAATTCGTAAAATAAAAATTGCTCAATATTTCTTCTATTCTTAGATCTATGACTATGGGAGAGATTGGCTGTTTTTTGAGTCATTATTATATTTGGAAAAAGGTTTGCTATTTAATTTATTTATCCCTTTATTTATTTTATTCACTTCTTTACTTATAATTAAAATTATTTATTATATGATTGTTAACAAAAATTGCTTTAAATCAACAGGTGATAGAGAATAATTATGAAAGTGTGATGGTGCTGGAAGACGACGTTCGATTCGAACCTTATTTCAGAAATAAGGTGAACTTTGTATTGAAGGAAATCCAAAGATTAAAAACAGACTGGGATCTTGTGTGAGTAATAAATTCATTTTAATTAAACTAATTTAATATTATTTCTTCGCAATAATTCAATTATTTTCATAAATAATCAAAATTTTTAAAGAGATTCAATTATTTTCATAAATAATAAAACTCATCGCAGAATTTCAATTATTTTTAGTACAATTTTAATGGAATTTCTCGAAAAATGTAATTATTCTTAAAAATTTTATTAAAATTCATCAAAGAAATTCAATTTCTTGAAAGAATTAAGTTATTTTCAAAAATTTTAATGAAAATCTTTTTAACAAAATTCAATTTTTTTTCAAAATATTTTTAATAAAATTCTACTTAGAAATTTAATTAATTTCAATAAAATTTCACAGAAGAATTGAATTAGGTATTTATACAAAAATATTATTAAAAAATTCGTCTCAAGAGTTCAATTATTTTCAAATGGTAATAAAATTCTTCGCAAAAATTCAATTATGGTCAAAAGTTAAAAAAATTATCGTTAAAATTTCAATTATCTTTATAAATAATAAAATTTTTCTCAAAAATTCAATTATTTTCAAAAATTTTAATAAAATTCTTGTCAAAATTTCAATTATTTTCAAAAGCTTTTTTCAATTCAATCAAATTTTTTACAGAGATTCAATTATTTTTAATACAATGTTAATCTAATTTCTTAAAAAATGAAATTATTTTTACAAATGTTATTAAAATTCGTCAAAAGAATTTTAACTACCTATTTAAAAATTTGTTGATAAAATTCTTTATGAGTGTTCAATTTTAAAAAACATTCAATTCTTCAATAAATTATTTATTTTTGTATTTAAATAATTGAATTCTTGAAAAATTTGCTAATAAAAAATGATTTAAATATGAATTTCAGTTAAGATTGTACTAACAAATAGTTGTTTCTACTAATTTAATAGAAAAATTTACTAATTTGAATTTTTCATACTTTTGACTGAAAATTGTGTAGATTTAATTTTTTTGAAAAAGTTTAATTGAATTTTTTTTAAGTTATTTGAAGTTTTTATTTTCTAATATATATATTTTATTGAAGAATTTCTGAATAATCGATAAAATTTCGTAAAATTGAATTGTAAACAAAAGAATTTGAAAATTTTCAAAAAAATTTTTCAAAAATTTTTAAAAATAGGTAATTAATTTTAAGAAGAATTTTAGTTCAAAATTATGGAAAACAATAATCCTGGACAATTGTCGTCTTCTAAACTTATCGTGTTTATTCTTGAAATCAAATACAAAACCTTCAAATTTTTCTATTTCTGGGCAATAATTTCTTTTCAAATAATTAAAAAAATTGAATTCATCTCCGAAATTCAATCATTTATTTCCAAAAATTTTAATAAAATTCTTGTTAACATTTCAATTATTTAAATAAAATTTTAATAAAATTCTGCGGAAACATTTAATTTTTTTCATATATAATAAAAATTTCACAGGAATTCAATTACATATTTAAAATTTTTTTATAAATTTCTTCCCAACGATTTCATTATTTTCATAAATACGATAAATACCATAAAGTTTTTTTTACAGAGATTCAATTATTTTTATAATTAATAAAACTCTTTTCCGAAATTTAATTATTTCCAAAAATTTTAATAAAATTCTTGGCAAAATTTCAATTATTTTCAAGAATTTTCCAAAAGAATTCAATTATTTAAAAAAAATTTTGATAAAATTCTACACAAACATTTAATTACTTTCATAAATAACAAAAATTTTCCAGAAATTAAATTATTTACATACTTTGTATTAATTTTCTTCACAATAATTTAATTATTTTCATGAATAATAAAACTGATTGCAGAATTTAAATAATTTTTATTCAATTTAATCGAATTCCACGAAAAATGTAATTATTCTTAAAAATTTTATTAGAATTCGTCGAAAGAATTTCAAGTTTTTAAAAATTTGTTGATAAAATTCTTTATGAAAATTCAATTTTAAGAAATATTCAATTATTCAATAAATTATTTATTTTTGTATCTAATTTAAATAATTGAATTCTCGTAGAATTTCGTAATAAAAATTAAATTAAAAATGAATCTCAAATTTTAGATAATAATTGAAAATTATAAAAGTAGTATAGCGTGAATTAAATTTATAGAAATAATTGAATTTTGAAAGGATTTTAAATTAAAATCTTTGACACTTTGAATCTTTCAAATTTTTTACTAACAATTCTGTAGAATTAATGTTTTTAAAAAAGTTTAATTGAATATTTTTTTTGAAATTACTAAAAATTTTTTTTTCTAATATGTACTTATATTTAATTGAGTCGAAGACTCGGAGTGATCGATTTCTTCATGTTTTATAATAATTTTTTATAAGTTGTTTAATTTCAAAAATGTTTGAATTTGAATGTTTTGAAAATTTTGATTCCTTTATAAAAATAATAATGATTAAATATTTATTTAAAAATGAAGTTATTGGTGTTTGCGAATAATTAATTCGTAAATAAAATATAATGGAACATTTTTTGAGTGTCTAATTATTTTTACTGTGAATTAGAATATTTTTTAGAGTCAGGGAAAAAGTAAAAATTTTGTCTGAAAAGTCAGGGGAAAAGAAAATTAAATTTTTTGTTTAATAATTTGTTTAACCTGGAAAACCTGGAAAAGTCAGGGAATTTAATTTAATTATTATTAAATACTTGAAAGGAAAACGAATTGTTTTTTTTATTATTATTATAATGATTAAATTGTTAATTTTTCTTATTAGATACTTGGGAAGAAAACGAATGCAGGAACAAGAGGAGCCTTTCGTGGAGGGTTCACAATTTCTCGTTCATGCTGGTTACAGTTATTGGACATTAGGTTACATTTTGTCGGCTCAGGGCGCAAGGAAATTATTAGCAGCAAAACCCCTCGAAAATATGGTTCCTGTAGATGAGTATTTACCAATTCTATTCGATAAACACCCGAGGTATTTATTAATTTACTAAATATTAGTTCGCTAATAATTAAATTAGAAATTTTTCAATTTAGATATAATTTTAATTTTCTTTTCAATTAATCTTAATTCCTTTAGAAATTGAAGAATAAAATTTTCTTAATTCTCGAATTTAATGTAGATTTTTTTCAGGGACATTTGGAAGGAACAATATCCAGAAAGGAATCTAGTTGCACTTTCTGCGAGTCCTCTTCTTATTTATCCGACGCATTATACCGGAGAAAATGGATATATTAGTGACACTGAAGACTCAAATATTGTCACTCTAAAAAAAGAAATTTCCAACGAGTCAAGAAATCGAGACGAATTATAGATCTGAAAAAAAATAAGAAGGAGAAAAAGAGAGAGTGAAAGACAAAAAAAAGTGTGACATTTTTTTTTAACCAGTCAAAATGATAATCAAAAAGGAGTCTAAAGAATAAGGTGATCTTATTGAAAAAAAACTGCCATTTTCGTGCCATTTCCATTATTTGGAATTATCATTGCCAGTTTCCATTATTTCTAATTCTCCTAATATTTTAATAAATTTAATTAAACTTTTTTTTTTACTTCATATTTTTTAACCAATTTACTAATTTTTTTCTACGATTTATACTTTTTTTTTGAAAATATTTTCATAAATAATTTTAGATTATACTTAAAAATATAATGAAATATTTTTTATTAACTTTTTATTAGACGCACAAATAATGTTTGAAGAGATTTAAAAAATAATTAGAGAGATATATAGAATTATATTTTCTGATATAGAGGCTTTACAATTTTTTATAAAATAAAAAAAAACAAATACTATATTTTTCTGTTAAAGAAAATTTAGAAAATTTAGAAAATTTTATAGACTGAAGAATGTGTGTAGAGAAATCATGATATATTTTATCATTTTAGAAAAAAAGTTACGTTAAAAAATATAATATTTAAAAATTTTAATAAAAAAAAATGTCCCAAAATTATGCCAAAAATCTTTATAGCGTTATTTGAATATTAATTCTAATAATATTATGAATTGTGCTTCAATTACTAATTATGATACATTTGTGAACACTTCATATTATTGTGTAATTAATTGCCAATGGAAGCATATCTTGAGAATTAATAAATAAAAATTTGAACGCAATATATTTATTTACTTTTTTCGACGAATGTCCTTTTTGTCGAATCTTCAACTCCTCGAAAACGTTCTTTGATTTGTTAATCATTTAAATATTCCCGCTTCATCTCGCAGCGCATAGATTTACAGGAATTTGCTTTACCGACTGTCGGTACTTTTCCATTTGAAGACACGGCGCGAATTTTCGTCAACTGTCAAAGTAACTGATGAAAATATTTTCTTTGCATTCTTTTAATTTTATGATTAACTAATAATAATATAAACTTGCTGTTTACAGTGTAACCTTTGTGCTAATAATTAAAGAACAAATATTGCTAATTATTCATTACAAAAATAGTGGGTTTGTCAAAAATCACTGTACCGCGTGTGTGTCTGTGTTACAGGTTATGTTTTTTTTTGTCATAAAATTTTTTACATTTTTTATTTTTGTCTACTAGACTTTATTAAATTTTAAACAACACGAAGTAATTATACAAGAAATATTTACAATTAAACTTTAAACTTGATGAATATTTAACATTATCATTATTTTATACTTGATAAAACAACTCTAATTGGATAAATTCTAAATCCCGGTAACACTTTTTTATATATAGAAATAAAATCTTCATGCACTTGTTGCATTTACAAATAGAGTTGTTTAAAACGTTTAATTTAAAATTATAATATACATAATAGTGACTATAGTAATTAAATATCTCTATTTATTTCATGTAATATATTTACTAATAGACTTAGTTGCAGGAAAAAAGTGTTAGGTTCCTCGCAGTAGAATTATTTGAAGAAAATTCTTTAGTCCTCTGGATTTTTATTCTTCATTCTCTCATTGGGACTTTTGTCATCGTCACTTTCTGATGAACTCTCTGCGGGAATATCAATTCCATGGGTCAAAAAATTGGTGATACTTTCAATATCAACAGTGTCGTCTTGTTCCTGAATTTTACGAAGAGCATTGGAAACAATACAGAATTCACCGCGTAATTCGCTGACAAGTGCGGTAATTTTTTGTGCATCCGTTAAAACATCAACTGATTGTGTATATGGATTGTAGCGCAGACCAAATGGACGTTGAATTTGATTAGCAAACTCTCTGCGGATGAAAACAGGTATTTATTATTAATACTATAACAAAAAATTTCCAATAAAAAAAATAAATTTGTTGCTATGGCAAAAAAATTTTTTTTTTTTATTGGAAATTTTCTACTAAAAATTACCTCATTTTTTCTTTTGCCTCCTCAATACTGTCTGTGTAGTAATAGGCATTCTGAAAGGCCGTTATAATACATTCTTGTTTACAAGTTACTTCCGGATCAAATCTAAAAGTTTTTTCCGGCGCAGTCACCGCGTGTCTTAATTCAGCAACTGATGACAAGAGACCAGCTCCGTATACACGAAGAATTCCGTCTTGTTTGCATAAACCGAATTCAACGGTGAAAAAATATAACTGAAATTTAGAAAAGAATTTAGAAAATTGTAGGATTCGCTAATAGTTGGAAAAAAGAAATTATTCTTGAAAATTTTAATAAAATTCTTCTTAGAAATAATTAGAAAATTATATATAATAATCGTCGTGATTCCAGATTTCCGGATCTCTGTCCACACTTGAAGTTAGTTATAATTATTCTTTTGTTTTTTATACGTTTGTTTTGAAAATTAATTTTTCTGGGTTAAGTATTAGCATTTTTTATATTTTTAAATGTCAAATTTTTCAATGTTTATGTTATTATTGTACAGTGCTGCCAGATTGGAAGAAATATAGTAAAAACTTGAAGTTTGTTTGAAAATGTTGTGAAGGCTGTGTATATATCAAGTAATTATGAAAATATTTATAAACATTTAAATAATATAAATAAACCATTTTTTAAAGATAAATTATAATTTTTGTTCTTTACGTTTTTATGATTATAATAATAAATGTAATAATTATTAATTACTAAAGTAATTGTTACTGTTCCATTTATTATTTTGCAAATCAAAAAATATGTTATATTTTCAAATATAAACATTAATTTTTTAATTTCAGATTAACTACATAATTAACTATTCTTGTTTATTATTTTCAAAAATGTTAATAACAGTTTTCGAAAGAATTTAATTATTTAAAAAAAATATTTTATAAAAATCAAATGACTAATTATTTACAAATTTTTCAATAAAAACTTTGCAAAATTTTAGTCATGTTCAGTGCATTAATTTTTAAAATTAAAAACATTGAAAACTTTTACTTTCAAATTGCGAACAGATTCAAACACAGCAATATTAATTTATTTCTTTATAATTCTTTGTGAAATTTAATTTCATTTATCATATTCTAAAAAAAATTATAACCAAAATCTGAAGAAATTTTTTTGATTAATTTAAAGATTTCTGAAGATAAATAAGAAAATTCTGAAGATTTGTCGTTTCAATCATCTGGCAGTACTGTTATAGTGTTTGATTCAATTTTTAGCTTTACAACTATCATTTACTCTAAAGGTAAATACTTTTCTATAATTTAATGTTAACATTATTTCAATATATTGAAAAAAGTTATTTGATATAATTTACATTCAATTGAATTTTATTTTTATAAATTTCTTAATGCAGAATATTTAGTTTTTTAACTTTTTAATAAATTTTTAACTTGCAAAACTCTAAATAATGTAATTGTTAAAAATATAATATTTATTTTTCATAATTTAAAATTATTAATTATTGTCATAATAATTTAAAATAATTACTATATTATTAAAGACTACAACATAAATTTAAATTATCAAAGTATATTTTATAAAATAGTAATTTAATACAAGTTTTATATTTATATTTTTTATTACATAAAAATATTGTCTAATGTCATGTTTATTTTATTAACTTTTAACGTGTCTTAATTTTCATATGTTTTTAATTAATACGTGATTTATAGAATATTCAACAAATCAATGAAAATATATTGTCAATTTTTTCAATTAAAAATATATTACATCAAATATCTATTCCCAATATTTAAATAATGTTAACATTAAATTATGGACACATACCTGCCGAGTAAATAATAATTATAAAGTTAAAAATTCAATTAAACAACCAATATATAGAATTAAAATGTAGGGGCTATCATACGCCTAAAATTTAACTGAAATTTTTTTTTCTTTGTTTCTAAAAACGAATTTAGAATATTTTTTTTATGCTTCATTATAATATTATATTACATCTTGTAATTAAATAATTAATGCAAGTTATAGTTTGTATTTATACTATAGATATTTTGTTTTCCAAAGAAATTAGAATTAAAAGTTGTTAACTTTATTATTTTTCAATTAATTTAATTTTTTGCAGTTATGGTAGTTTCAAAAGATACGGAATTTTTTGTTTAAAAAGCTAAATGAATAATTATTTTTTTAATTTTTGGAATAATTAAAATTTTCGTAATCAAAATTATTTTGAAAATAAAAGTATAAAATATGTAACAATTTTTGCGAGATTCAATTTTCTTCGTACAACATGAAAGTTTAACAGCAGTAATAGTATTTTAACAAAATTTATAGGATTCACTTAAAATTCGTTTCTAATACGTTAAATATGACATTAAAATTTAGAAATTCAAAATAGAACTTCCATTTGTCTGACTTTCTTCTAATTTATCGGACTCAGTGATTTCTGGGGTGAATTTGGTAAAGTTCTAAAATGATTAATTTCTATGTTGAATTCGTTATTTTAAATTTAGAAAATCTGATGTTAATTTAATTATTTTTTCGTTATGCACGACAAAAAACATTTACCTGGATAAACTACAGATTTCACTTTATTAGCGAAATTTTTCAGTGCTTCAATTAATACTTTAAAAAGTATATTTCAATTAAAATGGCTTTATATTGTTTAAAATAAGCAATGTAAAAGATAAAATTTGCTCAAAAAATAATTTTTCACCTCCTGCTGGTTACCGGCTGTGGCTATTTTTTTATTAATTGTGAATTAAATTAATTTTTATGACCCAGATACTAATTGGAATTGTTCTAGCATGGTGGCCACTAAAAACAGTCAAAAAATTTCCCTGACTTTTTCCCGACTTTCCCTGACCAATATTCTGGGTGTTTTTAACTTGGTTTCTAATGAACAATAATTTAAATAAGAAATATATCTCTCAAATTATTATTAATAACTACTATTCATTTCAAACAGTTGAGAAGGATGTTTTAAGGATTTTTGAATCAATTTGTAGAAGTAGATAAAATTCTTTATTTTTAAAATTAAATCTTTAATCTTAAAGTAGCTGAGACTGCGGCTAAAACTTAAATTTTGAAAAGATGTTTTTTAGTCAATAAATCCGTTTAGATGCAAAAATATATAAATAGATCAATCTTGTATAGGCCAATTGTCCTCACCAACATTTCATAAAAAAGCTTCTAATATTTTAGCGTAAAATAAATGTTTTGCTCTTTTTTCAAAACTTTGATTTTGTAACATTTTACAATTATAAATTTAATAAACTAAAATTTATTTATAAATAAAAAACAAAATTATGGGCCTAATGACATAAATATACTGAAAAAAAATATTTGATTCAATTAATTCGAATTATTTGCAAAAATTTTATTTGATTCAAATAATTTTTATTTGGATCTAATAAATATTTATTTGCTTCAAATAACTTGAATTATTTGAATCACATTTATTTAACTCAAATAAATCTTAATTGGATCAATTAAATAATTAATTAATTCTAATAAACGAATTTATTTAATGCAAATAATTAGTTATTTGAAACAATTAATTTATTTATTTCACTCAATTAATTGGATATTTGATATAAATAAAAATTATTTGATATTTATATCTAACTATTTCCGTTAGAAAGATAATGCAATTTGACTGTTTTGGCTGTTTAATTTTTAGCCCTAGTCTCCCTTATATAAATTTTTTTTTCTTTTTATAATCTTTACAATTTCCCTGACTAATTAAAAAATTCCCTGACTTTTCCCTGATTTCCCTGACCTATTTATTTTTCCCTGACTTTTCCCTGACTTCCAGGTTTTCCCTGACCAGTGGCCACCATGTCTAGCCATAGTTCAGGTCCAGTAATGTAAATTCTATTTAAATTGAGACCATTAAGTGAAAGTATTTGAATTTAAAAAAAAATTAGAAGTTCGAAGTTCTTAAATTTTTTTGGTAAACTTTAAAGTTTCAAAATAATATAAAATGAAAATTTAATTCTCTATAATTGTTAACTTTTTCCACTTTTAATTATTTCAAACTTTTTGTTAAGTAATAATAATTATTTCTTTAAACATTTTTTTAAATAAAATGGAGTTTAAATTGTTTAAAATAAGCAGTGTGATACGACATTCCCGCGCGCTTGCGCGCGGATAGTTTAGCTAGTTAATAATAATAAAGTACATGTTCCGGTAATCTGTTCGCAGTTTGAAGTTAATTGTTGTTTGCTTTTTTGTTTCTTAACTTTTTTATATAATTTTTCTTTTCAAATATTTTCAATTTTAACACTAATTTTGTTGCAAAGAATTTTATAAAAAAAATTGATAAATATTTTAATTGAAAATTTTGAAAGCAATTGAATTTTATGATTTGAAAATTTAAATTCTTTCGAGAAATTCTATTAAAATTGTTTTGAAAAGAATTGAATTTCTGCAAAGGATTTTACTATTTATAAAAATAATTGAATTCTTGCGAAGAATTTTACTATTTATAAAAATAATTGAAATGTTTCGAAGAATTTATTTAAATTTTAAGAAATAATAAAATTGTTATAAAGAAATTGATAGAAATATTTGAAAAGAATGGAATTTTTTAGAAAAATTCAATTAAAGTTGTTTCGAAAATAATGGAATTTTTTTAAAGAATTTTATTAAAATTAAGTACCTATATTCAAAATAATTGAATTCATCACAAGAATTTTATTATTTTTTGAAAATAATTGAATTCTTTCAATTTTTTCACGAATATATTTAAAAATTGCATTGAAAGTAATTTAATTTTATATAGAATTTTTTAAAAATATTTTGAGAATAATTGAATTATTTTTAGAGAATTTTAAATTCTTGTTGAAATTGAATTTTATGGAAATTTTCGAAAATAATTAAATTCTTTCGTGTAATTTTATTGAAATTGGATTAAAAATAATTTAATTCCTGCAAAGAATTTTAGTATTTATAAAAATAGTTGAATTGTTTCGAAGAATTTATTTAAATTTTAAGAAATAATAAAATTGTTATAAAGAAATTGATAGAAATATTTGAAAAGAATGGAATTTTTTAGAAAAATTCAATTAAAGTTGTTTCGAAAATAATGGAATTTTTTTAAAGAATTTTATTAAAATTAAGTACCTATATTCAAAATAATTGAATTCATCACAAGAATTTTATTATTTTTTGAAAATAATTGAATTCTTTCAATTTTTTCACGAATATATTTAAAAATTGCATTGAAAGTAATTTAATTTTATATAGAATTTTTTAAAAATATTTTGAGAATAATTGAATTATTTTTAGAGAATTTTAAATTCTTGTTGAAATTGAATTTTATGGAAATTTTCGAAAATAATTAAATTCTTTCGTGTAATTTTATTGAAATTGGATTAAAAATAATTTAATTCCTGCAAAGAATTTTAGTATTTATAAAAATAGTTGAATTGTTTCGAAGAATTTATTAAAATTTTAGGAAATAATTGAAATTTATGGAAATATTTTAAAATATTTTAATTCATCTGAGGAATTCAATTAAAATTGTTTTGAAAATAATTTAATTCCTGCAAACAATTTTACTATTTATAAAATTAATTGAATTCTTGCGAAGAATTTTACTATTTATAAAATTAATAGAATTCTTGCGAAGAATTTTACTATTTATAAAAATAATTGAATTTTTTGGAAGGATTTATTAAAATTTTAGAAAGAAATTGAATTTTTCGAAATGTGATAAAAGTTTTTTTAAAAATTGAATTCTTTCGAGGAATTTAATTAAAATTGTTTTGAAAATAATTAAATTTTTGTAAAGATTTTACTATTTAAAAAAATAATTGAATTGTTTAAAAGGATTTATTAAAATTTTAGAAAATAATTGAATTCTATCTTGAAATTTAAAAAAATTTTTAAAATATGAACAGCAATAATCAATTTTGTACTTAATAAGTGAATTTTTAAAATTTTGATTATGAAATTATTTTAAAAATTTATATTTGAAAATAAAAAATTTTGTAATTTGCATAACAATAATAAATTGAATAAAATGATCCGCGTCCTAGCGCGCGTATCATTTGATAGTTTTTATTTTATTTATTTATTTTATTTAATAAAATTTAATAAAATTCAAAGCGAAAATTCAAATAATATGAATAATAAAATTTCCACAGTAATTCAATTATGTGAAATAATAAATCAATTATTTAAATATTTTAATAAAATTGTTTGTAAAAAATTAATTATATTTTAAAATTTTGCCAAAATTCGTTAATAATAGTTAAATTATTATTTTTAAATAATAAAATTCATTGCAAAAATTCAATTATTTTTAATCTAATTTTAATTAAGTTATTCGAAATATTTGAATTATTCTTTTAAATTTTTATAAAATGAAAAAAAATTCAATTATTTTTACAAATTATAAAATTTTTCCCAGGAATTCAATTATTAAAAAAAATTTAATAAAATTTCTTACAAGAATTCAATTATTTTCATAAATAATAAAATTCGTTGCTAGAATTCAATTATTTTTATAAATAATAAAATTCTTTACAGAATTTAAATTATTTTGAATACAGTTTTAAAAGAATTCCTCGAGAAATGTAATTATTTTCTAAAGTTTTATTAATATTCTTCGAAAGAAATGAATTATTTTCAAAAATTTTGGTAAAATTCTTTTTTAGTATTCAATATTAAGAAACAATCAGTTATTCTATCAATTATTTATTTTTGTATTCAAATAATTGAATTCTTGTAGAATTTTTTAATAAGAATTGATTTAAAAATAAATTACAGATAAAATTTTAGATTAAAATAATATAATATGAATTTTTATAGAAATTGTTATAAATTTGAAAAAGGTTTTGTACATTAAAATTGTTTCAAATTTTAATTCCTGTGGAAATATAAATTAGTATTTACATACTTATTGAACAAAAATTTGAAAATTTAAATAATTTAATTTAATAATTATAAAAAAAATTGTCTTTTGAAAAATTGTAATTAAAAAAAAAAAAAAAAAAAATTAAAAATATTTATTTAAATTTCCAATTAATGGAAAATTTTGTCAAATTTAATTGTAATAAATTTTATGATTTAAAGAAATTAATTTTCTTACTTTTAAGAGTTATTTTGTAATGTAATCGAATTTTTGAAGAATTCTAAAATTTCTATTTAAAAGTTTAGAAAATAATTGAAGTTTAGAAGAATTTAGAATTGAAGTTATTATCTGGAAGAAATAAAGTTTTGACGGAAATCAGGAAAATGTCAGAGAAATACAGAATGAAATTTTTATGAATTTTATGAATCATCTAAAATAAATTTTTTAGTCGACAAATTTAATTTTTTGATAGTAGCTACTTTTTTAAAACAAATTATTGAGTGCGCAACCTGATTAATTGTTATTGAATTATTTTTCAAATTGAATGCATGTAAATTTTTACGCAAACAAGAAAAAGAAAGAGAGAATTTTTAATTTAATTTGTAACTCACTGTGGCCAATTTATCAATGTCCTCGTCGGAGGCTCCAAGAGAAGCGAGACCGAGTTCTTGTGAAAACTGAGCAAAACTGGGGTTTGCCAACAAAGGCATGTGACCCAAAAGCTCGTGGCAACAATCCCTAAAATACATTTACAAAATTTATCGTTTTTATTTATTTAATTTTATTAATTTACTAATAATAATTTCTAAATAATTGTTCCTAAAGTTCTGAACGTTCAAGTGAACGGAAATTTATTTATTTCTTCTTCATATTAAATTTTTATTATACCAAAACTCTGGGTCATTGAGAGAAAAAAATAATTATAGTTTCTAAATAAAATAAATAGAAAATAAATGTAAAATTTAAACGTCATTCAAATTTATTCAAATTTAACGTCATTTGATTGTATTTTTATTTAATTTAGCAATATCTAATTTAATTTGTTTCGCAGGAACAATTTGTGAGACTCACGGCTCAGGAGTGTAAAATGGATCAGATGAGTGGCGAATATATTGAGTGCAATGAAAGACACGAAATGCAAGTCCAGATAAAAAGTCTCGTGGCGATAAATAACCAGCAACAGGTCGTAACTGAAAGCCCGTCATTCCTATATAAAAGAAAGCATAAAATGTAAGTAGTTTCCTTTTTATTTTATTAGCACTGTTTACGATTCTTTGTTTATTATTCGACCCTCTTCCCTTTTTTTTGCCCAAAAATTCGCAAGAAACAAAATATATTAATTCGAACTTACTTTTTAGAAAAGAGCTCACATCTTGCAGTTGAGGAATATTGTCTTCTCTGTAACCACAATATTTTTCCAATTTTGGCCAATTATCGAGATATTCTTTGCAGGCAAATTTCAAATACAACTGATGTAATTCGCGAAATATTACTCCCCTAAAAATATCGATGGAGAAATATAATTTCGAAATTAATTAAAAGTATTTAAAATTAATTTTATAATTTCAATATAGTTTTATAATTAATTACTTTTTTAAATTTCTATCAAAGAATAATTCAAAATTAATATTCTTATAAAGAAAGTATGTAAATTGAAAAAAATGTGTCCATAAAATTGATTTTAAAGAAAATGGAGCTTTTTTTTGAATAATAAAAAATGAAATAAATTGGAAAAAAATTGTCCTTAAAATTGAGTTTAGAAACAACTATTAAAAATCATTTTGTTTGGAAACAATTTCTGTCAAATAATAGAAAATAATATAAATTCGAAAAAATTCTCCTTAAATTTGATTTTAGAGAAAACGTTAAAAATTATTTTGTTTAAGAGAACAAATTTCGTTAAAATAAAAAATAAAACAAACTGGAAAATTGATTTTATAAAAAAGTGTTAAAAATCATTTTTTTCGGGAACAATTTTACAATTATCGTTGAAAAATGAAGGAAATTGAATTTTATTGTGAGTTATTTACGAAAAAACAACTCCTTCGTTTGATATATAAACAACAAACTGCATTAACACTTCGCTTCGAAATGAATCAAATCAGGGCAATTAAGACGTATTCAATACTAGAAAGCATCCTTAATTCTCTCCAATTCACTAAGGTTGTCGTCTTAAACTCAAGATGTACGTTAAAGCTACAGATTCAATACTAGAAGGAAACTAGGGGAAAAAAAATTAAGAATGAAAAAAAAGAAACGAGATTCTTGAGAAAAAATATCTCTGATCAATTGCCTTCGTGATCGAAGAAACACGTTTGAATTTTTTTTCCAATTTATTTTCTTTTTTCTTATTATTTAAAAACTTTGCTGATAAAAGAAATCATTAAAATTTATTTCTTCTGAAGGAAAAATATAAAGTAATTGTTTTTTCATAGAATATTAATTATAGGAAATAATTAAAAACAATAAAAAACAAAAAATTAAGAAGTAATGAAAAAAACGAAATAATTGGAATTTTTAAATTAAAAATAAATAATAGTAAATAAATTATTAAATAACTGGAAGCAAAATGAATAAAATATTCAAAATCAATGAAACTAGATTTCAAAATATAAATTTAAAAACAAATCAAAATATATAAAGTAATTAAAAAAAAGGAAGAAAAAATTACTAAAAAAACTTAAATAATTTATAAAGAAGAAACTTGGGTATGTAATAAAAATTCCAAATCGAAGCAATAATTTCCTCTATTTACCAAGTTTTTATTTCTTCTTGTGTGTATTGAATCCTGGGAATTGGTTGTCCACTGTAAAGAAATTTCAATAATTAAATAAAAATAATTAAAATAATTTTTGTATTCCTATAGTTATCGAATGCCATTTAAATTAAAATACTCATTTAAAAGTTTTCGACTAATAATTAGTTAAATTTTTTATTTCCTAGATACAGTAATTAGAATTTTCCTTTTATTTTGAAAACTTACTGCCTGTAATTATTAGCAATATCAGCAAATTGTTCACGTCGCTTGCGATAAACGGGATCTTTGAAGCCCTGAAATATATTTTTGCAGTATGAAAAAATCTCCACTAGTTTTAATTAAATAAATAGTAGAATAAAATTTAAAAAATAATAATTTATGTAAATAATGAAAATTAGACCCACGGGATGATCAGCATCAAGTTCAGAACCGTACATAAGAACTTTTTGAGCATTGTCAAGATCGGCAATTTTCCTTGGAAACCATTGCATATTCACTTCACTGAAATCTATGGAAATTTTAGAAAAATATTAGATTCTGTCTGGAAATCAGAAAACCAAAGTTTTGTAGCAATCTTGAATTTTATTTTTATGCAGAGAATTTATTGCTTCTTTTAGTACTATTATTAATAATTAATTTTTTTTTCAACAGAAATAATTTATTAATAATACTAGCAAATTATTTCATTATTCTTATGAATAATAAAATTCTCTAGAGCAATTCTATTATTTTCAAGAATTTTAATATAAATTCAATTATTTTCAACAATTTTGATGAAATTCTTTTAAAATAACTATCATTTTCAAAATTTTTAATAAAATTTCTTCAAAAAATTCAATTATTTTCAAAAATTCAGATAAAATTCTTCGAAACAATTCAATTATTTTTATGAATTGTAAAATCCTCCGCAAAAATTCAATTGTTTTCATAAATAAGAAAATTCTTCGCAAAGATTAAAATATTTTCATAAATAATAAAATTCTTCAAAGGAAATCAATTATTTTCATAAATAATAAAATGTTTCGGAGCAATTCTATTATTTTCAATACAATTCTAATAAAATTTTTCAAAAGAATACAGTTATTTTTAAAAATATTAATAAAATTCTATTATTTTCAACAATTCTGATATAAAATTCTTCGAAACAATTCAATTATTTTTATAAATTGTTAAATTCCTGTGCAAAAATTCAATTATTTTTGTAAAAAATAAAATTCTTCTGAGAAATTCAATTAATTTCAATACAATTTTAATAAAATCTAGAAAAAAATTTAATTACATTCAAGATAATTTTAATAAAATAGGTATCTCTAACAGGTTCAATTATTTTTAAAAAGTGTAATAAAATTTTTCTAAACAATTCAATTGTTTTTAAAAGTTTTTAATAAAATTCTTTGTGAACTTCAATTATTTTTCAAAATTTTAAATTAAAATTATTTTTAAAAATTGAAATTACTTTTTAAAAAAATGTAATTATTTACAAAAACTCTAATAAAATTGTTTAAATGAATTTAATTTTCTACGAATAATTTTTATATAATTTAATAGGAAAATTATTAATTACATTTAATAATAAACACACAATCTTTAAACAAGATTATTTTAAAAACTTAAAAGAAAATTTTCATAAAATTCAATTACTTTCAAAATTTTCAGTAAAAATTATTTAAAAAAAACTCCATTATTTTCAAGAAAATTGAAATAAATTCTTTAAAACAATTCAATTATTTTAAAGATTTTTAATAAAAATCTTGCCAAGAATTAAAATTATTTTCAATGCAATTTTAATTACATTTTCTCGAAAGAAGTCAATTATTAAAAAAAATGTTGATAAAGTTCTTGAAATGAATTCAATTATTTCCAAATTTTTTGATAAATCCTTGCAAGAATTCAATGATTTTCCGTAAATTAATTTTAAAATTGAAAACATTTAAAAATTATTTAAAAAGTTAGAGAACAAAAAATCAAACAGCAACTAACTTCAATCTGCGAACAGATTACCGGAATACAACGATTATTAACAATTATTATTATTATAGATATTAATAAATATATTTATTTATAAATATTAAATTTGTTAATAATTAATTTTTTTGAATTTTCTTTTTCAACAGAAAAGCCTACCAAAACTGGGAGCTGCCGAGAGCATGGGAGCGTGCGGAGAATGAGGAACGGTTCCAGTTTCTTCATATTGCGAAAGATTTATCGCCGCTACCTCACGACTCAACATTCTCGTTAATTGTTCCATTTTTCTCGAGTCACATTCAACGTCTACCAAAATTTCATACTCCGATCCTCTTCTCGCAGATTTTCTCGATTCAATATGTACCACATTTACGCCAAGATCCTTGTCAAAGGTAAAAAAAAAGTTATCCATGTTTTTTGTCTCTTATTCTTGATATAAATTATTTATTCAATCTTTGTAAAATAAATTTTCAAAAATAAGTTCAAAGAAAGAAAATTACTCAATTGAATTTAAAACAAAAAATTTATTTTCAGATTTCGAGTTTTCGCAAGAGAAAAAAAAATCGGTACTAACTTGAAACACTTGCAAAGCACGAGCTAAGCCGCCGACTTGATTCTTCAGGGAGAAGACAACGGAATTTTTTGTTTCATTTCCTTTCTCCAAGTGAGTAATCTGCGTGATGAATATTACCGTAATTTTAAATTAAAAGTAATATTTTTTTGGTAAAGAAAAACAGTATTTTGCGGTTTAATTGCTGAGAAGAAAAGAAAATGAGCAAAAGAAAAAACAATATTTTGAAATTGATCGCAGAGAAAAAATATTAACATAAAAACGACAATATTTTAAAATTATCGCAGAGATAAAAAATTTAAAAAAAACAATATTGCAAAGAAAAAAAATTAACAAAAAAGTACAATATTTTGCAATTTATCGCACAAATAAAAAATTAACAAAAAAGACAATGTCGCAGAGAGAAAAAAATAATAATTTGAAATTTATTGCTAAGAAAAAAGATAACAAACGGAAAGAAATGTAAATACATATTTTGAAGTAATAATGATACTTACATTTCGCGGTTTATGAATAGGACTACCTTCTTTAATTGTCCACTCCTCGCCTCTTCTGTACAACCACATTCCCAAAAGACCTTTTCCGGAACCACTCATTTTTCAAAAAAAAAAAAATTTCACAAAAGACACTTTAGAAAAAAAGGAAAAAAGTACTTTTTTTTTATTTTCAAAAGATTAATGGAAATTTTGAGGAAATTCTTTCAAAGGAAAGAAACAGGGAAAAACCACTTGTTGAGGGTTGTTCAATAGTAACTGTGTCCGTTTCCGTTTGATTGCAAGCTCTTTAAGCTTTCAACCCCTCCACAAGGGTCGTTTTCTTGAATGAAAATCCAAACCGTGATTGGTCCTCGACTACAGGGTGGAAAAATTCCCATTGGTGCATAATGCATCTTTTCTTGCTCTTCCTTTTCTTCTTTCAATGTTTCTACCCCCCCCCCCCCCTTTTTCTTTTTGTATCTTCAATTTCTAATTTTCAAGACTGCGTATTCATAAATATTCTTCGATTCGTATTGGAAACGTTTCGAATTTTTCCTGATATTCTATTTATTATTTTTTTATTAAATTAAAAATTTGTTTATTTTCTATTTTTTTTAAATTAAAAATTTGTATATTTTCTTTTTATTGTTTTTAAATTAAATTTTTGAATATTGCTTCCTCATAGAGGAAGGATTGTATTAGCAAAATTTTTGATTGTGATTTTTTGACATATTTACAAACTTTTTTTCATTATACCTAATCTTTTAGTACTTTATGCACGAATGGGCATTGCCCGTATAAATGTTATAAATAAATATAAAAAAATTTTTATGTAATTTTATCTCAGAAGTCCAAAAAACGGATTTTAAAAAGTTGTCCCGATGTGTGTGTGTGTGTGTACTAACATTACATTTGCCTCAATATCTCAGAACGAGAAAGAGCTAAAGGCCTCAATTTTTTTTAAATTGTAGGTCTCCCCGGGGGACTTAAAATGAGAGTATTTTCAGCCCGATTCATAAAGTTTAACTATATTTTTTTTGCATTTTTCATTTTGTAAAAAAACGTTTTTTGGCCTTAACTTAAAAAAAATGTTAGGACACCTATAAATGTTTTTCTTTAGTTTTGTAGAGTTTTTTCAGACGCATCTTTTGAGCCTTCATTGAACATTTTTCGTCTATATTAGCCGGAGATATTAAAGTTTTAAAAATATAAATATTTCGAGAATAACACTTTTTTGAAAATTTTGTTGAAAATTATAAAAGTAACTTCAAAAGTATCATTACCAACTTGTAGAGCATTAAAAAAGGCTTCGATTGACCTATTTTTGAACCTGATTCGGTCAGAAATTATCAAATTATTGGTATTTGAAAAATCAAAAATTGTGGAAAATAACATTTTTTCAACATTCTTGTTTATTAACTTATTATATTTTTTGGACCAAGATTTAATGATTTTTAACTCTTTTATAAAAATTAATTCTTATATTTCAATTATTATTATTTCTATGAGGAAGCAAAGTGTTCATGAAATGAACACCAAAATTATAAAAATGTACAACTTGGCAGCGGTTTTTTCTATTTATTTTCTTTGTATTTTTACTTTCAATTTATTAGATATTTCTTGTAAATTAAAATTTTTTAATATTTTCTATTTAATTTTTTTTAAATTAAAATTTTTTATATTTTCCATTTATTTTCTTTTTTTCTATTTTTTCTATTTTCTATTTATAATTTTTTTAATTAAAAATTCGTATTATTTTCTATTTATTATTTCTTTTAAATAAAATTTTTTTTTATATTTTCTTTTTATTTTCGTTAAATTAAATTTGGTGTACTTTCTATTTATTTTCTATTATTTTTTTATTTTTATTTCTATTTTCTATTTTCTATTTATTGACATCTATATTTTTTCTTATTTCTGTATTATTTTCTAGAAGTAAACAATTTATTATAATTAACTTATTTATAAGTTTTAAATTTAATTATTTTCTAATTTAGGAATTTCAATTTAAATTATTTTCTAATTTCACGATTTTAAACTCAATTATTTTTTTAAAATTAACTTATTCTTTAATTTAGAATTTTTAATTCAATTATTTTCTAATTTAGGAATTTAAATTTAAATTATTTTCTTAAAATTAACTTATTCTTTAGTTTAGAATTTTTAATTCAATTATTTTCTAATTTTGGAATTTAAATTTAAATTATTTTCTTAAAATTAACTTATTCTTTAGTTTAGAATTTTTAATTCAATTATTTTCTAATTTACGAATTAAAAATTTAAATAATATAAGAATATGTAATATTATGAAATTGTGAAAAACAAATCTTTTATACAAAACTCCTTTTCTTTTGAAAGAATAGAATATTATTTTTCTTTGCAAGAGAAAAGTGAGAATCGAGAGACCAAGACACAATCTTTAATCAAAGCTCGATTCGCCTCATGGGAGTTTTTCCTTCTCTTTGGCATAAAGTAGATGCAGCACATTACCGAGGCCCATCACTTACTGTTATCACACACCGCAACCACCACCATCGTGAGTGACCTCCTTGAATAAAACCACGAGGTTTTTTTATTAACACTAATGGAATCAAGTGTTTCCAGACGATTTCAACCGTATATTTTTCTTCTCCTACCGCCTCCACCCCTCGAAGACTAATGCAATACTTTTACATATCCTTTGTCCAAAAATAAACTATTTATACCTTTTACGTCAAAAAAAAAAGAAAAGGAATCTTTCACTTCATTGCACTTCTCAAAATCCTTGTGCTGAATGAAATTTATTATTTCTAATTACTTGCTATCGATTTTTCTGTAATTTTATATCTAGAAAATTCTAAATAGAAAATGAATACAGTAATTTATTTATTTATTATTTGTTTAACTTAATTATTTATTTATTTGTTTCAACAATTTATTAATTTGAGAAAAAAATATAATAAAATAGAATTTAATTTTATTAATTATTATTAATTATTTATTTGAGATATTAATTATGCTTCAATACTGAAAAATACACTTTTAGAGTTGCAATTTTGAAAATTGACAATTAATATAAATTTTGAAATGTTACAGAGTGGAATGGTGTCCTTAACAAGAATGGGAATTATATAATTACTTAGAGTTGCCCGCATCGTTTAGTTTAGCATTTTACACATGGGGAGGAAAACTCCTTGGGGGGACCATCTATATAAGGATGAGTTCCATTTTCCACCACAATGCACTCCTTGGTTCAAGAGAGATTTCTGAGGATAGTTACAGAATCTGTTCATTCAACAAAAGACTCGATTCAAAAGCATTAATTGAAAGCTTGACGTTCGAATTTCCACTATTTTCTTTAATGATTAGATGGTAAGGGACAAATTTTATTTAATTTAGAGATTTTGTTTTTCAGAAATTCAATTTTATTGAAAAAAATACGAAAATAGTTTGTTATTTAGAAAATCTTAATTCAATTATTTTCTAATTTGGAAAATTAAAAATCAAATAGGGTAAATGCACTAGTAGTCGGACACTTAAGGATACGATTTTATATTATGCTTTTTTTCTTGAAAGAACAAATATCTACTGTGTTTATAAGCACATTATCAATTAAAGGAGTTCTTCAGGATTAAAAATCATGTAAATTTGTTACAAATACTTGAGTATTTAATAAAATATAAACATTTTAATGAAAAATTCCGAATGCTTTAGTAGTCGGACACTTTTTTCCCTTTTTTCTATAGTCGGACATCTGTCAGATATTTTGGATTTATAAAGTAAAACAGATAATTTTTTAATTGCTATCTGCTGGAAAATGGAATTAAAGCAAATTAAAAGTTATTTATATAATGTTTAAATCCTATAAGTTTTAATATTTATGATTAATTATCAACAAAACTTTGTGCTACTCATTGCGCTACTCGAAAATGGTTGTATCTATAGTCGGACACCATGATTTTTAAAATATTAAATAAAATATTTTTTGTTTAATTATTTTTTTAAATAACACTAATTTCATAAAATATAAACTTTACACATTCGTCCAGTATATTTTTTAAAGTAATTATCACAATGCATTATTATTTATTTGCCAAAAAACACGAAAGTGTCCGACTACTAGTACTGTCCGACTATACCTGCACTTACCCTATTTCCAAATTTAAGAATTTAAAATCCAATAATTTTCTTAAAATTGAAATTATTATCTTAAAATTCAATTATTTTGTAATTTGGAATCTTTAATTCAATTATTTCCAAATTTAAGAATTTAAAATTAAATTAAGTAATTCAATTGTTTCCAAAATTAAGACTTTAAAATTAAATTATTTTCTTCAAATTGAAATTATTTTCTTTAAATTAATTATTTTTGAATTTTTATTCCATTATTTTCAATTTTAAGAATTTTAAATTCAATTATTTTTTAAAAATCAAATTCTATCGTAATTTGGAATTTTTAATTCAATTATTTCCAAATTTAAGAATTTAAAATTCAATAATTCTCTTAAAATTAAAATTATTATCTTAAAACTCCATTATTTTGTAATTTGGAATTTTTAAAAACCAAATTCTATCGTGTAATTTTTAATTCAATTATTTCCAAATTTAAAAATTTTAAATTCAATTTTTTCTTAAAATTGAAATTATTGTCTTAAAATCCATTATTTTGTAATTTAGAACTTGTAATTCAATTATTTCCAAAATTAAGAATTTAAAAATAAATTATTTTCTTAAAATTGAAATTATTGCATTAAATTCCATTATTTTGTAATCTAGAATTTTTAAAAACCAAATTATATCATAATTTGGAATCTTTAATTCAATTATTTCCAAATTTAAGAATTTAAAATTCAATTATTTTCTTAAAATTCAAAATATTGTCTTAAATTCCATTATTTTGTAATTTGGAATTTTTAACTCAATTATTTTCTTTAAATTAATTTATTTTTGAATTTTTATTACATTATTTTCAAATTTAAGAATTTTAAATTCAATTATTATCTTAAAATTCAATTTAAGAATTTTAATTTTAAATTATTGTATTAAAATTCAAATATTCTCTAATTTGAGAATTTCAATTTCACTTAATTTATTCACTTAATAATTTAGAATTTTTAATTTGATTATTTCCTAATTTATGAATTTAAAATCCAATTATTTTCCTGTAAATAATTTTTTTTGTAATTGTGAATTTTGATTTCCACTATTTTTCAATTTAGGAATTTTAAATTCAATTATTTATTTTAAATTAAATTGAATTTTTTTTATATATTTTTTTAATTAAATACCAATAGATATAAAAATGTTAAAATTAAATATTTTGAAACTTAAAATTTTGAATTCAATTATTTTGTAATTTGGAATTTTTTATTCATGCGATTTATAAAATTTAATTATATAGTTGTTTTTAAATTTTTTTAAATTAATTTTTTAGATCAATTTCTGAAGGTGTGGGGACTAGAATTTTTTGCTTTTTATTTTTCATAATCAAGGAGTAAAAAGAGAATAATAATTGAATTAAAAACAAATTGAATGTGTGTGGAGGACTAGAATTTTTTGCCTTTTGTTTTTAATAATCGAGCAGTAAAAAGAAGAATAATGAAATTAACAAACAAATTGAATATAAAACTTATTTAAAGTTTCAAAATAATTTTTTTTTTTCAATTGAAGACAAAAATTATTTTTGTTTTTTGTACTTTAAATTTCAAGTTCATAGAAGTATTATCTATATTTAGAATTAACTATTTAATTTTGTCCAGATTTCAATGGAGACGAGAATAATTATTTTTGAAGTGTTCTTGAATGCGGCTTTTCATTGAACTGCAGACGGATATTCAGTGTCAGTTGACATAAAGATCCTCTCGAAATGAACTCTCGGCACGAATGAAGGAAAAATAAGGACGAGATGCATAAAAAGTATGCAAATAAATTAAATGAACCATACAATTTTTTTTGTATTGAAAAAAAATTATACGGAGGTTTTTTTTTTTTTTTTTTGATTGGAAAAGAAATTCTACGGTTAATTTTTAATCAGCAGGTAAATTTTTTCAATATTTTTTCTATTTCTCTTCGATTTTTTCAATTGTTAACGCTTATCGTTAATTTAAAACTAAATAAATTCAAAAAATAAATCTCATCGTTTAGAACAAAATGTTTCTTTCGATATTTAAAAGTCCCACTTCTTATATATTTTATACTCTCTCACTCAATATAAAAAAAATTTGTTTTCAAAAAACACAAATTAAATAAATTATAAATTCATAAAATAAATAAATAATTTGATTTTATTTTTTTCCTTTCAGGAATATTTTCTATCTTTTTTAAAAAAGAATAAAATTTATTTCTTGATAATACAAATTTCGCTTTACTTCTCTTAGTCTTTTTTAATTTTTATCTTATTAAATTTTCTTTGCCTTATTTTTATAATTTATTTTCTTTACAAATTACTCTCAGTTCAGGACTAAATTTTAAATTGATTTTGTAATTTTCATTCTGTTTTCCGTTTTCTCGTCTTTTAATTCATTTACTTTTTATATTTATATCTTCTTTCTTTAATATTATCTTTATTGATTATTTATAATTAATAATTCATGTTTTTGATAGATAATTGTTTTTCTATTCATAAAACTGATTAGAATTTTAAATTACAGGTGTTGGGCGAAAATCCATTTTGACGATGAGAACCAAAAATAGGACCAAAAATATGATCAGAAATAGGATTAGAAAGAGGACCAGAATAAAGACCAGAACAAGGACCAAGAAAAGAACCAAAAAAAGGATAAGAGAAAGAAAATACCAAAAAAATCCTAAAAAATGGTTGCATTTCTTCTGGGAGTGAAAAATTAAAATCGGTCGAACGTAGGCGCAGGTCTTTGCCGATGTTAAATAATTTTTCTTTTGCGGAATACGTTGTATGTATACATGTACATATATTGGCGAAGGTGGAGGCGTTTGACGTGGGGTGACATGCGCGCGTCATCCTCGCCAGAATCAATAGGGGAAAACTCGACGGCAGCGACGCGACGACGATTGCACGTTGGTCCCCTCTGGGTTTCTACCTCCACCATCTCCAGGACTGACGGTCATCGCAAGAATGGCCGACATTGAATTTGAAGAGTTTCGCCGTTATTTCGAAAGACTTCCCCAACACATCAAAGCCCCCGTCTCAAATTACAGGTGAGTTTTTCAAAAAGCAAAAAAAATTCACCTTTCTCTCTCTCTCGTGAAAAATTACACTCCACCTTTCTTTAAACATTCTTACCCTCGAATGACATTTCCTTAGAAAACTAATAATACTTCTCCCAAGAAAGATTTTTTTACTTTTCGCCAACTTCTTTTTTTCGCTAAAAAGAATTCAACAAAGAAAAAAAAATTAATTTCACCCCGAATTTTTATTGAAAATTGCTCTATTTTGTAATTTTTTGCTATGGAGAAATTGCAGAGAAGAGGATGGACCGTTTATAGATTAGTCTCGCCCTCTTATTTAGCAAGGTTGTTCAAAATTATTTTTTTCTTTTTTACTTTCTGTAAATTTCCATTTCATTGACAGTGTAAATTTTGTATTCGAAAAAAATTGCGAAAAAAAATAGTGGGGAAAATTCTCAATTGGCGAATAATTCTTTAAAGGAGGGCATAAAAGTGGAGCACGTAAGGAACTTGAATTTTTAATAAATATAAGTGATAAATTTGTCGCGCAATATTTTCCTTTTTTGTTTTTTATTTCTTTTTGTTTCCTTTAGAAAAATAAATGGTGTTTTTTTATTTTTGTACTTTCGAATTGATTGTCGAAATTGTATTCGAAAACCTTCAATTTCGAGAGAAAGGGTTCTTTCCGATGGGGAATTTGATAAGGTCGGCGATTCGGTTTCCTAAAAAAAAGAAATTGGAACTTTTTTTTCTATTTACGATTAAAGTGAATCAATTTTTATCGAATCAATTCTGAAATTATCATTTATGTAGGGTAATTAATTTATTAATTAGAAACTAAGGGAAAATATTTGAATTTTTTCCAATTTCTTTAAAACTTTTTGTTAAATTTTTATTTTAATCGAAGGGAAAATTAATTTCTGGTACAATTTTTGTTTTTATCGAAAGGAATTTTAATTTCTGATACAATTTTTATTTAAATCGAAGGAAAAATTAATTTCTGGTCCAATTTCTATTTTAATCAAGAGGAATTTTAGTTTCTGGTCCAATTTTTATTTTAATCGAAAGGAATTTTAATTTCTGGTCCAATTTTTATTTAAATCGAAGGGAAAATTAATTTCTGATACAATTTCTATTTTAATCAAGAGGGATTTTAGTTTCTGGTCCAATTTTTATTTTTATCGAAAGGAATTTTAATTTCTGGTCCAATTTTTATTTAAATCGAAGGGAAAATTAATTTCTGATACAATTTTTATTTTAATCAAAACGAATTTTAATTTTTGGTCCGAAGTTTTTTCAATAACGAAATAAACATAAAATATAAAAACTAGTTTTTATTTTAAAAAAATTACAATTAGAAATTGAATGATAGGTAACTTTTTGCCAATTTCTATTTTAATCGAAAGGAATTTTAATTTCTGGTCCAATTTTTTAAAAGAAGAATAATTTTTATTTTATTCGAAAAGAAATTAATTTTTTAGTCAAATTTTTCCAATAACGAAAGAAGAATTAGATATGAAAAATAAAAAATCAAATTTTGTCAATTTTTAGTATAATTGGAAGAAAAATTAATTTCTGTTCCAATTTTTTCCAATAACAAAGGGAGCATAAGATATGAAAATTAAAAATCGAATTATTATCAAGAATTAAGAGAAATATTTCGAATATTAATTATTTTTAACAATTAATATTTTTTTGTGAATATTAGTTATTTTCAAGAATTAAGAGAACAATTGTGAGAACATTAATTAAGTACTTTATTAATTTCATTATAAAGAGTCGAAAAAAAGAAATATATTATATATTTTTAGTCCTAATTAATGGAGACAGGTCAATAAAAACAGTATTTTTGGAGATCTTATTTTTAAACCCTTGTGAAAAGTAAAAGTTTGAAAAAGGAGGAAGAGGGCACCTTTCGTGAGCCTCCTTGAACCCCCGGCTTGCAGAAGTATATCTCAAGGAGTTGTCTCACAGATATAAAAGATAATCTATTTTTTTTCTTCTCACGAATAATATATAGTGAAATATAAGAAGGCGAATATGTAAAGAGCTTTTTTTCTTTGCAAAGTGAAAAAGTAAAAGAGGCCCCCTGAATACCTGTATGTACAATACTCAAGTCTCTCCCATGTATATACGTATATAATACATTCACAGAGAGACAGCTCTTTATTTTTCACTTGTGCCAACAAATCGATGCTCGACTGCCGCATAAAGCACAATCTGCATCTCTGCGGTCACATCGTTTTTTCCCCCCTTTTCATATTATTTTCGATATTATTTTCCCTTTTTTAATCCTTCGTTGTTTTTTCATTCAACAGGTATTGTTCTCAAAAAGAATCTCGCTTTATCCGAAAAACAGAAGATGTCCCGAGTGCTCCTGATGAGATTGGAAAATTAAATCAGTTTTGTCAAAGGAATTTTGTTTCCTTCTTTTTTTATTTTTCACCAAATTCTCTTTTTTATTTTGATTTCATTTCAACTTAAGGAAACATTTAATTTCGAAAAAATGAGAAATTCAAATTAATCGAATAATAATAATAATTTATTTTAGTCCCAAATTAAGTAAAGAAAAAATAGAAAAAAATTTGATTTAATCTAAATTTAATTTAGAGGAAAAATTTGATTTTGAAAACAGGAGAAATTAAAATTTATTGAATAATAATTTATTTATTTTACTTACAAATTAAGTACGTAAAGAAAAAATAGAAACAAAAATTTGATTTAATTTAAATTTAATTTGAAAAGGGAAAATTTAATTTCGGAATTAAAAGAGAAATTAAAATTTATTGAATAATAATTTATTTTAGTCACAAATTAAGTAAAAAACTGGAAACAATAATTTAATTTAATTTAAAGTTAATTTTGAAAAAAGAAGAAATTAAAAATAACAAATTAAGTGAAAAAAATATAAACAAAAATTATAAACGATACGAGCTTTAAAAATTCAATTCAAAAATAGAATTTAAATAATAAAGAAATTAAAATTTATTGAATAATAATAATTTCTTTTATTTTAGTCACAAAGTAAGTAAAAAAAATATAAATAAAAATTTAATAAATATAATTTGAAGAAAAAAATTTAATTTGAAAAAGATTTAGGTAATTTGAAAAGTGAAGAAATGAAAGTTTATTGAATAATAATTTATTTATTTTAATTAAAAATTAAGTGGAAAAAATAGAAAAATTTTTTAAAAAATGGAAACAAAAATTTAATTTCAATTTAATTCTGAAAAAGGGAGAAATTAAAGTATATTGAATATTAATATTTTAATTAACAAATAAAGTGAAAAAATAAAGTAAAAATAGAAAAAATGAAAAAACAAAAATTAGACGATGAAAAAAGACAAAACAGTATCAAACCTGTTACTGTCATTTGCATAATGTTAAAAAATGACATTTTTTATCATGTCCCTTTTTTCTTGTTTCGCGTTTTATTTTTAATATCAAGGGGTTTGACAAAGTAGATTAAAAAAAGAATACACTGATAAATTTCACCATTTTTTTTTATCTTATATAATCCTTTTTTCTTCGATTTTCTTCGAGTCACGATTGTTTATTTTTTTTCTTATTTTGGAGAGAAAAAAAATCATTAATAATGCTTTGTTGTAGACTCGTTCACGATGTTATGGTCGACGATTCGCCCACTTCGTCACAGGGAAGTGATGCGGATGTTGGTAGATCATGTCGAGATGTCGTCGATTCTGAGGACGAGGATGTTGTCGTTATTCATAGGCATCAAAATCAAAGTGGACACAGTTCACCGGACAGTGAAGTTGAATTTGAACATCGATGCTCCATAGTGGCTGACAGCGATTTTAGGTATTGATTCAAACTTTTTCCTTTGAATTTAAGTACAATTTTTTTTACGGCACAGTTTTCTTCTTTTTTTAAATTATACAATTTTATTTTTCTATAAATTTTATTTGCGTGTAATATTTTATTTTTTGTAGTATTAGTGTATTTTTTAGTACATTTTGCATTGATTTTTGTACTTTTTTAGTCATTTGAAATCCTTTTTTTATTTTTAAATACTTTTTTTAATATTTTCTATTTTTATTTTTAAATCCTTTTTTTAAATTTCCCTTTTTTATTTTTAAATACTTTTCTTCTATTTACAATGAATAAAAAAATTAATCCATTTCAAGTAAATATTATCCAGTAGAAATTCTGTAACTTTTGCTCATTAGTACAGTATGAAATAATTTATCTGCGAGTGAGAAATTAATTTACATTGTCTCATTTGATTTTAGATTAAAATTATAATTTGCTAGTGAATTTATAGCGCAATTTATTTCTAATAAATTAATTAAATGACTGCTGGAATTTGAATGCTAGAGGCAATAATATTAAAAATAGACCCTTTTTTCAGAAAATAATCAGATGGTTCTGAAAAAAGTCAAAAAGTCAGTAACATTTCAAATTTAATTGAAAATTAATTAAAAATTAACAAAAGAATATGAAATAAGACATATTTTTCGTTAAAAAAAAAATAATAAATAGTAAAAATTAAAATTTTCATTTGTAAAATTCAACTGCTTGAAGCAAATAGAATATAGAAATTAAAAAAAATAAGCAATAGAAGAATAGAAACAATAAGAATTAGAAATTAAAACAAATTTTTTTGAATTAATTAAAATACATAATTAACCAAAAAATTTAGTACCAAATATATTAATAAGTTGAATAATCAATAAATTAAATTGAAAAACCAATCAATTGAATTAAAAAATAAATCATTTAAGAGAATAAGAGAGAAAAAGAATTAAGAAAGTAAGAAAAAAAATTTGATAATTAGAACCATCTGATGAAAATTTCCCGCATTAGTGTGAAAATTCTGTCCTTAGAGCATGACAAGTAGTTAGCTGGTAAATTTCGATTGTCCTTCGGTGATAATAGCTTGTTCGATGGACTGAACAGCAGAGGAAGATCCATCTACGGTCCAGGACTTAATAACAGTCTTCGGAATGGAAGCGAGGGTCGTGACAGTGTCGTCAGCGACGTTGGCGATTCATCTTCCTCATTGAGTTCCTGGGCGACTCCCGAGCATCGTCCAAACAGCGGTGGAATGGAACGAAAGCGCCGAAGACTTCCGGAAATTCCTAAAAACAAAAAGGGTAATTTTCCATTGTATCTTTATTTTAATTACTTATATTTATTCAAATTTCATCATTTCAATAGCAGTACGAAATGATAATTATTATAATAAGTAATTAATAATTACACAGCTTTTGCAAATACGGGTCAAATGTCGTTGGCGGAGGAATTGGGAGCGGCGGCGGCAGCGGCAGCTGGGGCAAATTCATCGCCGGGAAGACATCATTTGATGCTGAGAAAATCTCACACTAGATTACGTCACGAGGACAGCTCTCCTGATAGTGAAAGAATGGCAACTGACAGCGGTCACTCGACTGCTCATTCACCTGACAATGGTCCCAAAAGCGTATCGCCAATTCCCTGCAGTACTCTTCAAAATATCGACTCTGTCTCGCCTGACAGTACACCTGGTAAGATGAAACTTAAAAGAGAATTTACATAGTTACTTAACAGTAATTATTATTTAACTAGCAAATGATACGCGTATTCTATTTATTATTATTTTGTAAATTTAAAAGATTTTTATTTTCAAGAATAAACATCAATTTTCGAAATGCTTACAGATTCAAAATTTAAAGAATTCATTTAATTAAGTACATAATATTAAATATTCTTATTTATTATTCAAAACAAATTTTTCGCAAGAAAATAAATTATTCCCATAAATAATAAAATTCTTTAGAGCAATTCAATTATTTTCAATATAATTTTAATACAGTTTCTCGAAAGAATACAATTATTTTTAAAATAATTAATTAAATTCGATTATTTTTAAGAATTTTAATATAAATTCAATTAATTTAAACAATTTTGATGAAATTCTTTTTCAAAAATCATTATTTTCAAAATTTTTAAAGAAATTCCTTCAAAAAAATTCAATTATTTTCAAAAATTCAAAAAAAAATTGTTCGCAACAATTCAATTATTTTCATGAATTGTAAAATCCTCCGCAAGAATTCAATTATTTTTATAAATGATAAAATGTTTCGAAGGAATTCAATTATTTTCAATACAATTATAATAAAATTTCTCGAAAAAATACAATTATTTTTAAAAATATTTTTTAAATTCAATTATTTTAAAGATTTTTAATAAAAATTTAATTATTTTTAACGATTCTGATAAAAAATTCTTCGAAACAATGCAATTATTTTTATAAATTATAAAATTCTTACTAGAAATCAATTATTTTGGTAAATAATAAAATTCTTCTGAGAAATTAAATTATTTTCAATATAATTTTAATTAAATTTCTATAGAAAAAAATCCAATTACATTCAAGATAATTTTAATAAAATTTCTCTAACAGGTTCAATTATTTTTAAAAATTGTAATAAAGTTTATCTAAACAATTCAATAAATTGTTCTCAAAAGTTTTTAATAAAATTTTTTGTAACTTTCGATTAAATTTTTAATTTTTTTAATTAAAATTACCTTTAAAAAATTCATTATTTTTACGAAATTTAATGAAATTCTCAAAAAAAATGTAATTATTTACAAAAATTCTTATAAAATTGTTTAAAACAATTCAATCATCTATGAATAATTTTAATATAATTTAATATATTTACATTAAATAATTAAATAAATATTTCAATTGAATTTTCAAATATTTTTATAAATACTTTGCAAGAATTCAATGATTTTCAGGATTTTCAGTACATCGAAAATTTAATTATTTCTGAAAATAATTGGATTCTTGAATAGAATTTTATTAAAACTTTTTTTAAGTAATTATCTCTGCGAAAAAGTTTATTATTTCTACAAATAATTGAATTTTTGCAAAATTTTAAAAAACAAGTGATTTTTTGAGAAGAATTTTTATTAAAATTGTATTTAAAATAATTAAATTCCTGTGAAAAATTTGATATTATTTAATTCTTTCGAAGAATTTAAAAAAAATGTTTAAAAATAATTTAATTTTCCCTGGAATTCAATTAAAATTGTATTTAAAATAATTGAATTCCAGCGAAAATTTCATTATTTATGAAAATAATTGAATTCTTGAATTGAATTTTATATTAAACGTTTTTTTTAAATAATTGAACTCCTGTGAAAAATTCAATTATTTTTTAAAATAATTAATTTTTCTCGAAAAAATTTTACAAGATTTTTTTAAGAATAATTGAAATTTTCGAAGAAATTAATTAAAATTGTATTGAAAATAAGTGAAAGCCTGATAAGAATTTTAATATTTAGGTATATACAAATAATTGAATTTTTGTACGAACACTTTTATTATTTATAAATTGACTTTTTGCAAAGAATTTAATTACAATTATTGAAAATAATTAAATTCTTGATGAAATTCAATTATTCAATTCAATTCATTCTAAATTTTCAGTAAAAATTATTTTAAAAAATCTCCACTATTTTCAAGAACATTGAAATAAATTCTTAAAAACAATTCAATTATTTTAAAGAATTTTAATAAAAATCTTGCTAATAATTAAATTATTTTCAATACAATTTTAATTAAATTTTCTCGAAAGAAATTAAGTATTGAAAAAAATGTCGATAAAATTCTTGAAATGAATTCAATTATTTTCAAATTTTTTTATAAATACTTTCAATGATTTTTAAATCATTGAATTCTTGTAAAGTATTTATATTAAAATTAATTAAAAAATTTGAAACATTTAGGTAAAAAGAAAAATTATTATTTAACAATTGTTAGGAAATAAAAAAGCAAAGAGCAACTAACTTGAAACTGCGAACAGATTACCGGAATACAATGATTATTAATATACATTATTATGCATTATTCTAACAGGAAGTGTAGGTATTCCTTTCACACAACTTGAATTATTGGAAGCAACTCACAGAGGTTTGCATAAATTCGTTCCTCGTCATCACGATGAAATTGAAATTGAAATCGGTGATCCTATTTATGTTCAGAAGGAAGCTGATGATCTTTGGTGCGAAGGTTGGTATTTTTTGTTTCGCATTAAATTTAATAAATAATAAAAGGGCATTAATTTTTGTTTTAATTTTATTTTAGGTGTGAATTTGAGAACTGGACGTCAGGGAATTTTCCCATCTGCCTACGTGGTGGACATGGATTACAGTGACTTTGATCCAACGGCACCGAAGGTGAAGCGAGAACGTTATCTTCTGGGTTATTTGGGCTCCGTGGAGACACTGGCCCACAAGGGGACAAGTGTTGTTTGTCAGGCTGTGCGACGAATTGTCGGAAATACATCTCAATCTTCTCCTAATTCTCAAAGTTGCATTCTTGAGGTTTCTGATCAAGGTCTTCGAATGGTTGATCGTAGCAAACTTCCAGTGAGTGCTGTTGAACCTAAGAAATTTTTTTTTCATTACTACTGATTAATTATTGTTTTTGCTAATGACTTTTTTAGTATTTATTTATTAATTAATAAATAAATTAAATTAATAAATTCGAATTTTCTTTCTTTTGCAGAAAACTCGAGGTCCTTGTCACGATTACTTCTATTCATTGAAAAACGTATCCTTCTGTGCATTTCATCCCCATGATCATCGTTATCTCGGTTTCATCACGAAACATCCAACCTTGCAGAGGTTCGCTTGTCACGTCTTCATTGGTCAGGAATCCACTCGACCAGTTGCTGAAGCTGTTGGGTGAGTTCAAAAAACAAATTTTCAACAAAATAAAAATTAAATTATTTTCAACAAAATAAAAATTAATTTTAATAATTAGGTACAATTATATTAATTTTAATATTGATTATTTATATTATATATATTTAAAGTGAAAAGATTTTTAAGACATTTTAGTTAAATTAAGAAATAAAAAAATGAAAATGAACTTTTTAATAAATTTAAATAATAACGAATTTTTGTATACTAAAATATAAGCACTATTAAAAGTAGTGTCTCAATTTACAGACGAGCCTTTCATCGATTCTACACCAAATTCATTGAGACTGCTTTCCCAATAGAGGATATCTATATTGAATAAAAAGCCTAGATTGATGTAGCGACTATACAAAAATTCAAGAGACGAGAAGAAGAAGAAAAAAATGTTATCTATATTTCCCCTTGTAAATAATCCCTCAGCTGTAGATATTGAAGTATTAAACGCGAATCAAACATTTAAAAATGGTGAATATATATATATAATATAATATGTCATAAGATTTTAAGGTTGTAATTTTAAAAGAAAAAGGGACCGACAGTGCAATTTTCTTTTTCTATTTCATTATTATATTATTTTTTATATATAAATTATAATACTTAATAATTGCATTTTCTATAATGACACAAAAAAAATATCTCGTTAATTATTATAATATTATATTTATTTAATTTTCGAAATTTTACACTACGTTAAAGTTTCTTACTATTTTATTTTTGTTTATCTACGTTATGTATATTTGAGAAAAAAAATTAATTTTCGATTATATTTTTTGCGTTAGTGGTCTAAAATTCTGCACGGAAAAATTCAAGAAAATGCAGAAAAAATAAAACCCTACCGCTTTTAATGTCGACGGATCGGTTGAAATTTGTATATTTTTATATTATCTGCGAAGAATCATAAAATCACATGCTATTGAATCCCGATTTCTTTCTCCAAAAATCTCCTTCTCTAAATGACAGTTTTTTTAGGGGAAAATTTTAAAAACTCCCATAGTTTGAAAGTAAAAATTGTTTAATTATTAAATGATATAATTATGTATAATTATAAAGAAAACTTTACTATTCATTGAAAAAAAGTAATTAAAAAAGCAGTTTTGATTTTGATGATTTTATCATTAAATTACGCGCGCGGTGTTTATAAATAAATCGATTTATTGTAGCTATTATTATACAAATAAGAAATTTTTTTATTTCCAAATATCAACTTCAATTTTTAAATAATTTAAGATTCAAAATTTAAAAAAACCACTTATTGAATTCAACTATTTTCAATACAATTTTAATAAAATTCTTCTAAACAATTTAATTATTTTTATAAATAGAAAAATTCTTCGCAAGAATTAAATTATTTTTGTTTTACAAACAATAAAATTCTTCGCAGGAATTCAATTATTTTCAATAGATACAATTTAAAAATATTTCTGGAATGGATTCAATTATTGTTAAAAATTGTAATAAAATTTTTCTAAACACTTCAATAATAAACATTAAACTTAATAATAAATAATTAAATTATCAAAATAAACACTGCTTTTTTAATTAGGTACTTTCTTTCAATAATAAATTTTTCTTTAAATTAAATTTTTAATTAAATTGAAATGTTTTTTTATAATTCAATTATCATAATTATCATAACATTCAATAGTAAAAATTTTAAATACAATAAATTATTATCATAGGTACACGATTCTTTTTAAAAGTTGAAAGAAATTCTTCGTAAAATTCAATTTTTTTCATTATTTTCAATGAAAATTGTTTTAAAAAAACTATTATTTTTATAAAAAAAAACTTAAAGAAATTCCTTAAAAGTGTTTAATTATTTACGAAAACTCTAATAAAATGATTCAATAGAGTTTAATTTTTTATCGATAATTTTAATAAAATTTAAGAATAAAATTATTAATTACAATTACTAAACAAAATCGATTATATTCAAAAAATTAAAGAAATCCTTCACAAGAAATCAATTAATTTCAATATTTTCATAAAATTCCTAGAATGAATTTAATTATTTTCTAAAAATTGTAATAAAATTTAATAATCAAATGTTACAATTATTAACAAAGATCTCGAAAGAATTCGGTTGGGGTGCAGTTTTTCTAAAATGTAATTTCTAATTTTTTATTTTCTAAAAATTTTTTTTCTAATAAAGGTGAATTTCTAAGAAACTTTTTTCTAATGAAGAGGATTTTCTAATTTTCTTTTTTCTAATAAAGGTCATTTTCTAAAAATTTCTTTTTCTAATGAAAGTAATTTTCAAAAAATTTGTTTAACAATACTTGAAATTTATTTAAAAAATTATAATAAAAAATAGAAATTATGCAAATTTTTAACAAAATTTTAAAATAATCTAGTTAAAAATCGTAATTAACAAATAGAAATTATAGGGATTTTTTTCCTAAATATATTTAAAATTTTTTTCAAAAACTGTTTTATAAATAAATTAATTTTGGAAATTTTGGTATAAATATGATGCAAATTATATTTTTTTTCAAAAATGAACAGAATTTTGTTAACAAATTGTGATAAGAAATAGTAATTTTATAAAAATTTTTCTACTTTTTCAAAATCTACTATTTTAATAAAATTTTCCGAAAAGAATTCAATTATATCTAAAAAAACATTTAATAAAATTGTAAACAAACATTTTAATTATTTTCAATAAGAATTCCACAAGAATTCAATTATTCACAATTTTTTTAATAAATTTCTTCGCAACTATTCAACTATTTTTATAAATTTTTAATTATTATAACAATATACTTTTATAAATTGTTTAATTTCAAAAAGTTTTGAATTTGAAATTTTTGAAAATCTTAATTCCTATGAAAAAATAATAATATTTATTAAATATTTATTTAAAAAATAAGTTACTGATGTTTTTGAATAATTTTGCAATTAAAGAAATTCGTAAATAAATGTAACAGAACATTTTTTTCAGTAAAATTTTTTCCTTTATTTTCTAAAAATTCAAAAATTTTCATTTTCAAGTAATTGACAAATAGAAATTATAAACATTTTTTTCCTTTATTTTTAAAAAACTTTGAATTTTATTAAAACAATTGTAATTAAGAAATAGAAATTATGTAAATTATTTCCTTATGAAAATTGAAAATTTTCTACAAAAATATTAAGAAACGTGAATATGTAATGTTTTTTTCCCCAAAATAAAAGAATGAGTTTGTGAACAATATTATAATTGAGAAACAGAAAATATGCAAAATAGTTTCTATTTCTTAATCTTAATTTTTTAACAAAATTTTCCAACTTTTATCAAAATCATGGAATTAAAATTTTAGGAAAATGAATATTAGAAATCATAACTTTTTAGAAAAACTTTTTTTAGAAATCAAAATTTGTTAGAAAAACGTTTTTTAGAAAACAGATTTCATTAGAAATCGCTTTTTTTTAGACAGAAAGGATTAGAAAATATTTTTTAGAAAAAGTGACCACCTACCAAGAATTCAATTATTTTCAAAAATTTTGATAAAATTCTTCGAAGGAAGTCAATTATTTTCAAATTATTTGATAAAATTCTTCTCAGGAATTTGAATTTGAAATATCGAGGCAAAAAGACAATTGATCGTAACTTTTTTAAAAATACAAAAAATTGAAAATTTTGATTTGAATTTGAAATTTCGAAGCACAAGGAAAAAAATCGTAAACGTAAATTTTTAGCAAAGGCAAAAAAAGAACGAAATTTGTGATTTGTACATATATATTTTCAGCAGCATTATTTACAAAAATGATCCGCCTCTACGAAGTCTTCAATAGCTCAGTCTTGACACAATAACTAATAACGCATATAGGTCAAAGACCTCCGATCATTACAGCAGAATCCATATTACATCATTAAGATTATGAATTAATTTCATTAAAAATTATGCATGTAAATACATTTTACGCTACTTTTTTTTCTTTTTCAAGTTCTGTTTTAAAATATTGTTTTGTTTTTTATAAAAGAACTACAATAATGGAGCTGTTTCCGCTCTTGCGAATCAGCGTGGGCGTGCTTTGTAATTTTTTACTCATTTTTTTTTCGTCAATATGACGTTTTGTGGGCGCAATTAAGAAAATGTGATCTGGTGTTTTTTCTTTGAACAAAAATCGGAACTGACAATTTAACTCTATTGCACAAGTTCCACAGTGTCCGAAATTTGTTCATTATCAAATTACATACATTTGACAGAAAAAGAAATCTTCAAGTTTGTTTTACAACACACATGATTTTTTTTTAAAATTGCATTTGCAATTTTTACTTTTTAATTCAGGAGAAGGCAAACAAAAAAAACATGCGCGTATAAAATAAACTCAAAGAATTTTGAAATTTTTAGCAATGATTTTCGTATTTTTCATATTTTTTTTTTTTTTTTGCTTTTTAATAGAAATAAAAATTTGTAATACTGATTATTAGGATTTGCAATCATTCAACTGAAGATTCATTAAAGTAGAAAAAAAACAATTTTTACCTTAATGAATACAAAGGATTTTTACAAACATTTTTTCGTTTCTTTTTGTCGAATATTAACAAGCGAAGTCCTAGCCATTCTAAACAATTATTATTGATAATCTGCAAAGAATATCGATTCAAAAATATTTACAATTATTATTTAACTTTCGTAGTATTTACAAGGAGAGGTAAGAAGCGGCTTTTTTTTTAATGAAACCATCGCTCGTAGATATAATTTATTTTTGTTAATTTTTTTTTGCGATACTTTCAGCACGCCACGCGCCCTTAAGAAAGACGCAGATGGAAAAGGCTCCTCGATCTTAATTTTCGTTGAAATACCAATTAGTCAATTTTTTTTGTTTCTTTCATTAAATAGACTTTGAAAGCGGTATCAGTAAGGTGTCGAATACTTTCGATTATGTTTAAGGGTCTGTTTTTTATGATTCATTTTCTTTTCAAAAAATAAAGAAAACACATTTTTTAATTTTGGAAAACGGAAAATATTTTAAATATCCAATGGAATATGATTTTTTTAATTTTCGAAAAATTGCAGTGTTAAAAATTAATAGTTCAAGTTTTTCAATTGCAATTTTTTAAAATTCTTGTTCTTTTTTTAACAAAAAAAAATCTTTCAACAGACACTTAAACTGACCATAACCACGGATTTCCAATTATGGTAAACTTAGGCCCGTTAATCAAATATTTCAAACGAGATAAATTTTTTCAAACAATTTTTCTTCAACATTTATTTTCAAAATGTATTATTTATAAAAATGTTTCCCATTTGAAATAATTTTGATATTTTGAAGAATAAGAAAGTATATGTCTTTTCTACCGGGTTGTTTTTTTTAAATCTGTTTTTAACATTTTGTAATAAAAATTTTTGTCCCTTTGCAAGACTTCAATTGCAATATACTTGAATTTTTCGAGTTTTCTTTTTTTTTGCTCTTTTTACATTATTAATAACTCGAAAAATTTGAATTCAAAGAAAATCGCTATTCGCTGGATTACAATGAATGTCGCATACATTAAGAATTTTTTTTTTCACATTCAGACTGAAAGGATTTTTTTGTTGTTGTAAAAATCTTAACAAACATCTGATACATGCAGGTTCCATGGTGAATGTTTTCTGTTCTTATATTTCAATATTCATAAGAAAAAACCATTCAAAACCACGTGAACACAATCAACGATGTATATAAAATATAATAACTAGAATAAAGATCTCGAAATTATATGAGAGAAAAAAATCTTATAAATTAGATAAACGATTAATTGAGAATAATAATTAACAATTTTGGAAAAATTCGTTTTATTTTCTCTTCTAATTTGAAAAATAGATTTTTGAAAAAAAAATTTAAAAAAAATAAAAAAATATATCTTTTGAAAAATTTCTCTTTCTTTATATTATAATAAAGAAATCGGGAGTTTTGTAAACTTCGAAATCTCTACTCTAATAAGTAACGTATTTACAAAGTAGATAAAATACAAGTATATTTTTAGTTGCACGACATCGCTGCAGGATGTTACATATTATTTTTTTTTTACACTGTAACAATGCCACTGGGAATTGTCTTACAAATAAGTATATGTTATTCGTAATATATTTCGTTTCATTTTTCTAAAAAAAAGAATTGTTTCACCATTTTTATTAAAAATGGCCTTGTCCTTCTATTCACGAATAAACAATCATTATATCATGTTAATTAGTTAAAAATTCAATTTTGCATTTATGAAAAAATTGTTTTTGAATTCATTTATTTTCCTTTGATGGAAAAAATTTCTCTATATACCTATTTTCAATAGCAACAAAAATCGTTTTGTCGCAGTTTTGTATTTTTCATTAACTCTGTCGTTGTGAGAAAGAATCTTATATAATTATTATAAATATTTTTTTTAGATTTTTGTATCGTTTTGTACAATTTGAATTTTTTTCAAACAAATTTTTGCTTTATCGTGAAGATAAAATTAATATTCTAGAAATTTGATAACTTTTTTTCTTTCCTAGAAGGAATTCAATTAATATGACAATAAGATTAATTGTTATTGCAGTGTACGCAAAATATTATTTACATAATTAATTAATTAACTAAATTTTATAAAGCCATATTTCAATTTTAATAGCTTTAAATGTGAGCAAAACTCCTTTTTATTTTGATCCCTCGATTGAAAGGAAAAATCTCCGTAAATGTAGGTTATAAACTTTTCTCATTAAAACTATTAAAATAATTGCAGTTAATTAAAATCGATTGATATTAATTAAAATTGATTGAAATTAATTGAAATCATTCGTTATATTAATTAAAATCAATTGATATTAATTCAAATCAGTTAATTAAAATTAATTGTAATTAAGTAAAACCAATTAATTAAAATAATTGAAATTAACTAAAATGAATTAAAATTAATTGAAATTAATTAAAAAAATAAAAGTGAATACAATTAATAAATTTGAAAAATTACAAAATTTGCGAAGATTATTCCTTCTGAGAGGATGAAGAATCCAAAAGTATTTTTTTGTTTTTCTTTTCTTTTTTTTGACGCGACGAGTAAAATATTTATATTTTAATATCAACAACAACAAATAATAGTTTTCATACATAAAATTTCTCTATGTATATAGCCAAATATAATTTTCAATAAACAAAAAAAATATATATATATTCTCTACATAAACATAAAATAAAAATTTCGAAATCACAAAATTCTATCAATTTTTTTTTACCGTCAAACGTCAAAAAAAACTTTAATAATTTCTTTAAGAAATAATAAACACAATAGAAGTCAATTATTGCTTTTTAAACAATGATGAATAATTTTAAAAAGAATATTAATAATAATAATAATAATCGAATTAGTCGAAATTACTAAATTAAATTTTTTTTAATATCCCGCAGTAGTCGTGCTCTTTATACAAATATTTCCTTAATTCTGTAGTGTAAGAATTATCAAAACCAGAAATATTTTCACTATATATTTAGAACAATCTAAAGCAAATGATTATTATTAATAAAAATTAATCACAATTATTATCAATAAAAATTAATCAGAATTATTATTAATAAAAATTAATCAGAATTAATATTAATAAAAATTTATCATAATTATTATTAATAAAAATTAATCAAAATTATTATTAAAATTTAATGAAAGTTATTCATATAAATCCATTTCTATAAAATATGTTTTGAAAAATAATTGTTTCCAATTAAATTAGTCCATTGATTTTATTAACATATTTTTAAATTTGATTTTCAATCTACTTTTAATGTTAATAAATAATATTTTTAATTTACTTTTAATATTAATAAATTATATTCTTAATATACTTTAAATATTAATTAATATGTTTATCGATTAATTGGATAAAATAAATTCTTTTTTCTCTATAAATAATTTTTGTCTCCACATATTTATATTAATAATAATAATAATTTGTCTTAGATTGTTGTAAACGTCAATATTTTTGGACTTGATGTGCTAACTGTACGTTAAATTGTAAATTTCAAAATATCTTTTTTTTAGAATTATGCATAATCTATTGAATTTGAATACAGCAAAAATTTTGTAAATCTATTCTTTAATACGACGAGCCAATTGAGTCGGTGTGAAAACAATCCATTGTCTAGCAAAAGAGGTTTTTCTTTTGTTTTCTATTTTTTTGTTTTTTTGACAAATTTCAATCAAGTCATGGGATTGTTACATTTAAAAAGTAACTAGTTCATTATTACAACACGAAAGAAGTAACTATTCCTAAATATCGTCTCGCTTTTCTTTAGAAGAAAAAAAATTATATTTCTTTTAAACATTACATCCTTCGAAAATTAAACTTTAATTCAAAATTAAGTCTTAATTTTCTCAAAAAAAAATCATTTTTTTAGTTACTTATTTCGTAACTTTTTTTTTTATATTTTCTCTATAAAATCTTTTTTTTAAATATTTTACTTTCATTATTCTTTTTTGTGAAAATAACAAAAAGTAAATAACAATCACATTGAAATATTGCCATTGGTTTTTAAACTGACGTTTAAATAATAATATTCATAAAATTCCTTTATAAATTATTATATATATATAATTATATAAAAATAAATTATAAACTAGATTTATTGTAAAAAATCAACCAGTTACTAATTTTCAAAATTTAATTGAAAAAAAATAATTATTCAAAAGTAACTAATTCCCAGGACTGATATTTGTATTTATTTGAGAAAAATTGTTCTCTAAAACATCCACCGCAATAAGGAAGTCTGTAATAAGACTTTATTAATATAAACTACTTTTTTTTTATCAATTGATTCTCTCACTTTCATTCACGATCCATTTAACGACTTGAGATCCCCGTTTTTTTTGTAATTGGTTATTATTACACGTTATTAATTCAAACTCTTTTCTTTTAAAAATAAGAAATAATATTTACAAGATTGTTGTTTTTTTTTCGTTAAAATATCTAACTGTCAACTGTGACATAGTATTGGATTTTTTTTATCATCCTTTGTTAAGGATGTTTTGTGTATGTATGTGAGTGTGTGTGTCATCGTCAACATAAACAAAAAATTTAATTTTTGGATCTGTTTAACGTGTTTTTTTCTATTTCGACTAGACACAGTGTAACTTATGGCGTAATGAGGGGCATTGCACCGTTTTTCCTTAATTTATGCTGTTGACTTTTTTTTTAATTTTTACAACTTTGATACTCACAAAAGTAACAACGTTACTACTCCGCGAAGCTTTCTTTGAAAGATTCTTCTTATTCTTCTTCTTCTTTTTCTTCCTTTATGCGGAATCCTAGCACTTTTTTTTTATCGCGCTATCGTTTTCGATAGTCTTTTTTTGCAGGTCAACTGGGACTTCATAATTAAACTTAATTACTGGAAATTTTCGCCACAAAAAACTTTACCACCTAATTGACTGTATGTTGTGGTGCTCCTTTTGCAATGTTTTTAGTAATTGCTTTTGTACCTTATGATCCGCCTGAAATTAAGTTTTGAGTATTTAGAAAATGTCTTTAACAATATTTCTTTTTTCAAAGAAAAAAAGCCTTCTTTTTTTTAAATTTTAAATATTTTCAAATTGAAAGTTAAATTTAAAATATATATGAAAATAAAAATTGTTCGCTAGTGTTATTTTTTCCTAGACTTTCTACTTTCTTTATACTTAAAAAATTGTTAAAAATTGAACAACAACAACAATTAAATTGTTCATTAAAAAATTGTTAAAAAACTAAATTGTTTTTTTATTTTTTAGAAAAATGTATTCGTGGAAGTTTTTGTTTTTAAATAAATTAAGTAAAAATAAATTCTCTATTTCACAATTTTTTCATTTTTTTTCTTTTGCAAAACTTGATAAAATATTTACCTGCAACTGGATTAACCTGTCTCTTTGCGGTTGAAGAGCGGGATTATCTAAATTACGTTGTATTGCATTAAATTGTGACTCGCACATTTCCATTCCGTTAACAAGTTGAAGTTGTCTCCTCGCAATTTCTTCACTGAGGACGTCCTGAGGAGCAAAATTCAAAAGAACATTAATTACTTCTCAATTAACAAATAAAATTAAAATTAAAAACTGGAATTTTCCTTTTAAAATTTATTTTTCACAAAAATATATTCGTCCAAGTTTTTAAATTGAAATTTAAAATTAAAAAATTAATAATATCAAATTAGAATTAAGAATTAACGTTAATTATTTTTAAAATATATCTTTCTGAAAAATATACTCGTTCAAGTTTTTAAATTGAAATTTAAAAATTAAAAATTATCAAATTTAGAATTAATTTTTCTAAAAATTTCAAAGTAAATTTACAGAAATTTAAATAAATAGTTTTTAAAATTTATTTTTCCGAAAAATATATTCACTAGAAGTTATTAAATTAAAATTTTTCCCAAAATTCCAAAGCAAATTTCCATAGATTTAAATAAATTGTTTTTAAAATTTATTTTTCTCAAAAATATATTCACTAGAAGTTTTTAAATTAACAATAAACATTAAATTGAAATGAAAATTTAACATTCAATTGAAATTAAAAATCAGTATTAAATTAAAAGTAATGCTTATTAATAAAACCAAATTAAAAAAAAAATTTTTAATTAATATTATGAAACAAATTATTTGAAAAACATGTAGTTTATAAAAAATACTCACATCGTTCACGATAAATTGCTCTTCACTCGATTCACCAAAATTATCTACAACAAAAAAGAATCATAATTACAAATTAATCAATTTATTCAAATTATTTTTTTCAATTCCATTAAATTTTGTCATTTTCCAACTTTTTAAAAGTAGTTTTTTGTCATTTTTTTCATTATCTGATTGAAATTTAATTTATATGGAAAAAATTTGATAAAATAAGAAATTTTCAAACAGATCTAATTTTATAAATTTTAACTTGAAAAAAATCTTCTTTAAAAATGAATTTTAATCGTTTCCACTTACTTTCAATGTTAACCACAGGTCGAAGATTGTCAATTATCCTCATCCAATCTAAATAAAAATGACAAAAAGTATTTTACTTGTTGAGTCATTTTAATTTTTTTTTAAATCTACTTTAAAATCATCCTTTTCAATTAGTAATAATAACAATATAACTATTTTTTTTATAGAATTGAAACTTAAAAATACAAAATATAATTTTTTTTTGTTTTCTAATCTCCATAAAGTGTGTAATAATTATAAAAAGAAACTAATTTTTTTTATACATTGAAACTTGAAGTACAAAAAAATTATTTTTTTAAAATTTTCCAATCTTTACAAAGTCTGTAATTATTATTATCTAGTATAGAAAAAACGAATATAAAAGCAAATTTCCAGAAATTTAAATTAAAAACAATGTACTTAAATTGTACTTGAAATTAACTTAAAAAAATGAATAAAAGTTTGTTTGGAATATTTCTAGATTTTTCCGGGTATTTTTAATAAATTACTTAAATAAATATTCCCTGAGAATATTTATTTTTAGATTCCAATTACTCGAAGTACGAATTATTATAGAAATACTAATTTTACTAAATTGGGATTTTTTATTAAATTAATACCTTAACTTCTAAATTAAAGGTAAAATTAATATTTACCTGAATTTCTCTCCAAACCGGGACTCGAGAGCATATCACCAGGAAGATCTTGAAAACTTTGCAAATCCAATAGTTCATCAGAGGATTGCATAACGAATGAAGGATCAATTTGCGAATATTCACCACTTGCCTCCTGCAAACTAATTTCCGAGACATCAATGTCCGTTGAATTCTTATAAAGATAGGTGAATTGTTGCGTTGTACTGCAACCATTATCAAAACTCGTCTGCTCAATATTTATCGTTTCCATTGTTGGATACGAATCTTTAAGCAGTCTTTTACATGAATTCACATTTGAATTTTCCCCCTTATCAATATCATCATCGTCGTCCTCGCTCAATCGTCGTTTTAAATTATTAATTTGCAATTTTCTCGACGTTCCAGCATTGAGATTGTCATTTAATATTAACGACGAACACGCTTCAATGTCCGTTAATAAATTCTTTCCATTAACTGAATTCGAATTCATGTCCTCACTGTAGCGTCTCTTTAAATTAATTTCCAAATTTTCTTTCGCACTTGAGCATTGCTGCTGCTGCTGTCGTTGTCCGTTGAGCAAAGAATCGTGTACTCCAATATTATCAACAACTTGTTCTAATTTTACCTCAAATGGCTTTAATTCACGAACAACTGACGTTCGTACATATGGATTCGTTAATTCTGCGTCCAATTCCGAAACCATTTCGTCACTCGAGTGGCAAGATTGTTCTGGAATCATCTTCTCCCCAATTGTCAATTCTGTCGAAGAAAAACAAAAATTTATTTTTCTTTCCTTACATTTATAAATAAATAAATAAATATTGAATTTAACTCACTTTTTTCAGCGATGGGAGTATTCGCTTGACTTTCCGAAACTGGACTTGGAATTGAACAATCCAATTCGGGAATTTTTTTATCGGGATAAATGGACTTTTTGACGGGCGTCGTCGCTTTGGGACTCCTCGAGCCTTTACCCTTGCCACCACGGGAAATGTGTTCAATATTTTTAATGCCCATTCGACTGACTTGCTCGGAGGCAGGTGGTAAGCGTTGAGAAAATATTGCCGCCTTGTAAAATTGTGGATCGGGAAGTGGCGAGGGAGCGAGACGTTCTTTCGTTAATGCAGCCGATGGTAGATCACTAATAAGATCAATAATTGCATCCTCAAGTTGCGCTGGATCTTCAACGCCTGCCACTGCATTCGATCCTCGATCATCCTCCTCCTCTAAATGCTCCTCCTAAACAAATATAATTCAATCTTAACTTCTTTTTTCATTTCACATTCATATCAATTTTTTATTTTACCAGCAAATTTAATGCGCGAAATGCGATATTCAATTTTTTATTATTATTGATTTGAAAATTCAATTATTTTTAATACAATTTTAATAAAATTCTTTGCAACAATTCAATTATTTTCATAAATAATAAATTTCTTCCTATTCAATTATTTTCAGTACAATTTTAATAAAATTCCTCGCAAGAATTCAATTATTTTTGTAAATAATGAACTTCTTTTTCATAAATTCAATTATTACTTTCAATTTTTATAAAATTTCTAGAAAGAATTCAATTAATTTCTAAAATTTTTAATAAAATTCAATAAACAAATTCTTAATTACAACTACTAAATAACATAATTATTTTAAAAACAAGAAATTCTTTGTAAAATTCAATTACTTTCAAAATTTTCAATTAAAAATATTAAAAAAGAAATTCCATTATTTCCAAAAAGCTTAAAGAAATTCTTCAAAACAATTTAATTAATTTAGAAAACTCTTAATAAAATTCTTCAAAAGAATTCAATTGTTTTTAAATAATTTTAATAAAATTTAATAATGTAAAATTATTAATCCCAATTATTAACAAAACCGATTATATTTAAAAAATTAAAGGAATACTTTGAAAGAATTCAATTATTTTCAAAATTTTAATAAAATGTGTAAAATAAAAGATATTATTTTAAAAAAATTTAACAAAATTTTGAGAAAAAATTGGATTATTTTCTAAAATAAAATTTTATATAAAAATTCATTAATCAAATGATAAATTAGAATTGTTCGCAAACACGTTTACTTTGAAATCTTAAAAAAAATTCTTTGTAAAATTCAATTACTTTTAAAATTTTAAATTAAAAATATTCAAAAAAGAATTCCATAATTTTCAAAAAGTTTCTTAACTTTTTGAAAATTATGTTAAGTTATTTTGAAAAGAATTTAATTACTTTCGAATCTCTAATAAAATTCTTCAAAAAAAATTTATTTATTTATCAATGATTTTAATAAAATTTAATAATAAAATTATTAGTCACAATTATTAACAAAACCTTTAAATAATTAAAGAAATACCTACTTTGAAACAATTCAAATATAATTCAAAAATTTAATAATATTCTTCGAAATAATTCAATTATTTTCGAAATTTTAATAAAATTCCCTAAATAAATTCTATTATTTTACAAATATTGTAATAAAATTATGAGAAAAATTCCATTATTTCCTAAATATTTTAATAAAATTCAATAAGTAAATTTTTCATTTTAAAGACATTCTTTGTAAAATTCAATATTACTTTCCAAATTATCAATTAAAATTATTAAAACAAAATCCATTATTTTGAAAAAAATGTAAATAAATTTTTTAAAACAATTAAATTTTCAAAAATTTTAATAAAATTCGATGCATGAATTAAATTATTTCAGATTCAAAATTTTAAAAGTTACATTAATCGTATTTTGCATTAATAAAGATTAGTTCTTCTACAATAATTTATAAGTAACTATTTTTGTATTTTAGAATGTTAAATTAAATTATGATTTTTGACTGAAAACAATTGTGTTTAATTAATTATTGTTTACCAACTTTTGTTATTATTTAATCTTTAAAACATTGAATGAGAATTTCATTAATTTCAAAGTTCAAACCATTTAAAAAGAAAAATTATTGAAAAATTATCAAAAAAATTAGGAAACAAAACTAATTTCAAAATTACGAACAGACATCCGGACCTAGAAGAAATAAATAAAATAATTTTAAAAATAAAATAAATAAATGAAATAAATAATCCACTAAATTAAAATTTATATCTTGTAAAAAATGAACTAAAAATAAAAATTTCTATCCACTTTTTCAATTTTTTTTTCATCCCTTCACTAGTAAATAAAAATAAGCAAAAGGTACTTACGAAGGTTAATGATAAATCACTTCCATCCTCAATGCTTTTGTTTATCGTTGCCGAAAATCTCTTCTTCATGTCCTTCATAAGTTTCTCTCCATCTTCTCGTCTAGAAAAAGAATAAAAATTCCTTTTTTAAACAAAAAAATTCACTTTTTATTCTTCTAATTTTTAAAAATAAATATTTACACTTTCAAAGTTTATATATATATTTATATTAAATAACAATTCATAGGAAAAATGTTTATCAACGCGGAAGTAAAAAAAAATTATTGTTACTCACGACATTAGGGTATTGACGCACACAAACGACTCGACAGTTTGTGTATTTTTATCAAACTCGAGATATCCGTGTGTTCTTAAATAAATAAATTCCCCATTCTTTGCAACGAGCCTGTAACATGAATGCTCAAATCCTTCCCCTTTATTGTACACTGAAAATTGAAAACAAAAATAATTATAAATTTAGAATGAAAAACAAAGAGAAATAAGAGAGAAATGCAGATTATCTATTCTCTTAGTTTTTTCTTTCTCACTTTTTTTTTCTTTACTTATTCTTACTTTGTCTAAGACCAATCATGGTCCACCGGAAGTCGTCCTTGTGCATGAATGCAAAGGCACTTTTACCGGAAACCTCCTCTGCCATGTAGCCAGCAACCACCGATATTCTGTGATCGCAAAAAATGATGCGTCCATCCACCAAATGTCGAGTAACGTATTCATCTTTATCAGCCTCCAATAGAGAGAGTTCCGTGATTGTTCTCTTTTTCAGCATGCGAGCAATACCCACAAATATGATATCATTACTCGTGCCATTATTTTCTGCAAAAAAAAAAAAAAAAAACAAGAAACGAAAAATTAGTTTTCTTTATTCTTTCCTCTGGAAACTATAAATAAATCTGATAAAATAAAAACCAGTAATAAAATAAAAATATAGTATAAAAAAATAGAAACTAGAATAAAAAAATAGAAAAAATAAGGACTAAAAATAATATTAAATATGATAAAATAAAAAACGATACAAAATAAAAATACAATATAAAACAAACAAAAAAATAGAAACTAGAATAAAAAAATAATTAAAATAGAAAATAGAAATAATATTGCATTTAATAAACTAAAAAAGCAAATACCAATTAATAACGAATAGTAAAATAAATACTTTTCCCTTGTGATGCAGGGCTCGAACCAGTGAGAGTATTTAAAAATTATGGACTTTACGGACCAAAAATGAAAAACTACGGACTATTTATGGATTAATTACTGACAAAAATATAACCAGTCCGAGTCAAATAAGAAAACGTTTTACAAACTATAAATTAAATTTTTCATAACTATAAAACATGAAGTTATCGATAACTCCGAGTCACCTCCGAGTCTTCGACTCGGAGTGATCGATTTCTTCATGTTTTATAATAATTAAAGATGAAAAATTAATAAAATCATTATTTTACATTATAAGAATATTGTACTTCTTCAAAATTATTTTCATCATTTGAATTCAATTATTATACTCAAGAATTTTTGACTAAAATTCTTCTTTAAATGAATTAATTTTCGAAGAAGTTCTCTGACAATTTTCAAATCCATTTGTTTACAATATTCAATTTAACGAATTTTAATTATTCGTAAATTCTTCAATTAAATATATATTAGAAAATAAAAACTTCAAATAATATAAAAAAAATCCAATTTCTCTAATAATTTGTAATTTTTCCAAAATTAAAAATTTTTTTAGTTTTTTTAACTACATTTTTTCTATAAATCTATTGTTTTTAATAACTTTTTGAAAAAGATTTCTGAGAATTTTCAAATTCATTCATTTTTAACTGAAATTCATTTTTAAATGAATTTTTATAGAAAAATTTTACTAGAATTCAATTATTTAAATTCAAAAATAAATAATTTATTGCATAGTTCAATGTTTCTAAAAATTGAATTCTCATAAAAGAATTTTATCAACAAATTTTTAAATAATTTAATTCTTTTGACGAATTTTAATAAAATTTTTAAGAATAATTACATTTTTCGAGAAATTTGATTAAAAATAATTGAAATTTTGCAATGAGTTTTATTATTTATGAGAATAATTGAGTTCCTAAAAAGAATTTTATTATGTACGAAAATAATTGAGTTTCTAAACAGAATTTTATTATTTATGAAAATAATTGAATTATTGCGAAGAAATTTATAAAAACCCAAATTTGTAAATAATTGAATTCCTGTGGAATTTAAATTATTTTATGAAAATAATTAAATGTTTGCGTAGAATTTAATTAAAATTTTTTTAAATAATTAAATTGTTTTGGAAAATTTTATTAAAATAGTAGATATTGAAAATCATTGAACTAAGGAAAATTTTTGAAAGTAATTTAAATTTTACCAAGAATTTTATTAAAACTTTTGAAAATAATTGAAATTCGGAGAAGAATTTTATTATTTCTAAAGATAATTGAAATTTTAAAGAGAATTTTTTTTAATTTTTGAACATAATTAAATTTCTGCGAAGGATTTTATTACTCTTGAAAACAATTAAATTTCTCCAATTATTTGTAATTTCTGTAAAATTAAAATTTTTTTTAGTGTTTTTAACTAAAATTTCTCTACAAATCCATTATTTTAAATAATTTTTTGGAAGTTTTTTGAGAATTTTCAAATTTATTCGCTTTTAACTGAAATTTTTCTACAAATCCATTATTTTTAATAATTTTTGATAAAGTTTTTTGAGAATTTTCAAATTCATTCGTTTTTAACTGAAATTCATTTTTAAATGAATTTTTATTGGAAAATTCTACTAGAATTCAATTATTTAAATACAAAAATAAATAATTTATTGAATAATTCTTTTTAAATAATTGAATTCTTTTGACGAATTTTAATAAAATTTTTAAGAATAATTACATTTTTTGAGAAATTTGATTAAAAATAATTGAAATTCTGCTGTGACTTTTATTATTTATAAAAATAAATGAATTTCTAAAAAGAATTTTATTATTTATGAAAATAATTGAATTTCTAAAAAGAATTTTATTATTTATGGAAATAATTGAAGTATTGCGAAGAAATTTATAAAAAAAATTTGTAAATAATTGAATTCTTGTGGAATTTTTATTATTTTATGAAAACAATTAAATGTTTGCGTAGAATTTTATTAAAATTTTTTTAAATAATTGAATTGTTTTGGAAAATTTTATTAAAATAGTAAATATTAAAAATCATTGAATTGAGGAAAATTTTTGAAAATAATTGAAATTCGGAGAATAATTTTATTATTTCTATAAAGATAATTGAAACTTTGACGAGAATTTTTTTTTAATTTTTGAACATAATTAAATTTTAGTAAAGAATTTAATTACTTTTAAAAATAATTGAATTTTTGCATTCATTTGTAATTTCTCTAAAATTCACCAAAGTTCCAAAAGTCCTTTACGGACGTTTTTTCAAAAAAACTGACTTTTACGGACTTGAAGTAAATTTACGGACCTAGTTCGAGCCCTGTGTGATGAGAAAGTAAAAATTTAAAAAATAAAATTTTAAATACAAAAAAATACAAATCTCCTTTTTGTCATTTTTTGTAATTTAACTTTTTTTTTATTCATTTTCTTTCCTGTGGGGATTTCTGAGAAATTAAATCACGTACCTCGCTGCTTTAATCTGTTTACATTTAAACCGGCATTTCTGCAGGCATTGGCGAGACAGAGGTTGCCGGAAACGTGAAAACATTCGTATTGAATATGCTCGCGTCTAGACACAGTTCGCTGAGCAATACGGATACTGAAACTTCTCCTTTGCTCTTCTTTAAATGAAAAATCGTCCGAGGAATTGGAACTCTCGTCCAACTGATCGCTGCTCTCAAGCGCTGGGGTCGTGTTTCGTTGAGTGTCATTGAAACTAAAATTCTTTGTAAGCTCCTCATGATCCTCCGGACAGACATAATTATACAGCGACTCGCCAAGCAATTGAGCCTGAAAAACAATTTCATCCAATTTAGAAACAATCTCGCTTATTTATTATTTACTTATAATAAATTAACTAAAGCCGAAGGTTGGAATTCGAGACAGAAGCTATTTGACGCAATCGTCACATCAACTCTCTTATACAATGCAATGCAGGTACTTATAATAAATTAATGATATATAATAATTAAAATCTACATATTTTCCAAATTTTTAGGCAATTTTTTAATGCCACTTTAATATTTTTCCTCTTTTTTTCAAATATTTTCTCTTCTTTGAAATATTTTCCTTTTTTTCAAATTTATTTTTTCCTTTTTTCTATTTCTAAACATTTTTAATAAATATTTAAAAATTCTTTTTGCTTAATTTCCAATCGTGAATACAAAGAACCAAAGAGAAAAAAAATTCGATAATGCACGAAGAATGAAATTATAAAGAAAATGAGAAAAAAAACTTGCAACGTGTACATGCAACACGTTGTCAATGAGATTCATTTGCACACATCAGGTGGTCCCCCTCATAAGACGACAATAAGCCTTGATTTTCTAGACTCTTAAAATATATCTATATACTGATAACCACCGTCTCTTGTGAATCCAAAAAAAAGAAAAAAATATCAAGACTCGTGCGAATCAACGTTTGCTCGTTATGAACTCGAATAATGAATGATCGTTATCTCCTGAATTTGGAGCGATCAAATTTTTAGCGGGGGCGACATCATCAGACATGAACGTTCTATCTTGAAATTTGACTTGCGATGAAGAAAAAAAAAGAAAAGGAAAAGAAATTGAGCAAGAAAATTCCCCTGCAGAACAATTTCTAATTTTTATCAAGATAAAAACGATTTTCTAACTTTAGTCTTGATAAAAATTTTCCAAAAAAAAGGAAATACGTCTGGAATATAATATTCTTGTTTGAAAAGTTCAAAGAATTTCTAAAAAATCTAAAAAATTCAAAATTTAGAAACTAATTATAATTTAAACGCAAATAATATTCAAATACAAATCTCCACTATTTTTTTGAAAAATATTTCAATTTACATATTAAATTGTATTTATTAATATTTTTTTTATTTGAAACATTTTTTTCGCCAAAGGAAAGAAAATTTAAAAAAAATAATTTTCAAAATTTTAACAAATTTAAACGTAAATAATATTTAAATACAATTTCCACTACATTGTTGAAAAATATTTTTAAACCAATATTCCTTAAAATAATTATTTCGATAATTTTTGCAATACAACTCATGATAAAGAATACCAGAAAAAATATACGAAATACTTGTATTTTTTTGTGTCTTGAAAAAAAATTTGTGCCTCGTTTTTTTTATTTTTAAAATAACTTTAAAAACCAGAAATTAGTTTGAAACATTTATCTATTTAAATACAAAAGTGGAATATTTTCGAAAATGATTTTTATTCCCAAAGGAATTTAAATTTTAAAAAAGCAAATTTTTCCTTCAGGTTAAAATTAAAATTTATAATTTTTGCAAGTAAAATTTGTTTTAGTTTTGAAATATTATCATTGAATATATTTTTTTACTCTATTTTAGTCTTCTATCTAAAATAGAATTTTCGTTTTGATTATCAATTATTTTGTTTTATTTTAATTATTTTATTTTTACCAAGAACTAAATTTTTTTCATGACGGCCGTTTTTAAAAAAATTCCACAGAATTCTTAATTTCTTTTTTTTTAATAAGTAAAGGATCTCGAATAATTTCAGATGACCGAACATTAACATTACTTGAGTTACGACTCGTTTATGAATTTATTGAATACGTAAATTATTCATTTCCTCGTAAGTTTTCCAACCGAGATAACAAATATTTCCTTAGACAGTCGATTTTATGTTTAATTTTTAATTCTTTTTTTTAATCTCAAAAAAGTAAATATATGTAATAATTCAAATATTTTTTGTCAATTAAAATCGTTAATTACTGTATAATTTTTTAATTTAATAAAATGATTTTCATTTTTATAAATTGCATTAAGCTTCGACGGAATAAATTAACCAGTAAATTCTATAAATAAATTCATCGCATTTAAATTTACAATTTGACGTTGCTTCTAGAAAGAAAAAATTGACAGATTATATTACCTTTAGTTTGCATTTAAAAATGGAAAATTATTTTTTAAAATTCCTTTTTTATATTATGCAAAAAATGTAAAAAGTGGAAAATTCTTTCATTTCTATTTTAGTTTTGAAAAATTAAATTCTTCTTCTACTTCTTCTTCTTCTTCTTCAAAAACAAAATTGAAAATAATATTTTTTGAATTAACAATAAAATGACAATATTTTAGTTTTCAAAACAAGAATAAAAATTAATTTCTTTAACATAGAATTAAAAAAACGAATGGAAGAATAAAAATTAATTTCTTTGCCATAGAATAGAAAAATGAAAACAAGTCGTGAAAATTGTCGATTAAAATAATTCAATTAAGGAAAAGGAAAAATCTTACAATAATATCGAAAAATTGAGTTTTCAATTTCAGATCACAAGGAATCGGAATGAGAATTCTTCTTCTCGTTCATTAAAGAAAATTTTTTAATTAAATCACCAATTTGTTGCAAATTGTCTAAAAATCGATAGTTGAAATTCCTAATTCTCGATACAATGTAAAATGCAATTTAGAAATATATATCTATAAACTCCAACGTCTAAGTTATTCACGATCCGCAACAAGTGTTTTTAAACCTTGATATGATTTATCTAGTTCCAAAATAGTCACGCGTTAAACATAACAATATTTTTCATGACATCATGACTAAATTACCCTTGTGCTCATTAGATTCTTTTCTTTTTTAACAACAAATGATCCGATTAAAATTTTAATTTGTCTACAAAAATCAAGAACTTCTTTCAATAAAAATTTCCTGAAATATTAATAAATAATTAATAATCGATTTAAATGAAATTTGTCTTCGAATATTAGAGATTTAATGGTTTAAATTTTACGATTCAACTTTCCAATTTAATTCTACTTAATATTAAAGATTTCAAATTAATGATTCAAAATTAACGATTCAATATTAATGACTCAATATAAAATTTTAATTCTCGATATTAATATTAATAGTAAAATTTTCTACGACTTAATAATTTTCTCTTTTGGAAATAATTATTATTTAATTAATATTAATTGCAATAATTTTCCACGACTTAATAATTTTCATTTTTTAAAATCCATTAAAAAGAAAATCTACGAAAAATTTGTCTAATGAGAAATTAAAAATTTTTTATGTTACCTGAGCGTGTCCTAATTGTTGTTCAACATGTTGACTGATATAAACAATTTTTCCTGTACTTGTGACTACAATGAAGAATCCTCCGTTATCACACATGCTCTGCAAAAAAGAAAAGATTAAATAAAAATTTTTTATCAAAAACTTGACAAACTATAATTATAGTGAAAATATCAGCATAAAATTACAATCGAATTTTAATTTTCCCTAATTTATTACTTTTTTTTCACTAAATACTCACATCGATAATAAACTGTTCAAGATTCATTCCGTTGAACCTTTGAGGAAGGAAACCAATCTTTCCTTGTCCAAGAGCTGAAAAATAAAAAATTTCTTTTTTTATAATAATTATTATTTTTTACATTACACTAATATTAATATGAAATTTATAATTTATTTATAATTTTGATTGCAAATGCAAAAAAACAAGTAAATAAAAATAAATAAGAATTATTTTTTTTCCATTAAATAAAATAAATTGAAGAAATAAATTTATATTAAATATAATAAATAAATAATAAATAAAGAAACAAATTATAAAATGAATATAACAGTTTAATAAATATTATTATTAAATATTTTTAAAAAAAAATAAAATTATGCCAGAAAAAATTTATATAGGACAAAAATGATCTTCGGGGAAAAAAAATAATGAAGATCTGCATTAATAATCAAAAAAATAAATTCTTGGGGAAAAGAGAGACGATTTTTTATCAGTCGAATCTGTTCCCTTCTTTTAACTAATAAAAAAATGAGATAAGGGATTTTATTAATAATTCATTAACGAAACTTACTGTATGTGTATCTGAGATAAGCACCAGCCAATCTCAAAATAGAGATCTTATCTGTTTTTCGCGAATTTCCTGCGACCATTGGCAAAAGAGATGCCATCGTCGAGATGTTTGAATTCAAGTTATCTCGTCGTTGCTTCTCCGCCAAATTCCTCGAGGCCCGAGGATTACTGCAAAATAACAGAAAAAATATAAAATTAATTTAAATTATAACATTTTTCTAGAATTTTCTTATTACAATAAATAATAAGATAAACAGAAATTCAATTACTTTAATAAAATGAGTTTATTAATTATTAATTAATTTTTAATTATTTTAATGAGAAAAAATATGAAAAAAATAATAATAAAATAGGACAGAATAATAAAATAGAAATGGTAGAAAAGAATAAAAAAAAGAAATAAAGTAGGATAAAAAAATAATAGAAGAAATAAAAATAGTACAAAAGAATAAAAAACAATAAAATAGGAAAGAGTAAATAAAAATATAATAGAAGAAAAGAATAAAGAAAAATAAAACAAGAAAGAGTAAATAAAAATAATAGAAAAAATAAAAATAGGAGAAAAGAATAAAGAAAAATAAAACAAGAAAGAGTAAATAAAAATAGTAGAAAAAATAAAAATAGTGGAATAGGATAAAGAAAAATAAAATAGGAAAGAATAAATAGAAATAAAGAATAGAAAAAATAAAAATATTAGAAAAAATAAAGAAAATAAAATAGGAAAGAACAGTAAAATAAAAATAGAAAAAATAAAAATAGAAGAAAAGAATAAAGAAAAATAAAACAAGAAAGAGTAAATAAAAATAATAGAAAAAATAAAAATAGGAGAAAAGAATAAAGAAAAATAAAACAAGAAAGAGTAAATAAAAATAGTAGAAAAAATAAAAATAGTGGAAAAGGATAAAGAAAAATAAAATAAGAATAAATAGAAAAGAATAGAAAAAATAAAGAAAATAAAATAGAAAAGAACAGTAAAATAAAAATAGAAAAAATAAAAATAATGAAAACAGGAAAGAATTAAACAATTAAAATAAATAAATAAATAAAGTAATAATAGAAAAAAAGTAAAATAGAAAAGAATAATAAAATAAAAATAGAAAAAATAATAAAATTAAAAAAGTAATAAATAAAAATGGTAAATAAACATTACGAAAGGATTTATTTTCAGAAACTGTTTATATAAATACTAAAAGACAGAAATAATACAAAAATGAAAAGTAAAAAAAATTATTCCTTTCAAAAGCAAAAAACAGAAAAAAAAAAAAATTAAAAATATCGAGTGATAAAATTGAGGCGCAACAGAATATTAAATTTTCATTCTCGTGAATTGTGATTTTGCGTCTTTATAATATTATTGATTCCGATGCAGTTATGTATAATGATTATGTCGCCCTTGATGTTTTCTTTAAAGCGTGTATACCATCAAGTTGTATAGATATATACATTTTTTCTCATTTTTTTTTAAAATAAAAATTCATTTTTTCCATTCCTCATATATAGACATTCAATGACTCAATCTTTGACTTTTAGAGGAGTATAGTATAACGAGACTGACATAAAGACAAAAATAAGTAAATATAGTGTGTGAGCTCGTAAAATCGAGTGACATGCAAATTTTCATGAAAATTTTTAAATTTATGTCTCTGATAATTTGTTAAATAACTTATTCATTTAAAAACATTTTAATACATAGTTAAGAATTTTGATTTTTTTAAAAGAAGAAAAGAAGAAAATAGAGAAGCGTAAAAATAATTATTAAGTTATCTATAGTTAAATTAAAAATGATGCTAGTTAAAAAAAAGTTGGAAGAGTTTCATTATGCGTAAATATATCGAACAATTTCTCTTATGTGAAACAAATTTCTATACGATATCTTTTGCCAAATGCCAATAATACATATTATAATACTATCGTCAATTCACAATATAAAAATCAACGCAAGAAAATTAGATACAAAGTTAAAAGATAATTAAGAGCCATTTCAATTTTTCTTTTTGCAAAAAAAAAGGAAAAATTTTCTTTTCTCCATTTTTTTTTTTTTATAATCTAAAGAGAATTTCACCTAAACGGAAAAAAAATTCGATGATATATAGATTTTTCATGACAGCGCGCAGAGTTCACATTATTTATAACGATCATTAAGATTGAGGGTTAAAGGACACAAAGTAGTTGACTTGCAATAATTTTCGCTCAAGATATTCATAGAATGAGACTTTTTTATAATTATATACAATATAAACGTATATATATAATTATCTTGGAGTTCGTCCAAAGAATCATTTTTCGCCAATAAACAATTGAACTTTCTGGTCTGTCCCCTTTAAGAATCCGGTAAATTTGGCTCGATGCCTAATTTAACAATAATTTTTAAGCCCCCTCGACATTTAATTGCAATTATCGATTTATTTCGAATTTTTCGACAATTTTATTTTTTATTTCTGATTTTTTATTTTTATTTATAATTTATTTTATTTTTATTTATCACTTCTTTCAGGTATACTAAAATTAACTATAATAATTTGAATGTTTTTTCATTCTTTCATTCATTCAATTTTTCTGTCCCTCACACTCTAAAGTTGCCTTTTGTTTATACTTTTGTTTTATGTTAACTTTAGATTATATTATTATGTTATAATTATTTTTATTTTATAATTAATTCAAAATTGTAATGACAAATAGAAAACATCAGAATTTTTTTCACTTCTTTTCATTAAAAGACTAAAATTTTTCTTAAATATTATGTATTATCAAATTGAAATTATGCAGATTTTTGTTCTTTACTTCTAAACAAAATTAGAAAATTGTTAAACAACTGTGATTAAGAAATAGAAAATTTATTTATTTTACTGTAACTTCATCAAAATTATTTTCATCATTGTAATTAAATTATTATTATCTAGAATTTTAAATTATTTTTTATGCGAAAATAATAATTGAATTCCTTAAAAAATTTTTTTAGTTATGAAAATAATTGAATTTTTGTGAAATTCTTGTTATTTATGAAGATAATTAAATGTTTGCATACAATTTTATTAACATTTTTTTTAAATAATTGAATTCTTTTTGGGAAATTTTATTAAAATAGTAGATACTGAAAATCATTGAAATTTTAAAATTTTTTGAAAATAATTGAAATTATGCCAAGAATTTTTTTTTGACATTTATGAAAATAATTGAACTTTGGAGAAGAATGTTGTTATTTATAAAGATAATTAGAATTTTTACGAGAATTTTTTTTCAAATTTTAAACATAGTTGAATTTTTTTTTTTTTTTGAAAATAATTTAATTTCTGCAATTATTTGTAATTTCTCCAAAATCAGGGCACGAACCAGTGAAAGTATTTAAAAATACGGACCAATTGCTGACAAAAATATAACTAGTCCGAGTCAAATAAAAGAACTGTTTACTTAAAATTATAAATCAAATTTTTCATAACTATAATATAATTATAGATCACCCAGTGATAAAATCATTATCAATTTAATTATTATTTTCAAGAATTTTTAACTAAAATTCTTCTTTAAATCGATTATTTTTAATAATTTTTGAAAAAGTTCTTTGACAATTTTCAAATCCATTTGTTTACAATATTCAATTTTACGTAATTTCAATTATTCGTAAATTCTTCAATTAAATATATATTAGAAAATAAATGCTTCAAATAATATAAAAAAAATCCGCAATAAAACTTTCTAAGAAAAAATTTATTCCACAGAATTGTTAGTTAAAAATATGAAAAATTCAAATTTTTAGATTTTAAACTGAAACCTTTTCAAAATCTAAAATTTTAACTGAAATCCATTTTTAAATCAATTTTTATGAGAAAATTCTACTAGAATTCAATTATTTATACAAAAAAAAAACAATTTATTGAATAATTGCATGTTTCTTAAAATTGAATTCTCATAAAGAATTGTATCAATAAATTTTTAAATAATTGAATTCTCTTAAAGAATTTTAATAAAATTTTTAATAATTTTTTAGAGGAAATTGATTAAAATTGTATTAAAAATAATTGAAATTCTGCAATGAGTTTTATTATTTATCAAAATAATTGAATTCCTAAAAAGAATTTTATTATTTACCAAAATTCACGCTATATTGCTTTTAATATTTAATTATTATCTAAAATTTTAACTGAAATTCATTTTTTGAATTCCACTAGTTCAATTATTTAAATACAAAAATAAATAATTCATTGAATAGTTCAATGTTTCTAAAAATCGAATTCTCATAAAAGAATTTTATCAACAAATTTTTAAGAATAATTACATTTTTCGATAAATTTGATTAAAATTTGATTAAAAATAATTGAAATTCTGAAATGATTTTTATTATTTATGAAAATAATTGAGTTCCTAAAAAGAATTTTATTACGTACGAAAATAATTGAATTTCTAAAAAGAATTTTATTATTTATGAAAATAATTGAATTATTGTGAAGAAATTTATAAAAAATTTGTAAATAATTGAATTCCTGTGGAATTTTAATTATTTTATGAAAAGAATTAAATGTTTGCGTAGAATTTTATTACATTTTTTTTAAATAATTGAATTGTTTTGGAAAATTTTATTAAAATAGTAGATATTGAAAATCATTGAACTGAGGAAAATTTTTGAAAGTAATTGAAATTTTACAAAGAATTTTATTAAAACTTTTGAAAATAATTGAAATTCGAAGAAGAATTTTATTATTTCTAAAGATAATTGAAATTTTAAAGAGAATTTTTTTTAATTTTTGAACATAATTAAATTTCTGCGAAGGATTTTATTACTCTTGAAAAGAAAATAAAAATTTCTCCAATTATTTGTAATTTCTGCAAAATTAAAATTTTTTTTAGTGTTTTTAACTAAAATTTTTCTACAAATCCATTATTTTTAATAATTTTTTGAAAAAGTTTTTTGGGAATTTTCAAATTCATTTGTTTTTAACTCAAATTCATTTTTAAATCAATTTTTATTAAAAAATTCAACAAGAATTCAATTATTTAAATACAAAAATAAATAATTTATTGAATAATTTAATGTTTCTAAAAATTGAATTCTCATAACAGAAATTTATCAACAACTTTTTAAATAATTGAATTCTTTTGACGAATTTTAATAAAATTTTTAAGAATAGTTACATTTTTCGAGGAATTGGATTAAAATTGTATTAATAATAATT